TTGTGCTTGCTAGGGGAGTTGAGAAAGGATTGAGGTTCGTTTTAGGTGCACTATCCGATGTGGTCCTCCATCCGATGGCTTGACCCCGCTGTAATTAGAAGTGAAGCTTGGGGCGCCTTTGGGTGCCTGTCCTGGCAGCCGCAGGCAGGCTCCACAGCCCACAGTCCCAGCTTCCCGCAATTTGATCTCGGCTACTCCAGCCTCCAAGTCTGGGGAATGAGCGTGAGGTTCATAGTGGGGCCGATGTCCATCCACACACTGATTGGGAAGGGTCGTTGTGTACGAACCATAGTATTACTGTTAGTGGCCTTCGTAATTCCGACAAACACCTGGCTATGGGCGTTTGCGTCCCACTTTTCTAGTCGAGCGCCACTGCGATCTCAGATCGGACGCTTTTGGGGATTAATGGGGATATAACGTTGAGATCGTACCTGTTTTCTCGTTTCTCAAGACAAGAACACGAGGGATCAACCACAAAGCACAGAGTGTGGTCTCCATAGGCCTCTCACGCTCCTTCTACCCGCAGACATATCCCTCTCCACAACATGGTATTGACAGGTTCTAGTGGAGGTCAGTTGGACTCGATCGTCCAGGGTAACGAGATCGCCTCAAGTCGTGCTTTTTTCCCGCGTTCAGATTGTGACGATAAAAAAAAGGGTCCCGGCACGGGATGCTCAGGGATAAAGGATATCTAAAGTGGACGACCAAGGCATTGCTCATCCAGATACGATGAGGTCATTCAGACTCTCTCGATCCTAGCTAGTACTTGTACACAGGTACCTCAGTAGAGTCTACACATTGCAGCAATTGGAATAGGGATCACCGATTTTCAATGGTCACTCATATTTCGATATTGGTAAGGCATGTGACCGTGCAGTGCGTGCAGTTATCATTGCTCCAATATTTTATTGGTGTGCAAACCGGCAATAATACAAAGTAAAAATCCGGCCTTTACTAATAGGCTTGGATGCGAGAACATTCACTGCAGTTTTTCCCAAGTCCCAGAGTGGTTTTTTGACCTTCCCGCTCAGCCGAAGATTACGAAGTACTTCCAGGATAGCCCCCGATCTAAGAATCGAAGCCTCAAAGAGGCGGGCGCGTGGTCTGCAGGTTTGAAAAAGCGCCGAGTTCAGTGCATTGGACTGGTATTGTGATCAATACTTGTTATTTCGTACTAAGGTACGAAGTACTTCGTTGTTGCGTTGAATCTTTTCCACAAAATGTGCTGGGGCTGACTTGACAACCGCCAATACTTGGTACTTCGTACATATCAATAACTCTAATTCAAGGACACAGGACTCGAGACCCTTCGACAGGCTTCTGAAAAAGGCCGCTCCACCTTAATGTCCCAACTCACAAGAACCAAGGGCGTTGTGGCATGCATGACAGATGTGCTAGGACTCATAGTTGATCTATCTCCTTTGTATTACTTCGTACTTTCGGGTGAGTTGATGATCCAAGAATACATTGATCCCTACATCCAATGTTCTTCGTGATGCTAATCATTGCTACTTGGGGCTGTCGAGGCGGCCCCCCCCCCCCCTTGTGAAGGTACCAACGTTGACGCTAAAATCCTTCCTTCTTTTCCTTCTCTGTCTTTTCCTTCGTTTCCGCCCACCGCTGAGAAACTTGCTGACAGCTCCAACTGTCAGGCTTATTTTGCCTAGAAATTCTGTTGATTGGATTGGTGATGTTGGGCATCATGAAGGAGCAGCGTCGTAGTGTTGAGCTCTTGTGCCACATCAACACATTGGGATTCCGGATCAATCCATTCCATTCTCCAACTCTTGATTCTGGATTTCTTTGTCATATTTGTTCTTATTCTAACTGCTCCCCGTCCTCCTCTTCTTTCTTCTTCTTTTCCCTTTCCTCAACGGGCGCCCCTCACATCCTCCCACTTTCTTATGCTCGGACTGGGTACTTCATGCCTGTCTCTCATATCCCCGTTGCGTGGTAAATTAGACTTTGATGGCGCTTAGCCAGCTGACATAAACCAACCAATGCAGAACATCAATCATCGAGTACAAAGTACGAACTTATCAACAGCCTACGAAACTATGAAGTAGAACTCTCGATGGCACAGCTTCAGACTTCGTAACTACTTCGTTTCCTGCGCAGTAGTTTACATCCAGGTACGTGCGGACATGGAGAAGTTATCGAGATTGATCTGCGCAAGAGCGGGGCAGAACGAACTCGTGCAGGAGAGGTTACAGCTGAAGTTGCAACGACCAAAGTGGGATTACCAGATTTCCTTAGTGTGAGTTGGTGCTGTAATAATTACTTCGGACTTCGTAATAATCTACGCTCTGGACCCCTGTGGCGGGGAGGGCTGAGGGAGTGGAGCCGTGCCACTAAACTGCGACTACGACGTTGGCGTCTCTTTAAGATGACTGGGGTGCAACACATCATGAGGGTGGAAAAAGTACACTACTATGATCTCCTCCCCCATCATAAAATGCGTCTGAGAAGGCCTCATCGTTATTATGCCCATGGACAAGGCTGGGGAAACTAAGAAACTAAACGATAAGTACTAAAGTATATTGGTCAGGTGCTTCAAGTCATTGTGTACCCCATCCTGGTAGTGGCGTCTGCAGAGAGAACGGTGAGTTGATAGAAGCATGAGAACACAGTATCAATGCTACCGAGATCTAAATTTGACAACATCAACAGAACTTTTCGCGTGCGTACTTCGTGCATGCGAAGTACTTGAGCAGCTGTGGGAAGATCAACACTTCACGACGCAATGTTTTTACCGATCCTCGATCAACGAGTCACATAAGCTTCTCCGTCCCAACATCCCACGGTACGTCCTTCGATAAGAAAATATCATGGTACCTACGAGGCAGGAACACTCGGCAGCTTCATACATATGAACTGGATGTAAGTGCTTAGAAGATATTTATGCATGCATATGTGCAGCGTATGGGGCTGGGGGTATGCCCCGACTGCACGAGAGAAATCTAGCGAACCAGACAGGGTCCTCAAGGTTCAGACTCCAAGCCTTCGCCAAGCTCTCTCTCCAGTTGGCTACTGATTCCTTCTTCCTTTTTGGTCCCCAAAAGAGGCGCAAAGTACGTACCCAAGCGTGCATACATCTCTGTCCTCTGCATCACGTAGTCCAGTCCTTTCTTCGAATCGCCAATCTTTCCACTCGAGAAGCCTTCGACGAGAGCTTCGGATTGCCATCTTGCCTCAACGCCTCGAGATTCCTTTTCGGCCCGGCTCTTAATTCCGAAAGCTCAACAGCGGAAAGGAAACGCGCACGACCGCCAGCGAGAGGATTTGCTCGAGTTCTCAGCAAACGCACACTATCGACACATCATTTCAGCATACTTCGTGCTCCAAGCGCCAGGGTATCTGTGCGGGCTGTTGGCGCCCTCAATCACATCAATATCATTTAAAGGCTGGCCATTCGCCATCCTGCAGACTGTCAATGGTACAGATCGGAGACTTTCACATCCCGTCTCACCTCGCCTCCTCCCAGTACAAGTGAGTCCAAGTGTCGGCTCTATTGAGACTGACTGCGGCCAGCTTGTGGAAAAGCTTTTCCTGGGAAATCTTCGCTCTCTCCAAGTAGGAAGTACTCACGTACCCCCTCAATACTTCCTCTCCAGACAGTACAAGGGAAAGTACCATCCCAGTACAATCTCACTTGCCGCTGCCCTTCATTGTCGCCTATTAGTATTACCGACGCAGGAAGCCGCTTTGAACGAGGCTGCTCCTTCTCCCATCTCAGAACCACCTGCAGTGTTGCCCACCGAGACTAGCCTGGGAAACAGCACTCCACTACACAAGCTCACTTCGACCTAGTTTAGCCGAGTCGCGCTTTCTGCGACACGACCCTTCACCCTTGTGCCTTTTGTCCTTCCCGCTACGGTCATCCCGATTTTGCCTGCCGCGTCTGGTCCTATCTCCGGCTCTCCTTCCGCCCACCTCAGCTCTAATATCCCGCCTCCCGCCTCCGGGCAAACCCGCCGTATCCTAGAGAGCCTAACCCCGCTTCAACCAGAAAAAAACTTCACCTCACCGACGTCGGGTTGTGGATCGTAATCGGTACTCACATACCCTGTACATCCCATCTTATCCTTCTCTTCGCGCCAAGGTTGTCCAAAGTGGTATTGGAAACATCGCTTTGTGCTGCGTGCCAGATTCTGCTGTTGACAGCGTCAACTTTTCCCCAAACGCTGCCTCGATCTGGCACGACTACGCCATAGGACGGGCTTCCCCTTTCCCAGTACCATTGCGTATCTTCACCAAATGTTACCGAGTCTCTTTCAATCCAGAATTTGGCCTTGGTGACTTTAGAGGATCCCGTCGCGTCGGTAACTTTGTTGCTTCAGCATTCGCGGGTCCTGGGAGGAAACTCAAATCGCTCAAGTCGGCAGCGGCCGGCTGCATGAGACTAGTATTGGGGGCAACCCGTTTGCAATTCTTTACTGCTCTCCTTCCTTGTACTATAATAACGCTCGTTCGACTACCCTTCTGGCCGGACCATTTTTGAATCCCCGCCGTTCACGGGTGCCAGGAGTTGTGGATGCGGTCTTCACTATCCTCAGCTCGTCGCATGTTTTTATTCTTTGGATAGTGGAGTTGGGAACATCGCCGATTTCCTCCGTGTCCGAGACCGACCGAAATCTGAGCACCACTGTATCGACAACAAGCTCCACCTAACCGGCTGCCAACCTATCGTGGAGCATCATTCCCTGTCCACGGATAATGTAATAGACCGCCTGCTCGAGAAAAACAACTACCAAGCAGGGACTTGGCGTTACGGCAGTGAGGAGCTTGACTCGAACCTAGTTCTCTCCCATCCTTCTCTTGCTCGGGCGGTGTCGCCCTGCTTAATACCACCCAGTACATCACCCCGGGGTGCCTGGCTGTTCGCTTCTCACCTCTCTTTGCATCGTTGCAGCCAATCTGACGTTCACGTCCCACACCCGATTATACTGATATTATCGGATGCCGGCGCATTTCCCCCGGACCGGTGCACCGTCGCCGCCATGACTCGTCCCAAAGTACCCGATGACAAACGACAAAGAACAGCTCAGGCTTGTGAAACCTGCAAGCGACGCAAGCAAAAGGTGAGAGTTCAAGCAGAAGTAGCACGAGTTTCTGCCAAGCCTGTTGTTGACTGTCATCAGTGGATGGCTACGTCTCCCTTGAGTTTGAAGATGCTGTTGCACTTTTCGTATCTTATATTCCTTTTTCTTCGTACTGCCACTTTTGATTCAGTGCCATGTATGCCACTTGCTTCTTTTGCCAGACTTGTATTTCACCCTCACCCGCCCGTACATCACTCCTCACGCTGCTTCCCCGCCTCTCTCTCTCTTGCCTCGAACGCCGTTGATCAGTTGTCGCATATCTGTCATATAACGAGCGGAACAGTGGCGCCTTGACAAGATAACCACTACCCTGCTTCAAATGCTTCGAGACACGTTGCATGTGGAGAGCCCTGCTACGACCATGCTGCGACATCGAAACCGGAGCTCAAATGACATTTTCGGTACGGAGTATCTTTCTTGGGAGGTACAATACGCGGGGGAATCCTAGTCATCCGAGCTCTTATTCTGCCACCACGGTACGATGCGAGCTTGTCGAGTGGCATTGTGTGGGCATTGCAAACTGACCTTGTCACCGGGTCCGCGCTCCCGCTTCTCGCCAAACCTTTCGGATTGGCTTCTACCTTTGGTTTCTCCCTTCTCCCCGTTTACGAAGGCGAAAGGTGGCACAGAACAGGTCCTTGGCTTTTTGATCTCGTTATTTGCGCCAGCTTCTGGAGACTAGATGCTAACCTTTGATTATAACAGTGCAACGGCTTACAACCATGTTCGGCCTGCATCAAAAGGTCCTCACCGTGCACCTACAAGTCTGAAACCGCAGTCGACCCCGCCCCCCAGCAGAAAGCTTCATCGCCTACGAAACGAAGACTTACCGAGATCTCAGGTACCCCCGCTGGAAAGCCAACTCCGAAAGATAACCAAGCGGTGAAGAAACCGGCTATCCGCCAGAATACTCTTCCCACTAAGCCGACTAGCCAACGACCGAGCGAGACCGATGCGATTCCATTATCAAAACCCCCAGCAGTACCTGGTGATACCCAAAACACTGCTCTTCACGAATCTAGCTCTCGTCAAAGCACCGTGTCAGGGGCAGATGACGAGGCGGAGGTCTTTACAGAAACAAGACTACTTCAAGCCCCCAATGGCCGTCTCAGTATGTGCCTATTCTGTGGCTGCATTTACTTATCGTTGGGTACTAACCGACCTCGTTCAAGTCTACCTCGGTGATTCTGCAACTCTATCCTGCCTCCAAATACTTAGGTTCATCGTTGGAGAATTTGAGCCTTGCGACTTTACCAATGACCCAAGTCGTCATAAGATCATGGAGAATGTGATTGATTTCGACTCAAACCAGGAGCTCCCGGGTATAATTCCTCCTCCACAAACCGCTCAGGTGCTTCTCAACTCTTTTTTCGCCAATGTAGGAACACCCCCTTTCGTTTAAAAATCTTCCCTACGCACCGCCGCCACTAACGTATACTTCCTCCCCGTCAGACCCATGGTCTACTAGATCTCTTCAACCGTACCGACTTTGAGCGTGCCGCAATTGCATGTCTCCATAATCCATTCATAGCAAAACCGGGAATGCTAAACCTCATGTACCTCAACTTTGCAACTGGTCTTGTCCTTGCAACACCAAAGCCGGGGAATGACGAAGACGCTATCATCGGTCGTCTGCGGCAATCTCAGATTGATGTAGCAGAGAATTATTTCCGGAGTACGCAAAGACACATGGACCCCCTGACTCTCCACGAAAAGGGAGATTTTTCGTCGGTTCAAGTGTTGTGCTTGATGGCCGTATATTCCTTATCAGTCTCGAGACGGAACGCTGCCATAACTTATTTGGGTAAGACAGCCTTGGCGACCTGACCTTGACCACCTTCTGAGTAGTACTCAGTGGGTGAGGGAGGCGGATCCCCCCAACCATTTTCTATACCTATACGTGTTGGCTCAGCACTTTCGCTGACGAAAACTTGAAGCAATGGCTGTCCAATCGGCATTCACCCTCGGCCTTCATAGAGGGATGCAGATGCAGCTGATCTTTTCGAAACAGGAGCAAGTTGTCCGCCGGAAGGTTTGGAGGAGTTTGTTCGTCCTAGACCGGTTCCTGGCAGCTGCTCTTGGGCGTCCAACGCTTATAGCGGAGGAAGACTGTTCAACCGATTCCCTCGAAGCTCTTCAGGAAGAACTTGGAGAGATGCCCGAAGACGACCGCTGCATGAACCTTGCCGTCGATATTGCACGGCTCATCGGCCGTATATTGAAAACGGTATACGCTAGCAGAAGGGTGACGACGAAGTTAGCCCAAGAGTTCACAGCTCATAGTCAAAAACTGGAGAAGCAGCTCCAAAAAGAATTCCACTGGGATCGAGCCATGGACCCCTCTACACCAACGATAGAAGCTGTTGCTATCCTCCACCTAAATTTGTTCCACTCTCATGCCGTTCTTCTCTACACACGACCTTTTTTCCTCTATCTTCTCAAAAACGACCAGGTTGACAAGGTTCCCCCGACAAAGTTCAGCCAGCGGATGCAAAGATTCTCAAGGACATGTGTGAAAATATCCGAGCACACTATTGAGATTGTGCAAGCCGCCCATAACGCACGATATCTGCCACAGAGAAACCCATTCGTCACGTAAGTAGTTGGCTGCAGCGTCATTCGGAATCGCGAAGCGCAGGCTTAAGCAACGTCCCACTGAGACCCTGACTAACCATCTGCAGACACTTCCTCTTTGCGGCAGCCCTCGTGATCCTCGGAAACGAATTCGCTCGACTCCATCCGAATCCGGGATACTCCAGGCAGTTATCCAACGTCCTGTCCATAGTGGCGTATTGCGCCCAGACCGATCCACAGGCCCGCCGCCTCACCTATATACTCGAGACTTTCCGAGACGTAGTAGCACGGCGACACCGCTCCCAGTCAGCAGATACCGAAAGAGACCCCTCCCGTGCGGTGCCTTACGCTGTATCTCCTAGGGACAATATTGCGCCTGGACCTAGCCGTATTCCAAAGATTGATACAGACCGTTACAAAGGACCATCGGTTTCAGACGGACTCTCTACTAGAACCCGAGTGCCTGTTGGATCTCCGATGCGCTACGCACCTATAATACCCTCGCTCCAAGAGGCGCCCTTTCAAGGCCCAACCAACGGAGCCTCGCCAGCAAGTTCAGCTAGCTACTCGTTGAGAGGTGGCGATGCCATGCCAGGGCGGCGGGCAAGTGACGTGAACACTCCCGCGGGCGAGGACGAAGTTAACCTCGACGCTCTCTGGCAATCGGCTCACGGAGAGCCTCATCTTAGTGGCGTTCCGCTATATCCGACATTTCCAACAGGGCCATCCAAACCGATGCAATCCGAATCGGGCTCGTTTGGAATGTATGACGCTTTCCTACATTCACAGGGTCGACCTTCATAAATAGCGAACTGGGCGTCGGCCAGCGCAACCTTGTTGGGGTTGCCCTAATTCAAAGCGTATAGATCTCGCGGAGGGGTGTTGCCGGACGATACTCTAACCGTGGACACAGGGTAATTGGGGCGTTGCACCCCGTTGCCCTCGTGCGCTTTGGCCAGTTTCCAACCTACCAGTTTCTTTTGTCTTCTCCATAGCTATGGGGCATCTCTCTTTGTATTATCCCCCAAGCTACTTCGTACATAACATCTGCTAGAACCAGGAAGAGAGGGACTGACGGGGGAAAATATCCTTAAAAAAAAGGGGTGACTGATGGTTTGGGGTTAGAATCGGATGAGGCAGGTAGATTCATGATGTTCGATACCATATTTTTGTTAATTGAATAGGCAGCCTAGCAATGGCATTCCTTGGGGTTCTTATACTAAGGGTACTGCGTATTCTCATCTCGCTTGACATAAAGAACACTGGCCATATTATCTCGGATCCGACCTCTTCCGCCAGGAGTGTATCCAACCCAGAGTGCGTCCAAGAATCAATAGGCACAGATGTCAGAAACTTCGGCGACTAAACGGGCATTCCTCCTCCCACTTTTACACCCGAGACAAGGCAAAATCGTAGACCAGTGTCCACTTTGCATCCTGATCGTCTTTTCGGGTAACAAATTCCACAATGAGATCCTCCTTCACTGCAAAAACGGTGTCATTCGTCAAGTACTTGTCGCCCTTGTCGAATATCTGCGTCGTCAGGGGCCTATACCCATCGGCAGTCACGATGACATGAATGTGGGCAGGCCTCCAAGGATGGCGATCCAGGAGTTTCAGAAGCAATCCGCTCGGGCCGTCGTCGGGGATGGGATAAGGAGCTGGACGTAGGCAGTAGAGAGAGTACTTTCCAGCTTCGTCCGTCCGGAACCGACCCCTCAGGTTGAAATCGGGCTGATCTGGATCCTGCTGCTCATACATGCCGTTCGGGGCCGTATGCCAGACGTCAACGATGGCATTTGGGATGGGGTTCCCTTTGTCGTCGACGACGCGACCGGAGAAGTGGGCGAGGTCCTTGGCGAAGGCGTCGCGGGTTTCGGGGGCGACGATGCTGGCGCCGTTGGGGAGGATGGGGGCGTCTTTCCTGTAGAACGGGCCAAGGATGGCGGAGGAAGTGGTGCCTATGGAGTCTGGGGATGATTTCCGGAGAAGCTTGGAGGAGATTTCGTCGACGAGGGATTCTAGACCTAGGATGTCGCAGACGAGTTGGGTTTCGTTGCGTCTGTCGTTGGACATTTGGCCGGCTTCGTTGATCTATAGGTTGTATGGTCGGCGTTTAGCAGGGGGTCTCCAGGTATTGACGGCGGGTCTGAGGAACGGAATGGTGCTTTACACAAGGGGAAGGGGTTTTCCATACAAATTCGACCGCAGACATCCACTCGGCGACTGTGAGGTCTACTTCTCGAGCGAAATCGTGGAGATGACGAAGAAGGCTCGGCATGATTTGGGCGAGTCTCTTGTGTGCATTGGGTCCTGTGGCGGCAATGACCTGGCCCGTAAAAGTCGGGTCGTAGCCATGGCTAGAGGCCTTCGCGGTGGTGGCAGAGATACTCATTGTGGTTGCTTGGGAGTGGTGGATGGTGTATATCTCTGGGGGATGCTTGAAGTTCAAGTCAACGATCTGAAAGAGGATCGTGACGAAGGGTTTCTTGAAATATCAGAGCTGTCATACCAGAGGAAGGCGGCAGTTTGAGACAGACTGGTTGCTTGCTCCTGTCTAACACTTATACTGAAGTCAAGGGGAGGGGGGGGGGTCTAGCCTCCCGTCAGAATCAAGGCAATTGTATGCGGTGCAACGATGATCCTAGGATTTGTAACCCTCGCGACCTAGAAGGGCTGTCTTGGTTGGTAGCTCCGTCCATCACGCCATGGCTCTGCGGGAGACGATATCGGGGGAGTTCGCGACATGTGCATTCGCTTGCGCCACAATGAGAAATATATAGAGGCACTTCTGGATCCCACCCTCGACCCTATTCAGAGGCTACGGCGGGCGCAGGGCAGCAGGATCCTATTCTTGTGTCGCAACGAGATCCCCCTCCTTCTGCCCCAAAACCGCAAGGAGTGTCTATGATGGAGTTCTCAGAAATGACGAAGGTTTTGTGACAGGGAAGATGCTGGTAATGCGAGACTCTCCGATAGCAGCAGGCAGGATTGATCCTGCTCATGCTCCTATTCCTATCGCCTCCCCTTCCGCCCAAGCACACAGCTGTGCCTTGCCAAACCCCGGCCTGCGCCGGGAGAATGGTTCCATCTCTCATGTGCCTACGATCTGCCGGTCAGATAGGAGACAGCCAGGATGGGACTTTTTCGTATGTTTCTTTCGCAACGTCAGGCAACTCTTTGACGAGCGTGCATTGGGATTTCTCGGTTAATTCTATTTTTATATCTCGAGGGGAAGCCAAAGGATGTCAGGCTCTGCAACTCCATCGGTGACAGGAGCTAAGGAAGCGTCCTTGCGGTCGTAGCAGCAAGGTATCATCCAACGGCCCCCTGGACGCCGCGGCATCGGGATGATACCATGTAGGGGACACCCCGGTAGAAGACCACCAATCTAATGATAGATGAATGTCAGTTAATGGAACCCAACGGCCTCCTTCACTGATATCAACATCTCGTCTTGACCAGTCCATGGGAGGAGGATTCTTGCTCGGCCGCACTTTGACCCGAGTTAGGAAGAAGTTGGGGGCCAACATCTCCCCCAGGTTACAACGTCGATCACGCCAGTTTCCTCCACATTCCCCACGTGGGATTTGCCGACCGGCAGTACCCATGACGAGTCCCGGCCGTTTCCCCGAGTAGCCAACGAAAGAGTGCGGGATGTCTGACAGAGTCCCCGAGCGGAGATGTGCTTCGCTTCGGTCTGCCCACTTTTTTCTCGCATGCAACCACGAGGATGGCCGGCTAGATTCCGATTGGATTGCTGAAGGTGAGAAAGTGACAGCTTCCAACTAGGATAGCACCTCAAAAGGAGAGGTTTAAGCGCAGGTTAATAGCTGTTATCGTGGTCCGTCCTTTTGTCGACCACATTATCTCCGGACGGGACGCAAAGGGAGCCGACCAGCAGCATTCGAAGGTTGCCCAATCCGAGCGGCTCGACATTCCCTAATCGAGGATTTCTTTTAGTTCCCGTTCGATTGGGGCAGAAGGTTGGGTTCGACTGCAGGGGTCTTCCTCGCAGGCCCCGGAATATGGTGTTGTAGGCCTTGCTTCACGGTTTCATCCCCCGCAGACATGTCCTTCACCGGTCTTGTAAGGGAGTTGGGTGGAGAAAGAGACGATCTATTCTGAGAGGGAGCCGCGACACCATGCGAACCAACCTGTTGGCCGAACCGCGAGTTCTATGGAGGAATGTTTAGTTCGCAAGCAAGAAATCACTTTGACTCTCCCCTCCCCCGACAGCCCATCTTTCTTTTTGTTTCAACACCAGTGCACAATTTTCTCCTCTCACATAAAGTCCTCCGACTACTTGGTCGTCCGACTTGCCGTCCCAGTCCTGCACCTCCCGGAATCCGGAACCACTACCCTTTGCAGCACCTACAATCGCCGACTTATACTCCAAGAAGTCCAAGTCTACCGGTGGCGGCCGGACGATCTGCTTCCACAACTTTAATCGAACACACTCCTCGAAGGCCGCAAGCACAACCAAGCCAGTCACTCCCGCGAGCACGGAGACTACGACTAAGTTCCCCACCTTGACCGCGACAACGGTCACGGTTCCGTCGGCCCGCGTTGTCTCATTCTGTAGCATTACCTGCGCTGCTCCATGACTCTCCAAGAAGTGGTCTAGCAGCAACTCCAGCCCCTCCTCGACCCCGCGAAGCGCGTCGACGGGATTGCTGCCTAGGCGGCCGTTTCGGGCGCTGACGTTGTCGATGTTGCGGAGGAATGAGTCACCCAGAATCGACGTATACAGTGTTGTGAGGGTCTGTGACAAGTAGCTAACACTGAGGAACGCAATGTTTATCAGCGATCCCGTGGGGTCGATGTCATGTGGGACTTCTTCAGTGTGTGAGACCGTAATAGTCTTCTTCGCTACGTCGACCGTTACCTTGAACCTAGTTGGCGTGAAAGTGGCCTCGCATTGCACCTGATTTAACCTGTCGTAGCTCTCCCCGGCGACGAAGCCATACATGTACCGGGACTGGCCGTTCACGGCAGCCAAAGCGGTGACGAAGTCGCTTACCAGGACGCCCCAGGTAGGGAACCCGGCCCATTTGCCGTTTGGAAGAGACCCGCTTGCCCAGAACCCCGTCGGGGCGTAGATTCCGCCCGGTGTGGGAAGTACGTCGAGCTTCTTGAAGTTAAGTCTGCTTGACGCGTTGTATTGGCATGACACTTTAGAGCGATACCCATCTTCGAGAAATGTATAATGTAGGATACGAGCTTCGGCGATGTCCTCCGGGCCATCTAGTCCGACAAGGCCGACAGACGAGCCGACACCGTACAATCGTCCTTGGTAGGCAAAACCCGTGTTATCTAGCTTCGGGTAGCGAGGAATGGACTCGTTTCGGGAGGATGCCTGGCCCGCGGCGTTTAGTAGCAAACCGGTCCTGGCTGCACAAGATGGCGGGAGCCAGATAACATCAGCTTGTGGACTATCCATTTCGGAATGCATCGCACTTACTCTTCCACGCAAGGTAGCTAAAAGTTCCTAAATCTACGGTTTCCCCCAGGAGCTGATCACAGGGAACCGCAGGGGCACATAGGCTACCCCATAACTCCGAGCTTGATGGGCCGAAGCTAGGAATTTGGACTTGCGTTGAGTAATCCGAGGTTGTGATCTTCGGTGTGAGAGAACCAGCCCAGAGTGCCGCCGGAATCTGGAGCAACAAGAGCCAGATGAGGGTGAACCAATTTCGCCATTCGAAGACGGGGATTCCCTCAACTATCGCCCTTCGAACCCTCAGGTTGTCGAGTGTTATTGGCTTCGAGGGAGGCAGGAGCTGATCGAGGGTAATGAACCGGACGAGGCTCTTGGCGATATGAGTCTGGCTGATGGCGGCCGTAGTTGCGGTGATTTGAACTCCGATCTGGATGTATACCCGGTTATCCTCAACCCATCGCACCAAGCCGTCATCGATGAAAGTCCGATTAGACAGGCATATCGTGGCGATTATCGAAGCCAGAGAGACTATTACCGATAGAATCAAGGACACGATCTTCCATGGGATTAGCATGGTTGCAGAATCCAATAGATAGCGAAGAATGAAATAAGAGCAGAAGTGAAGACTGATAAGCCAGGCCGGGCCAGCCTAAGAGCTCCGATATCACAATGACCACAAGTGGCGATGTTTAGTAGGTTGCTCCTCTCTACCTATCTACTCGGGAACGGAAGCCCTTTAAGTACTGCCTTTTGCGTGTCATAGCCATTGTGAGTTCTAGCCGCCGACTTGACGTGGAGGACGAAATTCTAGCTGCAGAAGGCTTTATCTAGTGATGATTAGGTTCTCACTGCAGCCGCAACTCACTGCTTAAGTGAGTGTCTGCAAGGGGAATTTCTGGCCCGCATGGCACATCCTTGCCAGCCAATCGTGGTAGCGATGAAAGTCTCAGCTGAAGCCTTCAGACGGATTGGTATGCGTTCCCACAAGACTTTGGACCATTTAAAGAGGCCGGCCCTCGGTGGGCCGCAGGTAGGGTCGGAGCCTGGCCCGATACCAAAGCCGCCAAGAGTGCTCGCGCAGCACAAGCATGCAAGGCTGGCTTTATTGACTGGCTATACGATCAATTCGTACAATTCCTGCCGTTAGGTCCCGCAAGGGAGCATAGCCGAGGTGTATTGTTCCTTAGGGTGAGAGGTGGATAGTCGAAGAAAGTTGAAGTCTTTGCTGTTGTTGAGAGGAAGAATCCTGTTGGAGGGCCGTCGAGTTCCCATAACCGTTTTATGATATCGAGCTGGAATCCTGGGGGAATGAAAGTGAACGAGGACTAGAAGCAGTGACAAGGGCGCCGCCGCTATTTACAGGGGGAGACCAGCTCCTCATTTGGGGTTAGGATCATTGATTTGGCTCCGTGAAATGACGCGAACCGGGCTGGGGCCGGGACGGAATTCAAGTCTCAAAAAATAAGGTAGTGCACATGCTGGCCGCGGTGAAGTTTGGAGCCACTCTTATTTTCAGGGGGTAAGACGAGATATTGGGAAGTTGCTGAAATATATAGATCGACCGCTTTTGTCTACGAGTACAAAAAATCAATGGATACATGTCTATAAGTGAGGTTCGCTAAAAGGAACAAACACCAGTCTCCTATGGGCCAGTGGCGTCTCGAGATACTCACGCACCAGAAAGCCTGCATCTTGAGCGGTTAAGGCCAGAAATTAACCCTTCACCAAGACTCCGGTCCAAAAGTCTGCCCCTCGGGAACCTTTGCCTGCACCGCTCCACCTTTATAATCCAACGTTGTTCTCACGATGTCATTTCCCCACCACGAAGGGGGATCAATGTTATTTAGCGTAAACGCAAAGAAGATGACGAGCGTTGCGAGCGCCAGACCGAGGTCAAGGCCGGACGACGTGAGGAAATTGAGGCGCCTCCACCAGTTAAAGTAGCGCGAGCGGATGTGATGTTGGAAGAGATAGCCGACCATTCCCCAGGTGAGGTAGTTGAGCGGGGAAGCTGGCGGGATCATGCCGGCGCCGCCAAAGATGAGCGGGGCCATGAGGTGCTTGATGGGCGAGGTAGGCCAACGTTTGGAGGCGTAGTAGATGATGATTGGGACGATGGCGCCGAGGCCAAAGAAGAAAAAGAGGCCCGAGTAGACTTGGCCTGGGGAAAACATGCGGGCGGGGCCGATGAGACCCCAGATGACGGAGGCTATTTTTTTGTCATGTCGTTCAGTAAGAGCTCTCTGAGTTTGAGGATATCGGACGTGGCATTGGGACTCACCTGCAAAGAATACTCGGCCACCAGGACAAGTGAACCTCTCGGGCTGTTCGAGCGTACATACCCCGTCGATACTGGAAAGGGCGCCGTTGAGAACCATGATCTGAATGAAGCAAGAGAGTGTCGTGGAGACAACCTGAGCGAGGAACATGGTTCTAGGCGGTATCTTCATGTAATGGCCAAATTTGAGGTCCGAGATGAAGTTGAGGGCTTGAGACATGGTGATGTAGCCAAAAGTTTTGAAGCTGATAAGGGTTAGCTTGCACGGAGTGAGGGAAAAGAAAGGGTACTGCTTTTTTGGGGGGGGGATGGGTGATACGTACATCATGAGCGCCAAAGGGCGACCGGGCTGAATGTACCCATAGATGAACTCAGTAAGCACGTTGAGGCCTATCTGATTATTTGTAATTGCTTGAATAATGCCAATGGGTAGCGAGAAGCCAAAGGAGATGAAGACGGCCAAGAGGAACGCCCACCAAGCGAGATTCGTCTGGTATGCGGTGATGGTGTAGAAACCCATGGCCAGCATCTGTAAACGTCAGCATTGCTGAAAAGGACTAATGCCAACTGCCGCGGCTACTTACGGCAACGAAGAGCGACATGTACCACCACCCTGGCGCCTCGGGATATTTCCTCATCATCTTCATATGGACGTCGGGCTTCTCATTTGTACTGTTCCGATACTGGCGCCAAATGCGATCGCCGTTGTGCAAGTAGGTATACACTACCAATGAGGCGATGGCGGCAAACGAGAGACCGTAGGAGATGGCAAAGGTGGTGCTGATGAATAGGGGCGAATACTCGGCGTAGGCTTTCTCATCGAGAGTAAACTCCGGGGTTAGGATACGAGAAGAGTTGTACTTAGCTCCCGTGTTGTCGTAGGTACCCGCATCGCTCATGGGGAGGTATTCGGCGTACCAAACGCCGGTGTAGTGGAAGAGAGAGGCTGTCACAACAAAGAAGAGCACCACGCCTATGAGGGTATTGGCAATAGCATGCCTAGAATTCGCCATGTTAGTCTGCCGGTGCCTTCCATTTCAGCACTAATAAGCGTCTTTCTGTCCGAGGGACACGTACCAGGGAGGAATAAGAGGCGAGCCAACGAAGCCAGCGACTTGGGTCCAGTCGAAAGTCATGGGAAGAATGGATAGCCCCGTGATACCACCAAAAAGTTGGTTAACAATCACATTATCTGGCGCAAGCCATGTCGGAAAGGCAAAGACGCTCAGGAATTGAGCGAAGTAACCGGGGATAAAGTAGTATAGGAAAGCCGCAAGTGTAACATATCCGAACCACCGGTACCTAGGCATATTTCCCCCAAGAACTCTGGGGTCTGGGCGATCGCGTTCCTCATACATGGCGTTCATGAGGGTAACGGACACCAGAGTGCCGGGCCAGATCATGGACGCAGGATACACTGAGAAGGACATGTGAGCAGATGTTCATCCTCTTCCCCCAAGTTACTACTCAACAGACGTACCTAAAAACTTTCTCATTATACCGGCGATACCATATCCGAGTGACTGAGTTGAGATAGTCAACATAAGTTGGAACGGGATGCCGAAGTTTTGCTTGTAAAAGACGAGTTGGGCGAGAATGATATCGGTCGCGTAAGCAACGGAGAACGACACACTGGCCATGACGACAATGACACCATGTTCCTTGACATTGAACGGTCCGGGGTTCAATGACCACTTGATGCCAAAGGTGTTGAACTCTTTCCCTGGCATTACTCTCGCCCAACCATGACCGAGAGGCCATGCGACTATCTGGGCGATAAGGGGGCCAATACCAATGGACGGTTGGCGAAGTGAGAAGAGCGTATTCATAGAGGCCCCCACAACTACCAACGACAGCCCAATCACCCATGCCCTCACAGTATTGCATGGCAGATCTTGGTCGTAATTGTGCACGGCCGCTCGAACCTCGGCGTAGGGTGAGTCTTCCTGCTCCTCATCCTCATCGCCGGCCTTAAGGGCGATTCCTTCCTCGCTGTCAAGATCCACAGAACTCTTACCCCCAGGTCCTTGACCGAGAGGATCAAGAAGTAGCTCGTGTTCGGAGCCCTCATCATCATCGTCATCGCTGCGGTGAGCCGCGGAGTCGCCCCATTGCGCCACACTCTCTTTCAAGTTCTCGATGGGGCTCCTTGAGAAGTCGGACGTCTTGGCCGAGGATCCCGTCGCCGCAGAAGGATGTTCGGTTGGGGTGGAAGGCCCGGCAACACCGGATGGTGTGCCGTCCCTAGCCCGGGACATGGCCTCAGTAGGGCGTCGTAAAGTGCGTTTGGCAGCCTCAGAGACAGCTACTTCTCACATGAGGTGCTGGGGCTTGGGTGAGGGGAATTGGGGTGAGCAAGGAACGGATTGATGTGAGCAGGTGTCACACATGCGATCCCTGACTCTGTCACAGCATGCGGCGCACAAGACACACGGATTCATCAATTATTAGGAGTTGATGAGCCAGGATTCTTCAATTTATCCGAATGTCTGGTGTGAACGGCCCAGCGATGAAGTTTCTCAGATAACTCGTCCCGAACGAAGTAATCGATGAAGATAAGATATCGGGAGATGCTAAGTGAGGAGCCAGGACGCCGTAGTTTGGCGGAAAATTGTACCGTGCTAAGGTTCGAAAGGACAGTGTCCTTTTTTGTGTTGATCCAATCCTGGTCTTCTCTCAACTGAAAAGGGAAAAATTGGGGTTTAATCCGTTTATAATAAGTGGGAGAATCAACGTCAATTGAGAAACTGGTTCTCGAAGCTTAAAACAGGGTACCAGTGTAGATGAAGTTGAGTTTGCTAAACTGAGGCTGAAACGTGTCCTGGATTCAGCACTGACAAAGTAGAAACAGGCGACGCACCTCCCACGCGCATCGTGTACTTCGTACCTGCGCCTGCGTATGCGTCTGCGTCTACACTTCACTCCCGCAACAACCGCGCGTGTGCCGGAATAATATTAAATTTAAAATGCTATCCAAATCACATTCATATCATCTAAATCTAGCTCGTAAATTATGCTATTCAACATATCATAGTCCTTGCTTTGCCGCTTCTAGATTTAATTGTACACTGAATCATGACATCCTCAAAGTCGCCCTTTATCATACAAATATGCACCAAGCTACGCCGCCGTCTTTCTTAGACAAGTCGCGAAAATACCAGGGATGAATTAACACCTCCGAAGCCGAAGCTATTTGATACAGCCACATCCAGTTTCTCCTTCTTCTGGGACTTGTTAGGGACTAGGTTGAACTTGATGCCGCCAACATCAGGATGATCCAAATTCAGCGTCGGAGGGACAACTCTCTGCATCTTCAGGTTAGCAGATGAACGAAACAATTTCGAGGTCTAGGGGTCCTATTACCTCATGGATGGATAGTACCGTCAATAGCGCTTCCAGTGCACCTGACGCTCCTAACAAATGGCCCGTTGCACCCTTGGTGCTGCTCACCGTGACCGCGCTCTCGTCAACATCCTTCATGAGCTCCTTAATCGCCAGAATTTCCGCAGCGTCGCCCACGCGCGTTCCGGTAGCATGCGCATTAATGTAATCCACCTCAGATGGCTTCACCCCAGCTTCCCGAAGAGCTTCCGCCATGGCTCGGAAGGCGCCGTTCCCATCTGACCTCGGCGCTGTTATATGATGCGCATCGGCCGTCGATCCCCAGCCCTTAATCTCAGCATAAATATGCGCGCCCCGCCTTTTAGCATGTTCTAATTCCTCAAGAACGAGCGCTGCTGCACCCTCGGAAATCACGAACCCATCCCGGTCACGATCAAATGGCCTGCAGCTTGCGGTTGGGTTGTCATTGTAAGCTGTCGACAACGACCGGGCCTTTCCGAAGCCGGCAAGGGCTAGGGGGTGGATGCATGACTCCGTGCCGCCGGCCACCATGACGTTAGCGCGGCCGAGCCTAATCGTAGTGAACGCGTCGCCTATCGAGTCGGCCCCGGTGGCGCATGCGGTTGTGATGCATCGCGTGGGTCCCTGGAGACCGTACTTCATCGAGACATGGCCCGCTGCCATGTTCAAGAGAATCTTAGGTACAAAGAACGGCGATAGTTTCCTGTAGCCCTATTTATATATATTGGCACCGGTCAATTCGTATGCTCTACTGGACCCATGACTTACATCCTGATTGTATCCCAAACTCGTAGTATAAAGATGATCGAGATCACCGATTCCGCTACCCATCGATATGCCTGACATCGCTTTCTCTTTCTCCGTCGTCGCCGCCCAATCAGCATCCTTCAAGGCCATTTCGCTCACGGCGACGGCGTACTGCGTATGTCGCGGCATCTTGTCCTGCTCAACAGCGCTGAGCCATTCCGACGGTCGCCACTCATGCTCCGCCCCCTTCCCTTTATCCAAGGGAACGAGACCTGCAACGGTGCTCGGAATTCCCTTCCACTGGCTCGCCGGCGGGCGCTCTGTAAGGACACTAGTAATACCCGACTCGCCAGCTAGAACCCGTTTCCACGTCGTTCGCATCCCCACGGCGAGGGGTGTAACGGCGCCGAGGCCTGTCACCACAACTCGCCGCATCTGGACGCCTTGTTTCTGAAAAAGAAGTGAAAGGCGGATGACATGCTTTCCCGCCTACGGAGTTTGGTGAAGTGAGCTTGATGCAGGCGACATATGACGGAAGCTTCAGCTCATATACCGGTCGCATGAAGAGATCGTGAGTGAGTGAGATAACGGACACTGTGGAACCTATGCCCAGAATCAAATACTTAGACAGTGCGAATTATCCGGCTAAGGGAAGAATTCCTGAACTTATTTTTTAGAGGCTCCACACGCCCGAAATTTTCCCGTCGCGACTTTCAACCTCATCTCGCGAATCGCTGCCGAAAAGGTCGGAAAGGCCAATTCACAATCCTCCACATCCTCCCACGATGGCCTGTTCACGGTGCGGCGTCCACGCGAGGACGCTCCTCCAACGGGCGGCCCAGCAACAAACCCAATTCCTTCCCGCCAATTCGCGACTCGCTCGATTACCTACCGTCACTTCCGTGCCTCAGAGAATCGCAACGCAGACCCGGAGAGAGAGCACGCAGGCGGGTCCTGCGAAGACGAAGACTAGCGCGAATAAACTCGACGATAGCATCCCCACGAGGAAGATTGATGGTACCGGTCTCGTCGGCTCGTACGCGATCTATGGAGGGACGCACCAGGTTTACAAAAAGGTTGCTCAGCCTGCGGCCTACAGCATCTCGGAGGTAGACCGACACAATGGCACGTTAGAAACGCTGGAGGATGGCGAGGAGGTGGGCAAGTCAGAGGGCACATGGCACAAGCGTACGTATCCAAACCAAACACCCCGCCCCATCGTTTGAACTGCGGATCCTAACATTTTTCATTGTTCATTCTAGTCCTCGGCCTACCGCCCACCTTTAGCACATGGTCCCAGGTCACCATGCTCCGGATGTATGTCCTCGTCGCCCGCGCCCGTTGCCTCGAACCCGAAGCCTACCAATCCTGGTACCACCAGCTGCTCAACCACTTCTTCTTCGATTGCGAGCGCATGATGGACATCAACCACGGTCTCACCGCCAAGAGCCAGCGCCAGCGCTTCCTCAAGGACCTCTTCGTGCAGTGGCGCGGCCTCCTTGCCTCGTACGATGAGGGCATCGCCAGGGGTGATGCCGTATTGGCGTCGGCGGTGTGGAGGAATCTGTACAAGGCGAAGGAGGATGTGGATTATAGGAATGTGGCGGCTGTGGTGAGTTGGATGAGAGCGACGCTGTGGGATCTAGAGAGGATGAAGGATGAGGATTTGGTCATTGGGAAGGACTTGTTTAGGAAGTCGCTAGAGTCGCAGTTCCATATTGTGGATACGCAGATTAGTGCGGTGAAGGACCAGGTTGTAAAGCCCGGGGATAACAAGTCGAAATGATCCTGGTAAAGGCTCTGTTCTATTTGCCAAAGAAAATCTTGGTGGGAAACTTGTAAGAGATACCGACTTCACTCATTGTCATATTACGAGATGGTTCTAGAAAAATAATAGAGTGTATGATTTCAGATGGCATGTGGTATTTCTTTCTCGTTTTCTCCTTTAAAAAGATCTTAAAAGAAAGAAAAAAAAAATCAATGCTTGTGCCAGCGAAGGGGATTGCTCTATAACGGGCTGCGACTGGGATTGGCAAGGCAACGCGAACAGAGGAACTTCGGATGTTAAATGGACGTGGGTTGGGAACACCCTCATGGCCCGAGGACAAAGGGTTGGTTAGTGGCATCGAGCCTGTCGGCCTAGCCCGCAGATATCGGATAGGCAGAGATACTTCCCCGTCCGTATGTCGATGTGATCCTCCGTCATCTTGCAATTCGAGTTAATTGGGCAGACGAGGTTCTTCAAGGTGAATGGCGTTGTGGCCCTTCTCGTCGGGATGGAAGTTCTAGCAAACTTGTATAAAAATTCTCTACGGGCGATGTCGAGCGGGGTGGTATCCCTTTCAACTCGTCTTATCACCAACCTCGCTGCGTTGGAGCATGTCATGTTCGAACATAGGTGTTAAGATTGAGGAATTACATCTCGGGCTAGTCTAGGTCAGGATATCCACCCATTTGTTCCGAGGTGAAAGCACCGCTCCGTCAGGCGCAGCCTTTAGCCTCGCCAGTACTTCCATGGCAAGCCAGTCCTGTGCAGTTAAAACCAGCAATCGAGTTGGCAATAGAGCCTGGCCATTTCCGGTTCCAACCCAGAAGGCGGGCTTCCGGCCTTCATGCACCAGGCCCCCAGACATGACCAAGCTCATGGAGGTATTGGAGGTGACATCGGGCATGTCCGCATGATCAGCTGTGTTTAGATGCGTGAATGAGCCCTTGTAAGTGGGGAGATTGCCATTGAGCGGTTACAGACCCAAGCTAGACGATAGCTTACCTTCAACGTTGCCATTTCTCAGTGGCCTCGACAATGTATGCGTAGCATTCGACCCATAGCAGGAGCTGGTGGTCTTTGTCCGGCCAGCGTCTGGTCCATTTTCCCGCTTTGGATTGTCGACGGCTGAGTATTCGAATCCATGTCAGTGGCGAAAGGTATCAATCAACCGCTCTGTGTAACGATGCCCCTGATTCTGAGCCCGGTTCAGGGCCCTGGGCGCGCTCGAACGGATGAGCCCGCACCAGGACTAGCGTACGTGGAGGCAGGTCCCGCTAACCCCGGTTCTGCGTTCTATGCTCACCCACTACACTAATGCATGCAGGAAATTTGACGGGGATTTTCGGTCTTGGCCCCGATTCGATTCGGTGCCCAGCTTTCGACGTCGAAGCCATACGAAATACTTTGTGGTTGAGTCCCCTGAAGCTCTCATCCGAATGGGTTCCGGCCTATGAATTGGAATAAGCGCGAGCCGTGAATATCGATGATCTTTGAAAATACTGTGATGCTCACACTCACCGCTCCCGCGATTGTCGACGTGTATTATCCTCTCTGTCTCTCCCCATCCCCCCGTGCTCCATTCTACTTCTCGCCTTCTTGCGCTTCCCTTCCTGAGTTAGCCCCAGTGCTCTCACTCCGTGTCTGCCCTGCACCTACCTCAGGCCAGTCGGCCAAACTTGCCCGCCCCGCCCCGGCCATCCCCAAAAGCTCAGTCGAAATATTTTAGCTGGCATAGTGGCCTGTTCGCTCTCATGCCTTGGGAGGCGAGGAAGGTAAAAGATAGAGAGGGAAGAGGGAAAAGAACTAAATAGAGACACAAGGAAACTATCATGATGCGCCGGTCTCTTTCCAGCCTCACCCTCCTCGTCGCCAGCGCCATCAGCATCGCCCTAGCCCAGGACACCACCCCTCCTGTGGACAATAGAACCTGCCCGATGATGCAGCTAGGGCAGCCAAATTACTGCAGAGAATGGCACATTGTTGTCGAGGGGGAAACCTGCGAAGATATTTGGTCCCAGCACAGAACCTGGATGACGCTTGCTGACTTGTATGGCTAGTCTTATACATTGATCTTTCCCCTTTTCTTTTTCTTTCTTAACTGACCACCACCTACTCTAAGCTTCGCCTGGAACCCTACGGTCGGCAAAGACTGCTCCGGCCTCTACACCGGCGACTACGTCTGCGTTGACGTCCCGCCCCAGAAAGCCTTGACTATTACTTTTCCTAAGCCCGAGAAATTCACCCTGCCAGAGTATTTCTCATGGACCCCAGCGCCTCTACCAACCGTTGATGCAGACTTCACGCCCACGCCCTCCCATGGTCCAATGCCGACCAATTGCATATCTCACTACCTGGTGAAAGCCGTAAGATAGTTTACTCCCCGCAACTCTTACTTAGAGTACTCTAGCTAACCGATACCGTCGGGGTTTTCCCTACTTCTCTCATACGTTAGGGCGAAACATGCGATGACGTCCTAGCAGATTGCGAACTTATCACGCGTGAGCAGTTCTTCGAATGGAATCCCGTCCTTGGTGGGAACTGCTACGGCCTCTTGGCAGATCACTACTACTGCGTATTCGCGTTTGACAAGGAAAACCTGCCTCTGCCGGCGACTGTCAAGACGAAGCCCGAGAACGTGCCGGCGGACTCGGCGTCTAATTGTGTCGCTTGGTACAGAACCACTGACGGGGACGACTGTTATCTTATCTCGCTTATATTCTCCACGTTCTCCGAGATCGACTTTAAGACATGGAATCCTTCTGTTGGTTCCGATTGCTCCAGCCTTGAGGTGAGTTTGAGAAGTGTCCTCATGCTCGAATCCGAGTGGGATCAAGCTGACTTCTTGTTTCCCTGTAGATTGGCATGTACTACTGTGTGCCATCCCCGGGAGTCCGACCACAAGGACTACGACAGTCATCCCGACCTTCCTTGAGGACTATTAGTCTACAACCCCTCTAGCAACAACAACAATACACTCTGGCGACACTACCACAACCACTAGCGAGGCTATAGTACCCACTCCATAGCCGATATAGGGAAGTAACTTTTCACTAAGCGCCGCTTCCTGGCTCCGCGCCATTCGTCCCCATATTGTCCCACAGCTGGCCCCATATCTCCTTGGCTACCATGGTCGAAGGTTGCCGTCGGTTCTACTTCGTCCAGCCGGGAGATAGTTGCTGGCAGATTGCCACCGATGCTGGAATCACGGTTAGGTAAGAACTTAACCTGCAGCCGACCTAAGCAAATCTTAGTCTCTCCAGTTTCCCCTTTCTTCAACTGAGGCTAATGCTTGTTTTCGCCCCTTCCTGCAGTCAATTTTACGAATGGAACCCCGCCGCGGCGCCGGATTGCTCTGGGGTGTGGGCCAACGTCTATGTGTGCGTTGGCATTTCCAGCCCCGTTGCGACTTCTCGGGCATTCCTCCTCAGCCTACATGAAGTTACCGCATATTCATCTCTCTCTCCTTCCTTGTATTTTCTTCGCAGTAGTGTTGCTAAAATATTAGATCCAAATTTACACACAAGTCTTAATACAGTAATTGAAGCTTCTTCCTTGTGTTTCGTGGAGTTTTCATTCGCTGCACGAAATGTGGAAATCATAAGTCTGTAATAAACATAATCCTGGTGGCATACCGCCTCCCATCAGGTCTCCAGCCGTAAGTGCCCGGATGCCCCTCCTCGATCCAATATCCTTTTCCAGGTTGTTCGCCTCCTTCCAACTTAGCTGTAAACGGATACCAGACTTTACCTGACAAGCCGTCCTTGTTCACGACGGCTAACAGGCTTTCCTCCCGGGCCTTGCTAGAAAAGAAGTCGCAGGTGAGGCACTGCGACATCAGAACGGAGAAGTCTCGTAGTCTCTTCATCTTGTTACTCATCTCTAGTAGCGGCTTGAGGATGATGTCCTCGATCTCTTCAAGACAATCCCAAGGGGGGACCGTTCCGTTGTACGTCTCTGGCCCAAGGTCTAACTGTAGATGAGCGAGCTTGGGAAAGGCACGCGGCATCAGGTCGAGATACTCAGCGAATCGCGCTCGTTGCTGGACCTCATCCGTGCCGTCGAAGGAGCCAAAGAGTGTAAGGTCGCAGCGCGCTATTAGAGATGTAATGTGATGTATATCATGGCCGGTTAGGATAGGGGCGTCTGGCACGACATATTGTCGAAGGAGGCCACGGACCAGGGGATCGTCTCTTATAAATACTGTGTTTGTCGAGCACATTACATCCCAGGCATCCTCGTAGCTAATATATATATAGAGGTATAAGTTCATGCATTCGAGACAGGCTCTGGGAGTTTCTTACCCTCGCTTGCATGATAGCAAATAGCCCATAATTCCTACTTGGCACCTCTCCGGGTCGGTCGACGGCCAATACCAGCAGCTCCTGAAGCCTCCTTCCAAACATGAATCATACCACACAGGGAATTGGTAGTAGTAGCGCCAACCTTTATAATCATGAGGCATGCTACTGTGGCAGACACAGCTCCACCACCTCCAGGCGGGAGCCCCACGCGGCTTCGGCTCCCACTTCCTGGGTGACGGGAAATACTCCGCAAGCGGGGGATATCCTCCGTGGACAGGCTCATGGCCTCCGCTTGTCTCGTAAGTGTGCAACGGAGCCCGGAAGCGGAAGTCTATGTGGATCGTGCGGTCGCCGAAAGCTGTGTGGAGGATCTTCATACGGAGCTCCGTGGGCAAACGGAAGAAGAGAGACTGGTCTTGTGGTGAGACATCCCGCGCCGCTGGATGGACATCAGGAGGACGGGGGAGAGATGGGAGAGGCGGTGGCTCTGACGACGCTTGGGACTCCTCTTTACGGGTCTTGTGCCTACGTACGAATTCGCGGAGGCGGCGCATCTTTTCAATGGGGGAAAGAAAAGAAAAAAAGGGGAGAAGGGGGTTGGCTGGAAGCTGGATGTGGTCTGAGGGACACTCCAGGGAGTCCAGAGGGAGAAACCAGTCAAATATATATGCTCAGGCCACAGACTCGGTGAGGTTGCATGTCCAATTTTAAAATCCAACTGTCAAAATACGGAACAGAGGATCCAAAAAAAGCGGGAATAATAACTCTCTGTAAAATAAAAACTCAGTATATCGTGTAGATGTAATGACTACTGCGAGGTCTGAACTAAAATCGAGCGTTTTCCTTGACTCTAACACGGGTGACGGGTGAAACTCCCGAGTGTGTCTATCTCGGGCCGGAGCCGAGCCCGATGGCTGGGCTCAGGTCAGGAGGTTCAATGCTGGCTCTAAATAAATTGTACCCCGCTGCTTTGTTTCAACCCAACGAAGCCTCGGCCTCATCTTGAGAGAGAGTGCGAGAAGAGGAAAGAGAAAAATTGAACACCATCGTATCGTGTTGCTCGATGACTAAAGCTAAACGTTGCTGCATTTCGGATTTAACGACACCATTTACGATACCCCAAGAACTGCCAGCTCTCGAGACGCTGGTAGCCCCCACTCTCGCCTTCTACCTCAAAGAAACTTGAAAGCGACGTGATCTTCACCCAGAACAGATCCGGTCATGCAGGACTCGAGTGAATTCGCTGCGGAGAACCGCAGGCGCATGCATGCCGGCGAACTCTATTACGCTTTCACACCCGACCTTACTGCAGACAGGCGACGATGCGGGGCAGCCTGCGCTAGATATAACGCTGCTGGGGGGAACGTGTCTAGGCGCCATCTCCTCGAGTTGTGGAAAGAGTAAGGGTCCTCTTGTCACCCTTTCTCACCAGGCCCCTTCTCTCCTAGCCACGACCGCATTTCCTGCCCTTCTGCGGAGAAAAAGCTCTCACTAACAGGCACTGTTCGCATCAGTATCGTGCAAGATACCACAGTGTTGCCCCCTCCATTACCCCCGCCGCATGATACCCCAGCAGAGGACGACAAGTTACTGAAGGACTTCCCTTGGGTCGAGGCTCCTGTCAGGATGGACTATGGTTTTAATGTGAAGTAATGATGATCCGCTTGCTTCTCCCCAAATCTCTCTTCCTCGCAAATATCTAACCACCGTATAGGCTCGGCAAGAACGTGTACGTCAACTTCGGGAGCACATGGCTAGACACGTGCTTAATCACCGTCGGTGACCGCACGCTCATCGGTCCCAATTGCTCCTTCTTCAGCGCCACGCACCCTCTAGACCCAACCCTTCGCAATGGAACTTCCGGTCCCGAATCAGGAAAGCCCATCGTTATTGGCCCGGATTGCTGGCTCGGCGGTAACGTAACGATTCTGGCGGGTGTGACGATCGGTCGGGGATCAACCGTTGGAGCTGCGAGTGTCGTGACAAAGGACGTGCCCGAGTATACTTGCGTGGCTGGGAACCCCGCTAGAATTATTAAGAGAGTTGACGTATCGGCGCCTCCTCCTGATGAGGGCGGCGCTGTTGTGACCGAATAGATTTCATAGACCGCCTTGAATTGAAAACGACGATATGACTAGGACGAGGACGTTGATCCAGCCCCAGGCGAAGGGGATCCACGGGGACATCGAGAAATAGCCTGCGTTGTAAACGGCACCGAGCCTGGACATCTCAAGAGTCAGTATGTTCCTTCACCGCCTCAACCGCGAAGATGCTAGATAGCGCTGGCGACCGGGCTCCTTCATTATTCTTACATCAGTCCGACCACGCTCCCTGCAACAAGACCTTGAGCTCCTGCCACAAACAAATAGGCGACAGGGACGATCCAGAGATACTTCCACGCAGACCTCTTATGACCGTGCATCACGACTGCGATGCTGGCAGAGGCAAGGTGGAAGATGGCGTAAATGATGAGCGTCCATAGCAGCGTGAACCTCCATATATCACTGATGTAAAACAAGGACCGCTCCTTTCTCTCCGTCGGGTCGAGGATCTCCCATGTTAAGCTAGGAAAGGGCGGCGTCGTGTAGCCAGGCGGCGGCTGGTGATGAATCATTTTGAGGTCGTCGTCGTAGTTAGAGTTTGGGGTTGTCTTAATTATTGACGGTACGAGTTCTGGAAAGGGGTGGGAATCAGCCCCTTCCCTACCGCAAGAGTCGTGGTCGCTCGCGTCGCATTATGCTCTTGTCTGGCGGTAATGGTGCACAATTGGCACCTCGGTGGATGGGACAAGAAGCGGTCGAGGTTTTGTTGTCTTGAGGTTGGCGGATTCAACATTGACGCATTGGCTGCTGATGTCACACTGGAGTGCAGCAATTTTAGGGGGTTGGCGTCGCCGTGCCAGCTCAATCCACCCCACAGCCTGACGTGTTACAGTGCGGTAGTCAATTCCATTTACTGGCCTGGCTACTGGCGCACATGAAACTTGCGCCGAAGCTTCAAGCCGTCGACGTGCCTCGGTAATTTCTGTCTTGATGACACACGATCCCACGATCCCGCGACCAGCGACAGCGACATCCCTAAACCAATCCCCGAGACCAAGAAGAGTTCGACCCTCCAACTCCGACTGATAATGCTCCCAGAGTAAGGCGCATCTGGAGTCGGTTTCTCTGCTCTCTTCTTATCAATATTGTCACGGTCGCCGCCAAGGAAAGATGCCAGTCGATCACCTTCTCAACACCGTCCTCGAGCTCTACCAGAGCGTCCACGATGGACCCAAGACGGACCAGATCGTCGGCACTACCGTCACCCTCTTGACGTCCCTCTCGAACCCTCTGAATCTCGCCGTTCTCACATCGCAACTGCTCACAGCGCCCGCTATCTGGCACCGAGGCGACGGCATCCAGACGAGCTATCGAATCATCTCCATCTACCACACGGCAGCCCTTCGCACGCGACGGGGCGAAAACCAGACTCCGCTTCCCGGGGGAAGAGCGCCGACGAGACTAGACTGCGACGCATGGGCAACCGCTGTTGTCAGAGGCGCCGATGACCGATCGAACCGGTGGCAGCACCTCTTGGTGCTCACCGGAATACTCATGGGCATGGCGGCGCCTGCGGAAGACGCCTCGCACACCTTATCGAGGCGATTGAGAAACACCCTTGAGGAGGCTATCGTCAAGGCAGCCAACTTAGCTCTCGGAAGGCCAATGCAGGATGGACCTGTCGCTGCGGCTTCGATATCTATTGCGCTCGGCTTTGCGCTACCGCTGCTCTCCGAAATTCATCTCTATGCGATAAATTCCGATACGCTTCTTCCAAACGCCATGTGGACCTTGACTGGCGCAGAAGGTTTCCAAGAGGGCGAATTCCTATCCACTATCAATAGCGGTCTCTCGAGGCAGGGCCAGATTATCCACTGGCCCTCGACCTCTGCATCTTTCCAACAGCTACAGCAACTTATGGCGCGACCGGTAGTGACTAGCATGGGTGCGACCGCGAAGCTGATAATGCACGCCATGCAACACGCAAGAGATTCTGCAGTCGTTTTGCAAGCTCAGGATGCCCTGCTAGACTTCTCCCGCTTAATTCTCGAGAGGTGGCAGCCTTGCCAGCTTTCCGCGATTGAGGTGAAGACCGAGGGCCACCACCTTAGCGACGAGACCATACAAGTGACTTGGCCCGCGCTTTGGGACCTGCTGAAGAAAATACTATTCTCTGTTACCGCGGCGCTGCAACCGCTGATGGCGAGATCTCTTCTCGACCCGAGGCTGCGACACGACCAGACAGCTCCGTCGGTGGCCACGAAGACTCTACATACACTTAGGAACCTGTACTTTATCTCTTCGAGAGACGGCGCTGGAGCATTTCAAGCTTACACCTTCACCAACCTTACAGCTATTGATATTCTCTCGCGATATCCACCCGCGACAATCGCACTGCTCGGAGAAATACGACCTGACGCTTCTGGTGTCATCCCTGCTCATGCCGTTCACAAGACCCTGGACCTGTTTTATCTTGGATTAGCGGAGCATCTTCCCCTGGGCATTCCCGCAGATGCCTGCGAGCTTCTAATAGTCCAGCCCGCAATGGCGTATCTCTCTCAAGTCCCCACTTCTTTCCTAACGAGAGAACTTTTCGAATCCGCCCACAGCGCGATCCTCTCCGTCCTCTGCTGCCCGCAGAACAGCTCCCTGGCAACAAACCTCGTCCCGTTCTACGTCGACCGACTCTTCACCTCCTTCCCCGCGCACATCTCCCCTCGCCAGTTCCGCGTCGCCTTCAAGACCGTCATCCAGATCGTCTCCCCTCCCTTCCCCGTCTCGGCCACGAACCCCGAGCTCGCCGAGGTGCTCTTGGAGATGCTGCGCTTCCGGGCCCTCAATGCCTCCGGCGCACCTCTACCGCCGGCCGTTGATGCCAAGCCCGAGTCGGGTCCGTTGTCAGAACAGACGACGCTAATCCTCGCGCTTGTGGATGCTCTTCCGTTCCTCCCTCTGCCGCTTGTCGACGACTGGCTTACCTTGACTGCTGAAGCCGTGGCGCAGGTCGCTGATCCCGAGCTCAGGTTGCCCGTGAGGAATAGGTTCTGGGAGGTGTTGGAGAGCGGGGAGTTAGACGTGGGCAGGTCATCTTTGGCCGTGTCGTGGTGGTACGCGCGGGGCGGAAGGGATCTAGTGCTGAAAACCGGGCCTCCTGCCGGTCAGCAGTATGTCATGAGCGGCGCGCTGGGGGCAGATGAAAAGCAGGGCGAGGGGACAGACCAAGCTAGGCTTTAGATGAAAGAAGGTTACTGCGGCGGCGTTATAAAACTTAAGAGTGAGTTCCTGGTTGTAAGATGAAAGATGCATGTTGTATAAACGATATACTAGACTACAATATATGCTATTCAGCAAACGGTCTCCGACCGCACAGCGGTGTCTATGGGGCTAAACTGATATGCCAGCAAACAAACGCCCGAAGTCCCCCAGCCCTATTGATAACGCCGCCCGTTCTATTCCTACCATCGTCCATTCATGAAACCATCCATCCTTAAGCACCCAAGAGTCGCACCTCAACAGTCCCGTCAAGAATCCTCACGGACCCGCTTACGGGACAATCCAACTCAATACAGCTCCGATTACTACACCCCTGGATCAACCCCATCAACATACCAGCAACCTCCCTCCTCGGGACCCCGACAACTTCCGATTCCCCTTCCTCCTCGGTCCCCTGCGTCTCCACCCCGTCTCCACCACCAGCGCTACCCAGATACTCAATCTCGACGAAACTCAGTAGCTCTTCTCCTTGTTCCGTGGTCCAAGTGTACTCGGATACACGAGCTGGTTCGCCTCCGACCTGCACGGTGAAGTTGCCGCCCGTGGGACCGCCGGCTTCGTTGGCTTCCTCTTGGAGGGCTTGGATACATTTGGAGGCGCCGAGGCGGGAGGCTGGGTGGGTTGGGGAGATGTTGCAGGTGTAGAGGGCGGATTTGGGGACGACTGAGGCTGTTGCTGAGGTGGAGAGGAGGAGGAAGAGAGGTGCGAGGTGCGATGAGAGGTGCATTTTTGTTTTGGTTCCGAGTTGAGGTTTTGGTGGTTTGATGGTTTGACTTGTTTCCTTTGTTGGTTTTGATGAGCGTCAGCTAGGAACTATGTATGCGGGAGAGTAATATTGGTGATTTTATCAGCTGTGAAGTCAAGTCTAGCATGGATTGATTTGATTATACACAAGCACGAGGAAAGCAAAACCGAAATATATATATACGGAAGCCACGAGACAGGCACTTCCCTTCTCCTTTTATACAGATCGAATCACCATCTCACATGTCGTACCCTCCGTCAGCGACCAACCTCCCAACAGGCCAACCCGTGTCCTGCATCATTCGGTCATGACCGGGTTACAGGTTACGAAGTAAAGCCACGGCCAGACGCTGGATAGCCAACGGACCAGTAGACGGCAAGAGATGCCCTCCGCCATTCCAGGGACCCTGCGCTCTCGGCGATTTACCTGCAGGCTGCTACCTTCTCGTGGAACGCCGCATGTGCCGCGCCACGGATTCTCGGGCTGTAATAGGGCGGCTCTGTCCGGATGACGCGACGCTTTCGAGAACCTGGCTATAATAAGAACTCGTCCGGAATGCCCCCACTAGCATGGCCTCAATTTTGGCGGGCAGAGTATATTGCAAGGCACCCGCCCTTACCTGATGTCCAGCATCGATGGGATGACATCTCGGCGGTATGATTTCTGGTCGTCACGACGAGGATCGTAGAGTAAATAGTGTGGAAAATATGCAAAAATAAATCCGAAAAAATCACCTCCAAAGACAGGCGGGCCAGATTGATGTACTGATAGGATGTATGCGATCAACCATCCATAACCACGGGCTGTCTTTCTCCTGCGCTCTTAGGAAGCCTTCAGGCAGATTCAGCTCTTTCTCGTGAAAAAGATGATTGCCAGCCTCCGACTCTACGTAATGGGTCGACGATTTCTTCGAGGACAGGATCAACCCTGCGCAGGGACAATATCTGTAGCATTGGTGCGCTGGTAGAGTCGTGTTTTAACTTACTTGAGACAAGGCTGTGCTGGCGACGTATTCAGACCCTCGCTCGTGGATTTAGAGGGTAACCCCACTGTGGTTGGCCATTGAAAGCCCAATGACGCGCTTCAACTCACTGCACCGTTGCATCGCTACCTGCTCAGTGCTGGCTTAACTTGGTGTTGCACAACGACTTTCATTTTTTTTCTTTTTTTGCCTCGGGGTTAAAAATAGAATAACGCTTAACTCCCGCGCCGTCTCGTGCCCTTGCCTTGTTCCGACGTGCTGCAACTCAAACTCAACCTCCCACCCTGCCGCATCGAATCCATCAAGTTAACTCGTTTGCAGGCAGTGAGCTCGGCGACGCGAAGCGATTTAGTTGCCGTTGATCCGTCTCCGAGAGAAACTACCTGCATTATCCGCTCGAGCTGAAAGGCCCTAGAGTCCTGGGAGTGACTCCGTACCTCCCGGGGCATCGCAAATAACAACGTCCCTTAGCCAGAACAATCGAAAGCAAACAATCACATTATTGCATTTGATCTCACTCTCCCTGCGTCACCATCCCCGCCCTAGGATCAAAGAAGTTAAGTTCATTGCTATGGACCAGGGGTGAATAAGGAGCTTAAGGCGAAAAGGGACCTAACCGAAGGAATTTCTCCTATCACTACTTGATCATTCCCTTCAATTAGTCTATATACTAGCTGCATGCTGTCCTGCTTCAGCAAGTAGATTGTGCCTCTACATTCTTTAGCCTTTTGGAGGCACAGGAAGGCAAACCATGGAACATCCCCGTGTTTGGAGCCCGCAGTGGAGGTAAGACCTTTGCTTTCTTGAAATCTAGCCAGTCCCCGAGCTCGTTCCTCGAGGCGCATCCACATATTTCCTCCCTTCCAGCCTGGTTCTTGAGGAGTCCTGTGTGTCTCGCCCTCATCTTCTTCTCCTTCATACACCACCATTTCGCCCCCACTCAACTATCGATTCTCTTCTAGAGCATCGCCAGTTCACAGACTACCGTTGCCACTATGATTCCTCGTGCCCGAGGTCGCAGAGGCCTAGTTTGGCTGGATGACCCTGCCGAGCTCCTCCCCCTCTTTCCGGACGAACCAGAAGCTGACAGTCCCACCTCATCAAGCTCCGGTGCCACCTTTGAACCCCCACGGCCGGACAGGCAGTACTACCGTGGCGGCCCCAAGTCTCTCTCCGGCATAGCCCTACGCGCCTTCTGCCTTGGCGGCGCCCTATCCGCCTCCGTCATTGCCGGCATCGCCATACTATTTTTCACTGAGAGTCCCCTTTGGCGCCTGCCCTTCTTCTTCGGTGCCCTCTCCACATTCCACTTCCTCGAGTTTTGGGCGACGGCAGCTTACAACACCCCGTCCGCCGAAATATCCTCCTTCCTCCTAACCGCCAACTGGCCCGCCTACTTCATCGCCCACGTTAGCGCCTCCATCGAATGCCTCGTCACCAACCTCCTCTTCCCCAACCAAACCTGGGCACCCTTCAACTTGGGTCGACTCTTCGTCGTCCTTGGTCTCGTCCTCGTCACCGTGGGCCAAGTCGTCCGCTCGGCCGCCATGATTCAATGCGGAGAGAGCTTCAACCACATCGTCCAGCATAGCAAGAAGGCATCGCACTCCCTCATCACCACCGGCGTGTATTCTATCTTCCGCCATCCTTCCTACTTTGGTTTCTTTTGGTGGGCTGTGGGGACCCAGCTCGTTCTGGGGAATGTCATTTGTTTCTTGGCGTACTCTGTTGTTATGTGGAAGTTCTTTGCTGGGAGGATTCCGAATGAGGAAGCATCTCTTGGCAGGTTCTTTGGAGAGGAGTATGAGACGTATCGGCAGAGGACGAGAGTTTGGATTCCTTTTATTGCGTGAGGGAAGGTCGGAAGCTTGGGTGGGGAGGGGACATTGGGTTCTCGTTTGTGTGCTTCGATGGTAATACGAGTCTGTATCCAGAAGTGACAGGCCAGGATAAGCCATTAAGTTTTGATGTGGTGAAGGAGACATCACTATGTATATTTACGGGTACTAAGCGAGGTCGCATGATCGAGTAGAGTGGAAAAATGCATCCGAATCAGAACACTAGGATTATGATACGAAATAATTCAGTGTTCCTGTTAATATTGGCGACTTGATAAAAGAGAAAAACGTTTCCAAACGATAGACGACACAAAAAGGTGAAGGTGGCAGTGAGCTAAACAGAAAAAAGTCCATCCCCATCTAGATCTTTCTCTCCGAGTAAATCATTAAAGTGTCGGAATTTTCAAAATTCCCAAAGAAATCTATGACGAACTAGCTGGAATCGCCTGTCTGCTTACAGATCCATACTTCGCCTATAGAAACGCACTCGTATCAGAAAATTGCACGAGTCCGACACGTCTAAAGGGGGACGAGGGAACAAGGAAACTCAAACTCACCTGCCAGGCATAGAAGTACATAAGCGCCGCAAATGGCTGACCAAAGATAGTAAAAGAGACCCAGAAAATCGAGTTACCGATCAATTTGCTCGTTGCTGTCTTGGACTTGCCGAGGGGAGTGGTGAGAGCGATGAGTGGCAGTTGAAGGAACATTCCCAAGAAAGCGACGCCTGAAAAGGTGTGTCTCTGGTTTAGCATCAAATACAAAGAAAAAGCCTAGATACTAAAAAGAAAGAGCAGAAATCACTTACCAATGATGTTATGTGTCGGAATACCCACGAGTATCTCGTGGAAGACGGCAGAGAGGAAAAACACCATCATACTGGCCATCTTCGGCGACCAGCCCCTGCTCATCAGAGGGGAGTAAACATGTCTCCTAAAGTACTTATACACGGGCTTATTCCATGTTCGCCAGTACGCGCCAAGATTCTCGCTGTTCCACCAGTCATCATAAAACGACCTATCGCCAAACCTGGTGATCTCGGCAAGGGCGTTGAGCGTCGACTGGAAGAATGCAAAGAAGCCGGCAAGCCAGATGACGAGCGAGATAGTGGAGAGCTTGAGCAGACGCTCGAGAATGGCGGTGTACTCGAGGGTCTTGATCTTGATGAGGGAGTTGAGCAAGAGCGGAGTCGCGTATTGGGCGCTCGTGAACCAGATGAAGACGCCGAGACCGAATGCCTCACCCACGCGTTTGGCGACGAAGACCCAGCGGATCTTGTCGGTACGAGGATACACGGGCTGATAGACGAGGGTTGGGGCCCACCAGAAGTACACGAGATTGCTCATGGTGATGTTTGTGGGATATGGGCATTGGGCGTAGAGGTCGGGGATGGCAGCGAGACCGCCAGTCGCTGGGTGAAGGTACGCATGGCGTAGATCTCGGTTAGTGAGAGCGTACGAGTACGTCTTCAGCAGCACGATGATGGCGTGAAGCTCGGTGATGGTTCCGATGAGCGGATGGTGAATGTGGTAGTACACGGCGTAAGATGTGTAGGCGAGGATCGAGACGACATTGATAGAGTGGAGCCAGGCGATGACAATCCATGTCCTTCGGAACTTAGCGGCTTCTTCGGGCGATGGACCATCTTTATGGCTTTTGCCTTGTCTCCGCAGACCAACGGCTTGACTTGCGGCGACTAACTCGATGAGATAGGCGACTAGGAGGTGACAGGGGATTAAGAAATAGAGACCCAGCCCTAGCAAGACATCCCATTGCCTGAAATCATGGCAGCGGACGCATATTAATACTCCATACTGCAGATACCGTTAGCGGCCTCAGTGAACTCAGGATATCAATATATGAAGGAAAGAGGAACCTTTTCAATGTTTTCAATCATGAGACGTAGGTTGCCAACAACTACACCATTCATCGTCAGCCGTGGTTCAATTATGAGAGAATAAGTAATGAGAACCGAACGGCTACCCTGAATGAGAAGGGCCATAACATACCAAGAGAGATGACCATAAGATTGCGGAACCCCAGGAAGCTAGGCGTCGCTTGGGAGTCATGGCTGAGGCAAGAGGGTTGTGAAGTCTTGTGAACTGCGGCAACATGGCGATAGGCTTTCCCTGACTCCTTTTCAAGAGTCTTCAGGTCCCACGCCGAGGATTCCTTTTTGACTATTTTGCGACGGATCGTAGAGTCATTGGGCGCGAGATGCGCATCAGAGGAGGTTGTGGACGCCATTTCGAGAAAGGCCGTCGTCAGCACCTGTTGGACGTGCACGATGTTGGCCTTGCCGAACTATGTCTCCTCAGCGCGTGAATCAGATGATAAGATGAGAGATTGAGATGAGGCGATCGAAAATAAATCGAGCCCAGCAACCACGATGAATCTAATAGTTGAAATGAGAGGAGATTCGTCTCAATTGAGCCGACATTGGAGACGGAAACGATTTTTCTTTTTCTCCTTTTTCCTGATATTTTTTTTTCGGTCAACCCGGGCGCTCCGTCAAAATGAACCCCACTATCAAGGACGAGTGCTGCAAACAGTGTGTGGTGTAACCTGGTTTGCGGTGGTCGAAGCTCTTTCGGGCGTCTCAAGGAACGTGAGCGTGAGTGTGATTTAGGTAGCAATCCCAGAAAAACCCCTAGAATGAGCGAGCGGATGATGTCTAGGTCTGGCGAGAGATGAGATCCAGTATTAATAGACCGAGGTTCCAGTCCGTTCTAAAGTGGCGACAATCAGCGGAGGGGGAAGTGTGGCTCGGCAGCAAAAATGCGAAAGCAGTGTTTCCAAGTTCAGTTCGTGCTGCAGCTGCTACCACCTCCGAATGCGGGCCGGGAATGAGGCTGCACGAAATAACCAAAAAGGGAAGATGATAACCGAAGGTTGGAAAAGAGAGGAGGGATCAAGTGGTTGCCCGCCGAATGGGAAAGCGTAGCGTAAATACTGAGGTAGTGTAGAGGGTCACTGGCTCTTTGGACAAGGACAATAACAAGACCGATTGAGTTAAACAGGAAGACGAGACTTGTCTACCTTGACCCCCAACTGTCTTGAAAGGTAGCCCAACTATGTACGCCGATCTTGACACTACTCGTGCCTAGTCGGTCTGGCGTTTGGGAAGTGTCCAGGAGAAGAGAGACTTAAATGCCATTAGAGTTCAGACAAGTTGGCGTTTTCTGGCCAGTCATCCCAGAGCTGCTGTGGGTTATGACGAGATGACCAGGCCCAGGGGTTTGAGGATCTGGTCGTCTTGAGATCTGCCTAATGCAACTCCATCTCGGACTGTATATGAAAATACTACGGAAGGAGGGAGAAAAGCGTGTACTTTTCGTATTTAACAGTCAAGAGCTACGAAGAGACGGACGCGACAGCGTGCGAAATTCCGTTCCTTATACCTTGGGGGCTTGGGCTGAGGAATGTTGAGCTAAAGGAAGCTAACTTCCTGTCGTGTGTGAAATAGAGCTTCAACAAGAACCCAACAGCTTGCAAGACAGATCTTACCAGGGGGTACCTTAATCCCCTGGGTCTGAGCTCCAACTGCGCCCGAGTCTCAAATCTAACATCATCTCATTGCCCATGGCAATGGTATATGGCAGCGCGCCTCTTGCCAGGCCGTTTTGTTTCTGTCTTTGCTCAGTGGAAAACGAGAGGAATACGCTAGCATCCTCGCTAATTGATCAAACACGTCCTTCATGTTAATGCGGGTATGCAACTAGCTCGGGTAGGTTCCAAGACCTATTCGTCAATTGACGCTCACGAAGCTACTGGCTGCTATCATGGACGAGAGTAATATCACATGTCAGGATGCTGTGATTTCCAGAACAGCACAGACAGAATACGAAGTACTTCAATATGTATCAAGACAGAATTGGATTAGCGCCTTTGGGCTGCAGAGGTACTTAGGTACATCGCTATCCAGAAATCCACAGGGACGATAACTGTCATGGAACCGTCTCTATCACGTGACTAGTGTACCAAGTACCCAGTGCAATTTGGCATGCAGATGGGGCCTTCTCAGAGAGTCGCGATCCAGGTTTGACGACGCGAGGAATCTAGAGAGCTTCAACATTTGATGCAGGGCCCCAACTCATCGACGCAACATCGACTCCCGACAAGCAATTACCAAACCGCGGAATCTCTCAATTAGCCTGGCAACCACACTCACCTTGTCTCATTCCAGGACCTTGGAACCTAGGGATCCAAAGCCAAAGGATGAGTTTCATCCAACAACCACTGGAACTCTGCCTTTGAGATTCTCCCTTTGCTTAGAGGAGGAAATCTTATCCATCTCACATTCTCTAAGCTAAGGTGATAAGTATCCCTTATAATCGTTCATATTCAGTCTCAGGATTGCCTCTACCACCATGGCTTATGATGCACGCGGCGATCATGGCCATGGCGGCGGTGGTGGTGGTGGTGGTGGCCACGAAGGCAGCTTCATGAGGGCCAGAGGTCGTCGTATGTTTCCTGTTTCCCACATCCACTTCTGCTTCCCTTTACCACAGTATTTCATTCCTCGATCGCTCATCATAGCCATCGTCGTCGTCATCATCAAATGTTTATCCATTGATCCCTCGTCATGCCGGTTCACTAAACATGGAGAACACAGGCCCTGTCACTGATTACGGCTCAACGCTCAGCCACTGGGTCCAAAATCGGGCTCTGAAGCCAAATGGCTCGTATTTCGGGGAGCGCGAGAGGCCTAGCCCAAGCTACATTGTTGATGTATGTTCCATCCTGCCCTCTTGCTATCGACGCATCATGCGCCAGCTCACTAACCGAATTCATCAGCTCGAACCACCCGCCGCGAGACCCGCTAGAGCGGCTGCCTCAATTCCAGCGAAGCACCTTCACACCTCGTTGAACAAAGTCAAACATCCCGTCAATGTTGTCCGATGGACACCCGAGGGCAGAAGGCTCCTCACGGCCTCGAGCAGCGGCGAGTTCACCTTGTGGAATGGTACGGGTTTCAACTTTGAGACCATCATGCAAGCTCATGACTCTGCTATCCGCGCTCTCTGCTACTCCCACAACGATGACTGGCTTGTGTCTGGAGACCACGACGGTATCGTCAAATACTGGCAGCCCAACTTTAATAACCTTGAAAGCATCACCGCCCATAGCGATCCCGTCCGTGATATCGCCTTCAGTCCCGCCGACAACAAATTTGTAACGGCCAGCGATGATTCTACTCTGAAGATTTTCGACTTTGCCGGCGGTGTCGAGGAGAGTGTGCTCAAGAGCCACGGTTGGGACGTCAAGAGCTGTGATTGGCACCCGACGAAGGGCCTCCTCGTCTCTGGATCGAAGGACCATCTCGTGAAGCTTTGGGACCCCAGAAATGCCCGCTGCTTGACAACCCTCCACGGCCACAAGAATACCATTACGAAGACATTATTCGAGCGCATTCGAGGCTTCTGTCTTGCCACATCGGCAAGGGACCAGACCGCTCGCGTGTTTGATCTGAGAATGATGCGAGACATCTGCCTCCTAAAGGGACACGAGAAGGATATTTCCACCCTGACCTGGCACCCAATCCATCCCAACTTCCTGAGCACTGGCGGCCACGATGGCTCGCTTTTCCACTACCTTCTTGACGAACCCAATCCGCCCCCTGGGCACCCCATGACAGTGGCCCCTTATGACAGCGCCGATCCCGAGTCTTGCCCTGCGCAGACTATCTATCCCGCCCACAAAGTGTCATATGCTCACGATTTCGCCATCTGGTCCTTGGATTGGCATCCCTTGGGTCATATTCTTGCCTCTGGATCCAACGACCGTCTCACCCGCTTCTGGTCCCGTCCCAGACCCGGAGACACCGATTTCTTTCAAGATAAATACCACATTGGAGAAGCCGCTGCTGTCGCGCAAGGAACATGGGATCGTCGTGGCGGTCGCCAACAGCGCCAAGAGGAGGAGGAGCGCGAGATCGAAGATGAGATGGAGGGCCTTGTCGACCAGAAGATGCCCATCAAGCAGCAAGCTCCTTCGTTCCCTGGCATTCCCGGCCTTCCTCTCCACGGCTCCACGCCATCGACTTCTATGCCCATCCCACCCCCTATGATACCCGGCGTTGTTCCGCCTCCTCCCATCCCCCTTCCCGGACTCGGTGGAGCACCCCCTCCTCCCCTGCCAGCCGGTCTCGCTGGCCTTGATCCCAGCAATCCAGCTGATATCTCTAAGATCGCTGAGATTATGCAGAAGGCGGGTGTACAGCTTCCACCTCCCCCCCTTCCGGGCCTTTTGCCCCCTGGCATGCTCCCTCCTCCCGGTTTCCCTATTCCTCCTCCACCTCCGCCGCCCAGTTCGACGCCTATGGACCTAGACGCCAACGACGCGAATCGGAGGAGGGCTCCCTTGCCTAGTCAGGAGGAGAGCCTACGTATGGAGCAGGTTCGCGGAAACTATACGAGGGCGCGATAAATTATGAGGACCTCGACGAAAAGGAGAAGTTACCTCCGGTTTTTTTTAACGGTTATACTGGAACGTTGGGATCTCGCCTTTTTGGTCGAGATTGCTCCCAAAATGGGATTTGTTTTTGGCGTGTGGCGTTGATATGACATCCCCAGGCATGGGAGCAGCAAAACGACCAGGTAGTTCAGTGAGGGGGAACCTAGTTTCGGACTACTTCGTATATGGAACGTCTTTATCCTCCTTTGCTCAACGCCGTCTTGTATAATAATGTGAGGCCTAACCGCAAAATGGGCTGCGGGAAACGTGTTGATCGATCAATATATGATGTAAACAAGAGGAAATGAAATGGCCAAATAATTGCCTGGGTAGATACAACCCCAACCTGTACAATATGCTACAATGCAAGATCTCCGGTGCTACACGCTAATGCTACAAGCCTGCTACTATCTACTCGGGACGTCGCTCAAGCAAATAGAAGCGAAACGCCTTCCAAAACGATGGTGTCAGCCAACCTTCCCTGGCAACCCTCTATTTTACTTCCTCGGAGGAGGCAGAGCCTTCCTATTCTTATCCGCAAACTCCCTGACAATAATGGAGCAATCGCCCTCGGCACAAAGCCTCCTCCTCCTCTGCACGGGTAACTTCGCAGCAAACTCTAGACCGCTCGCACGTTCAATAGCCTCCAGAGGGACCTCGAAATCAACAAGGGGTTTCTCGTTAGGGATCGGCGCGTTCGGCATGACAAACGCCCCAATGGCAACGTTGCCATTGGTCTTGCCATCCTCGGCTAAGATGACCTTGTAGAAGTGTGTAGGCACGGCGACATTGGCGGGGTTCCCGATGACCTCGTACTTGACGTACCACTTTCCATCGGTGGGATCCTTGCGAGGTAGGTAAAGAGGACCTGTGACGATGCGCACGGAGGGATACCGATTCGTAAGCCTCCTGCAGAAGTCCTCAAAATGCGCCCAGTAATCCCTATTGAAGCCCTCACCGACCTGGGGACACATGTTGCTAAGGTAGAAAGTCTCATCCATGGCCTTCTGGTCCCACCGCGCGTCGGCGGCGGGGACCTGATGGCCGCGATCGTAGCCACTACGGAAGTAGTCCTTCAGCAAAGCGCGGAACTTGGCGGGAATTGAGTCATCCTCGATGAAGGTGCTGTTCTTGCGGTCGCCGTCACGGATGGCGAGAGAGGCGGGCGTGATGTGTTCGACGACCCAGTGCGGGTTACGCGTGCGTCGGTCGTAGGCGGAGATGAAGGCCGCTCGCGTAGCGATGTCGGAGACGGGGCCTGGGAAGCCGTATTCGAAGAGGCCGGCTGGGTTGACGGGGGAGGGGGCGGTGACGGCGGTGGTGGAGGAGCCGGCGGAAGAAGGGGGGGAGAAGATCTGGCTCGCTGGGATGACGACGGGGGGTTGAGACGGGGTGATGGTCGTGGTGGTGGTGCTTGAGGATGATGTCGATGGGTTTATGCTTGTGTAGGCCTTGCTGTCAGAGCGGAACGCGTGGAGGGCTGCTGCTGTCACGGCAGCGCCACCGCCGGCTCCGAGGGCGACGAGAGCTATACTGGTAGCCTTGGACATTTTCGTTTTCGTACTCTTTGAGTCGGTGGTTGAGAATGCGAGGAATTGAGGTACCCTGAAGCACACAAGGAGAGGTCGTGGGCGTACAAACGGGAGTCGCGACGGGTGAAAAATAGAATTTTTAGTGGGTCCTATGTCTGGCCCTTCAAATCGGGGTTGGCTCTGGAGCAAAGCTTTGGAAGAAATACAAGGGTCTCCACATTCCAGGCGGGCTAGTTACACTGTGCTACAGTTGTCTGGCGGGTTCTTTCCGCGAGTGCGGGTGAGGTGTAAGCTATGATCAGTGTGAGCCAGGGAGCATACTACTACTTTGTAATTAGCTGGCTGGCATTGGTGCATCCAAAAAGGGGAAAAAAAATTGGGAACAGTGGAAGTGGATTAACCAGAGTTTATCTGATGCTGTCGTCAGCCCTGCCGAGAAGACAAAGCCACGAGTCCGCATAGCTTCCTCCAGCCCAGCTCTTTCTTAGCGTTTATGCAATTGCAAGAGGATCGAGTCCTTTATCTTTACTCTAAGGACATGGATGGATGTTGAGGTCCCCTTTCTTCCCATGACATGTGTTTCATTGTTTTCGCAACTCAAAACCCGGTTCCACTTGCAGTTTGCTGATCTTCACGCAGCAGGTGACGACACTAGTGCGACTTTGTAGTGGGGCAACGAGCACCTTGATGGCTTCGGGGATGACAAAAAACGAAGCAAGTACTACTCACGTACTTCATCCAGCAGGCAGCGACTTTGGATAACTCTTTCCATCGTTTCTGCGACTGAGGCTCGTGACGGCCCGTGGTGTCAGACCGAGAACAACCAACATCGGAAGAGGCATCATCTGTGCGGCGTGGAGCTGAATGCATTGGACTTGCAACTTTGGGCTGCCACCAGCCCCAACCCCCAGCCCTATCATTGGGACCCTGGTGAGAAGCATCGCCGAAGACCCAAATTATCTCGCTTCCCATGTCGTCGTTGTTCCCCGAGCCTTTTCCACAACCCAACACAGTCCCCGAGACGTTACGCTTGATAATCAGAAGTTATATTGACCTTGTCCTACTTTGTAACACCCGAACTATCCCCTCTTTCTTTTCTGACTCAGATCGTTACTTCTACGCTTCTTCTTCCCCGAACGTGGGGTCGTAGCATTCCAGCCATCCCAGAGTGGTTTAAACCCCCACACTAGTTCGTTGTTCCAACTTATAATATTAATCGCCACCGCCTTCCCCTTATTGAACGACGACTCGTAAAATCACTCCATTCCTCCTCATACATACTGTTGAGGGCGTCCTCTTGTGACTACCACTTCAACCCGCGCACCAGCAACGTTCGCCCATGATGTCGTGGGCAGCCGTTGACAATGACACCCGCGGGTGGATTTTATGCTTCGTGAGCGGCGCAGGTAAGTAGCTAGCCGGGCCTTTCAATGCCTGAGCTTCCCCGTCCAAGGCTATCTTGTTTCTCGAGGCTAACTGAGGCCGTTCCCGTCGAATAGCTTGCGTCCTCGGTTCCAGCGTAATATGCGTCGATCTACTGATCCGGCTGCTGCCGGGCAAGAGAAACTTCAGCATAAACCAGAGCAGCGTGTTCCTTGCCAGTTCATTAAGCTTGAGCTTTGGTGTCATGGTGAGTAGACCATACTCTAGCTTCGTCCTCGAAAGATGTCGCGAGGCGCTCCTGTGTCACAAATTCTAACCCCCTTTTGTTGCTCAACAGCTCTTCTCTTCCCTGTACAATATGCTCCCGAGTTCGAAACAATATTTCATCGACGCCGGCTTCGGCAGCCAATCCGCCGGGGCCTTGATGGTTGTGTGGTTCGCGTGCGGCTTCTTAGGAATACAGCTCGTCTCCCGGTTTCTACATCGATTCATGCCCTCTCACGTTGTCGATTGCGATCATCACCATGACGGACCTCAGACTTTGGACTCGCACGGTCATTCTCATTCCCGTTCGCCTAGTCCAGCGAGCAAGTTATCCCATTCTCTACCTCTACCGCGAAGCCAACCCCTTCCCGAGGCACCCACCACAATACCTGAGGATGCCGCCACTCTTCCGCTGCCGGCTTCCGATGAATCTACTCCATTGCTTGTACCCGACACCCACATAAACGGCAACGGCCACCTGCATCGCCATAATCATCACGAGAGCCACCATCAACCTCGGCGTCCCCTTGATCTGAAACAATCGCGAAGAAGCACTGCACCAGCCTACGAAACTGAGGGCAGGAGACTACCGATGGTACAGGTCCAGGAGCGGGTCATGTCTTTCGTCAAGGATCTCAAGGGGCGGTGTGACGAAACGGGACCTTGCTACGGCTACTCTGACCCCTGCGGGCAAGAGTGCTATAAACACCTGCAAGCCCGTGCGCCAAGCTCAACTCGCAGGATAAGCTTGCTGCGGACGCCCTCGACATCCCACTATCCAGGCCACCACCGGGGAGGCCTTTGGCACGGCCGAGAGCAGGAATCCACAGCTTCGTCGTTGATTAGCCCATCTCACCGGACAAGCCCGCCCCAGTCGCGGGACACTGATATCGACGAAGAAGAAGAGTACTATGTCGCCGAAACCCCCGTTGAGGAAGATCTCGAGGCCCAGCACCACCATCATGTACCCACCAACGCCTTCCTCGCCATCGGCCTTCAGACCTCCATCGCCATTGCTCTCCACAAGTTCCCTGAGGGCTTCATCACCTTCGCAACCAACCACGCGAACCCCACCCTCGGCTTTAACGTCTTCATGGCCCTCTTCGTCCATAACATCAGCGAGGGTTTCACTATTGCTCTACCCCTCTATATGGCTCTCGGGAGCCGCTTCAAAGCCATGCTCTGGGCTTCCCTCCTCGGCGGTCTTAGCCAACCCCTCGGCGCCACCGTGGCTGCGCTGTGGTTCAGCCTCGTGCATAGGACGCACATGACTCCCAATGCGGCTGTGTACGGCGGCTTGTTCGCCGTCACCGCGGGTATCATGGTGAGCGTGGCGTTGCAGCTCTTTGTGGAGAGCTTGAGCTTGAATCATAATCGGAATTTGTCCATCTTCTTTGCGTTTTTGGGCATGGTTATTCTGGGCTTGAGTGGTGCCCTTGTGGAGGACCATTGAGAGGGTGTTTTCCTCTCGGAGAGATTGACTTGTTGTTGATGACAGCATTACAGCGGTCTAGCGAGCGGCCTCTGCGCGTTCACATTTCCCCCTTCGCTATCATGTTAGAGTTTTGAGGGCTATTGATTTTGTCTTTTATGGCTTTGCTAGGTGTTATGGTATGGTATAGCACTGGGATTTATGCGTTCGCTGTTATTCTGCCTGCTTTTGGTACTCAGGTCAAGGAAAGGTGTTGGCTAGATGGCATTACGGTTTTGGCGTTGAGACCGGCTTCTTAGCATTGACGACTTTTTTCTTCATTCATGATTTATGGTTCTAGTTCGAGGCTCACTACAATAGAATTATGGTTTTCTGGCCGCGGAACTAGCTAGCTCTTTGGCAAATTTGTGGATGCTATGCTCAGGGCGTGTTGGTGACGACGTATGTTATTTCATCTGGCATGCCTTAGAACACCGCCAGCGCCAGATCTCACTCGTGAGAGTCTTAGACGGCCTGGCGTCGACCTAGAGAATACCATCATAAATGGACCGAAAGTAGAGGAACATTGGCAACCCAATTTCTCGAGTTTAATGGACGATCTCATGCTTTTTTTATCGTTTTCTTTTTAGTTTCGTTTCATTCGTAAATATCGTGAGAACTGTGGCCAGTAGCCGGGTATCAAAATCTAGTTTCTATGCTCTGGACCGTAGATGGCCGCATATTTGCCCCCCCCCCCCTTTTTTTTTTTTATATCCATCCGCCCATGCTCGTATCCTAGCCGACAGCAAAAGGAAATTCCGTAGAAAAAAACATGTGAAAAATATCACCGCCAGTGGTTCCGGCGTCAAGGGGTGTGGAACGGCCAGGGGTCCGGAATATAAGCAGCGAACATGTCCAATCCATTATACGCTTCAAGAACGCCGTCGAGCCCCTAAGCGTCGACTTGCTGTTCCTGTCTTGGCAATTGCTCGTTATGGTTGGCAATAGGGTTGAAGTGATGGGTGAACTCCTCGTTCGTAAACTGCTGGTGGAAGTGCTCGTTGGCCTGTTCGTTTTGCATCTGATTGATGGTGAAGTCATTGATGGGCCAGTCGAACAAGTCGAGAGCGGGGTCGATGGGGACGTCCGGGGCGTTATGGACGACAGGGTCCATGGGTATAGCGGGCACGTTCAACATATCGACGGCGTCTGTAGGAATAGGCTGGTGGAAATCCATGGCCACGTTTTGAATGACAGCGACTGCATCTTGGACGGTTTCAATGGTTTGAACTTCCGGCATAACATTAATTTCAGGTACATCATGACTTGGCAGGTGAAGTTGGAGATCATGATATCGAATGAACCTCTGTGTGCAGCCAGGATAAGTGCACTCAAGGCTTCGCCTCTCGGCATCTGTAGCTCCCGACAGTTCGTCCAAGAAATCCGTAGGGGCGGTCATGATTGCTTCAGCACGCCGGCAAGGTCGCTGCTGACGTTCCAAGCCAAGATGGACGTGCCTCACATGATCCTCGAGGTTGGCCTTGCTGGCGAAATCACGACCGCACCCAGCTTGGATCGGCCACTGCTCAAGACCGTCGGATTTAGTAAGGTCCACGCGTCCACAGGTGAACCGGAGGCCCTCATGGGCCACGCGAACATGGACGTTGAGGTTAGACCTCTTGGTGAACCTCTTGTCGCAACCCTCCCAGGTGCACTCGAAATTCTTCCTATCGTCGGCCGTCATCCCGCTGTGGTGGACTTCGATATGCCTGTTCAAATCGTATTTGGAATTGCACCTGAAGGCACAGAAGATACAGTTCATATGCTCATTACGCATGTGAGCCTGAAGCAGCGATTTGCTCGTGAAACCGACAGTCGGGGCCGTACCCGGGGGCCGTGGGCACTCTTCACACCAAAACTTGTTCTCTGCATGCTCTCGGTTCATATGGTTCCGGAGAGCGCCCGCCGAATCGTATGAAGCGTCGCAATCGGGTTCCTTGCAGACGTATGGCTTCAAGCCTAGATGGTCGCTTCGAATGTGGCGTTCTAGGGCAGATTGCTGCTTGAAGAGTCGGTCGCAAGGGGGGAACTCAGAGCACCGGAGCTGGTTGTCGCGGCGAGCATGGATGGCCTCGTGGCGTTGAAGACGAGTGCTCGTACCAAAGGATTTTCCGCAATGGGAGCAAACGAAAGGACGGTAATCCTCGTGGGTTCCCTTGATATGTTGCTGGAGATGTTTCTCCTCCATGTACGACTTGTCGCAGCCATCCACCTGGCATATGAAAGGTCGTTCTCCGGTATGGGATCGTTGGTGGGCCGTCAATCTCGAGGGTCGATTAAATGCCTTTGTACATCCCGGGAACTCGCAGGTGTACTTTTTATCGTCGCTCTTTAAGCTCGAGGGCGGTGAGAGAACTAAGATGGCTCAGGTTAGAGCGAAGACTGTCCAAGGTGTACATATATAAGGAGGGAGGATCGAAACAAGCTGGCAGTGACGGAAGATAGAAGATTGGGGCAAAGGGAAGAAGACATCAAGGCCTGTACAGAGGAGAGGGGGCCAGAACATAAACTTACTGGCCGAGTGAGAATTGTCCGGTCTTTTGGCAGGTGGCTCATTGATGTCGGACGAAGTCTCACTGGGGAGACCTCGCTTGGGAGGCATCTTGCCCAATCGTAATATGAGTAACTGAAAACAAATTGAAGAGGTGTGGGATGTTTGGAGTTGAAATCGGAGCAACCTTTGACTCGGAGACAAAAGAAATCGTAGACGCCTGTCTGGAATGCTACATGCTCTAGCGGCAATCGAGGATTGAGACATGCGGCAGAAATTTTTGGGCGGTGAAGGACTTTTTCTGTGATTTTCTGTGTGTGCGTGTAAAAATGGTGGGGGACAAAGACCAAGGATTAAAGTGTACCTCGACGTATTAGGACTAGTGCATTCCAGGATGCGCAGAAGGCGGGAGCTTGCTTGTGATGTCGTTCATGTTCCAATTCTGGCAGATATCCGGAGAAACTGATAAGGCTTATCAGCATATTCTAGAACGGCAGGACAATTTTTTGTTGATCCATCAGTGTCACGAAGCGAAACGACGGTCATTCTTAAAACTTCTCCAACTCCACCTCTCCATCTCGCCATTACTAGAATTTGTACAGCTCGATCGAACAAAGGAATTCATTCTCAACTTTATCCTTGATCCGCAGAATATTTGAGACAAAATGTCTGACTTTGGCGACGATGTCGATGGGGGAATGTGCGTCTCTCCCCAAGCCTCGCCACAGGCTACGCCGCCCCTCCCACCTTGCGCATCACGTCGCGTCGAGCTATAGACAGGCTAACTTTGCGATAGGGACGAGCCTATGTACGAGGAGGAGGAGGGCGGCGAGTACTGGGAGGAAGAGGTAGCAGACGAGGGCGAGGCCGACAAGACCAACAATATCGATGAACAAGATAATGTCGTCGTCACGGGCGATGTGGCGGCGGCGGCTCAAGGCAAGAATGGACCCAAGTCCATGAAGGAGCGAAGGATTCCCAATGAGGAACGTACTACAACACCATACATGACCAAGTATGAGAGGGCTAGGATTCTAGGCACAAGGGCGCTTCAGATTAGGTGAGCCGTCGATGTTGCGCTGCGGAGCAGAGCGCAATGGGAGAATTTTTCTTTTTCTCCCCTTTCCTTTCCTTTCCCAGCGCCAAATCTAACTGGGGTTTTGGGTAGCATGAATGCGCCCGTGCTAGTTGATCTCGAAGGCGAGACCGACCCGCTGCAAATTGCCATCAAGGAACTCAAGGAGAAGAAGATTCCGCTCATCGTGAGGAGGTACCTTCCCGATGGATAGTGAGTCTCCCCCCCCCTTTTTCAATGGAGGACTGTACCCTCGAAAGTGTGATCCATACTAATCGGCCGGACAGCTACGAAGATTGGACCTGCGAGGAACTTCTCCAGTAGAGGGTGAAGTGTGGTTCAAACCAAGCAAAAGGGATAAATGTGAAGACCTCAATGAGAAAACGATTATGACAACCAGTATCAATACGCTGGGCCGCTAATGGTAGTTGTGCAACTGGGCCACACATAGAAGCTTATGAACTTCTTTCTTTACATCGATCCTCCCTTGGGAACAATCTAAATGTGTCGTCGCACTCATTCACTTGGCAGGATTATGCCGTGAAGAGAAAGTCAACCATTTTCATTGTGTAGTGGAGCGAGACCATTCATCTCGCGCCGGGCCCTCGCTTCGATGGAGCCGACTTTTCCACAACTGGACGTTGCTGGATCGAAGGGCGAAGGCGGGGTTGTTAAAGGTGGAGGAAGCAACGAAACCTTTATGTTTCTCTCGTGCTGCTTCTACTCCAGTTCCAGACCCATATTACGCACCCAGCGAATGGAGGCAGTGTATTTATTAAGAAGATATCCGACAGCCGAGCACACTTGCGTCACTAAAACAGAGCCTTTTCACTAAGCCCGTACCATTTCCGCGAGTAGTTTGTCCTCTGGTCTGATATTCTGAAGGAGTCGAAGGCCAGCAGTATACGAAGCCGGTACCGATCGTTATTTGGCCCGTTTTTGAGGAACCGTCTAGATCGACGAGGCCAGCGGTTGCCCAGTTCCTTTTTTTTTTCGTGAGCAACGGCGAACCTATTCAGCCGCTATAGCACCTGGGACCAACACGGTGACTTGGGGTGATATAGGTGATTTACTCGGATCGTCCAAACGTGGGGCTCTGCTGCCAGCCATTTTACCCAGTGATTCGCTATTGGTCTTGCCCTGCTGTGTAGCTCATAAGCGCTATATTGCCTTTAATCTGGCAGTTCATCCCGTCATTGAAACTTGAGGATTCTTTCGGCCTTCCTTTCTTTCCATTAACCTCCATCAAGGTTACTCGGGTCTTTGTTCATTGTAGATTTACATGATGCAGTACAGCACGCCGCTTCTTCTCGGAATTGCGAGAACGAGTGGTCGCCTTTCAACATCTTCGCCAGCCGCATTCTCCGAAGCCAACTGGGGCGTCCTAGAAGATCCATCGAGCTCGTTAGGAAGGGTTCTATAATACCGATCAATATTGGTAAAATCAGATCTCTTTGCCTTGGAACAGCCTAGCGGGCCATTGTCAATTTACGGTACCTTGATCGAAGGCATATGAAGTAGGGCTGATTGGGAAAATCGGCATTACCTGACGTTCTGTCTCGGGGGTGAAGCACTGAGAATATTTGTTTTCGTTCTCTTTCTTTGCTCTGACCTTCGATAAAGGTTCTGTTTGCAACGGTTTGTCTGCCGAACCGATCCGCCCACGACCATCCTTGAAGTAATACATAATTCCATTAATGGTATCTTGCTGCCTTGAGGAGGCTACTAACAAGCTTGAGCATCAATTTCTTGCGTTTGGGCCTCCTCCATCCTCCACACTTACGGTCACATCCCGAGCCTTGGTGACTCGGTCATGGTAGATGTGCCAAGCCTCGGACTAGACTTGAAATCCTGGAGTTCTTTGCACTTAATGGAGTTCTTTGCCCTTAATTACATGAATCTTTATTAAACTTGCTCATACTTCGTACGAGCATTGCATAGAGAAAGAATACGGATACGCTGGGCACAGTTTGAGGGATCTAAGAATGAATAAAAGGAAGAAGAAAACACTGGGCGACCTCTGCCGATATTAACAAAGGAATCGCTGGTCACGATGCGAACCTTCGGAAAATCATAGAAAAAGGCGGAAGAAAAAGACGGCACTTTCCTGCCACTTCCCTTTTGAATAAAGCCTTCGACCAACAGGGGATTTGGTATTTCCTGCTGACGGCTCTAATGTAGGTGAAGGTCTATTGATTTGGTCTATTCGTTTGTTCTGACTACGAAATTGATCAACCCGCAATCCGCTCCGTCTCGGTTCCATTCCGCCACTTACACGGCCTTTCGCCTAATATAACTACGCCTCTCATTTGCGTCACGTCTACTGATTTCTTGAGCCAGTTCCACTGGCAAGGACAAGTCCTAACTAGAAATGAAATACACCTTCACCAAGACAAATAACAAAATTGTACAGCGTACGAAATGGCACACACTGGCGCCGAGCCTGAGGAAAGGCAGGGGAGTCGAGAGGCGATAAGCAACAAGAGAAAGGTGCCCCGGGATATATTGGCTCCAACTAAGACGAAAACTTGGCAACCCAACAAACACACTCCGAGGGGGTAAATTCATTGCCCTTTAGACATAGCTACATGAACTTCCCGCAGCAATAGCGTAACTTCTCTTGCCTTTCTCCGTGACTCGCTGCCGGTGACTCTATCCGGGGGCCCCCTGGCGTGTGTGTTTCCGTCCTCCGCTTCCGTATATGAGCAGGCGGCTCGCTTTCCCGATTGTTAGCAAATACCTGCAGAAGTTGACGTATGCCTCTATATACCACTTATTAGTTAAGTCTTGGTATTATATCTAAGAAAACAAAAGGGGGAAAAAATGTTTATTATCAGTCTTTCTCTAGTGGCCGAGTTCATGATAGCCGGGGCTTTTATACCGAGACCTCGGACGTCTTCCTATTTTTTTCCGTCTTGTTTCTCCTGGCTAGCCCTTTCTCTTTCCTTCATATCTCTTGGAAACATTCGCGGAAGAGAGTTCCGAAATAAAGGAAGAAAGCAGCTCATTTTGCGTGCTATTGGGGGATTTCGCATTTCGATTTCGAGCCCAGGCCATCATGGCCGTCGTTAAAAAGCTGTTGGCCGCCCTCGCGGCAACCACGTTGCTGACTGGAGGTGCTTCTCAGACCTACGAGTTCTCCGAGGAGGAGCTTATTTCCGGCGAAGCTCTCAAGGCTCTCAGCAAAGAAGCCTACGAGAATGCCCTTGCTCGTCTTCCCGAATCCGGAGAGGGATGCACCAGGGAGAACGTCCGAGTCCGAAAGGAATGGTAAGATTTTGCGTTTTTCCCTCCTTTCAGGTTTTGTCTCGTTATATTCCCGATACTTATCAAGTTATAAACGCAGGCGCAACCTTCCCGCCGAGATGAGGATCAAATATGTCGCCGCCGTCCAGTGTCTCATGGAGTCGGAGAGCGAGTATGTTGACGTCGATGGAGCCAAGACGGCCTTTGACGACTTCGCCGTTCTCCACTACAACCTCACGCCGTTTGTGCACAACTCGGCTACTTTCCTCACCTTCCACAGGTATTACATTCATACCTTTGAGGAGCAGCTAAGGAACAAGTGTGGATACGACGGTAAGAATATATAGAACAATTTTATTAGTACTACCAAATACGATGTCCTAACTTGTTCGATTAATAGGTGATTTCCCTTACTGGGAGTGGGGTCTTGACTGCGACGACCCAGCAAAGTCCCCCCTCTTCGATGGCTCCGAAACCTCTCTCGGCAGCGATGGCGAACCCGTCGAAGCTGGTGCCGGCGGTGGCGGTGGATTCGGAGGCGGTTTCGGCTTCGGTATGGGCGGCGGTAGCGGTGGCGGCTGCGTAATGAAGGGTCCCTTCTCCAACTACACCGTAAACCTCGGGCCTTCCTCCCGCGCCAACCCCCTCGAATATAACCCGCGCTGCATCAAGCGAGACCTGAACGGTGGCATCTGCAGACAGAACGCCTCGCTTCGGAACACAACGACGGTCATCACCGATTCTCCCGACATCGAGCTCTTCCAGGCCATTATGCAGGGTGATATGCGCTACCCCGAAGCAAGGGGCCTCGGCATGGCTGTCCACGGCGGCGGCCACTTTACCATCGGAGGCGATCCCGGTGGTGATTTTTACTTCTCGCCGCTTGAGCCGGCGTTCTTCCAGCACCATGGCCAGATCGACCGTATGTACTTTGTCTGGCAGAACCTTGACTTCGAGAACCGTCAGAATATCGCCGGTACGGGGACTATGATGAACCAGCCTCCCAGCGACGAGGTTGAGATTACGGAGCTACTCGACTTGTCTCCTCTTGCTCAGCCAAGGCCAATTAAGGACCTCATTGATACAATTGGCCAGTCGCCGTTCTGCTTCGTCTATGAGTAAAAAAAGGGAAATGAGAAAGATAGGGACTGAGAGTGATGGTGTTCGTGTAGGTTAATACTGAAAGGCGAGAGAAAGAGAGAGAACAATATTGGGGGGGTTCCAACACAACATATTGTAGAATCTCAGGCTTTTAAGTTAGAAAGAAAAAAAATATGAGGTTTTACTACATGTTTTGTTCCACAACCCGCCAAGTCCATTCATGAGAATAATGAGGGTGCGAGGTGCCACGCTCTCCATTTGTGGAATCAATGCAACAAATAAATAATACACGGGGTCGCCCGGAAGGTCAGCGCCAGGCGAGCCAGTTCCCGGTCCGTAAAGAGGTCATGACGGCTTGTGCTGCATCCGGTCGGGGCCGGGGAGTGGAACCATTCGGACCCAAAGGCGTGTCAGCTTCCGGCCGGATTTACATTTCAGGGTTTATGTTTTATGTCAGAAATCGGATGGCGAATATTTTAGCAGTGGCTTCTTGTCCTTTTACAACTGGCAGGCCGTGGTATGTTAATTGCTCCCGCCCTAGAGCAGCCGGAGAGCCCAGGGCTGATTCCTTCTTTGGGTCGCTGTGGTCGTTGTACCTCGAGGTATAAACCATCAAATCCGTTAACTCTCCGTTCTTCTTATTCTTCCCATTCTCTCTCCCCCTCTCTCCTTCTGGAATTCTCTTAACACTTTTATTCTCTTTTGTAGCTATTCCCGCACGCCAAGAGGTACGCCTTGATTGGATAACATCTGCCGTCTCGCCTTTCTCATCATCCCGAGCTAAGCTCGGAGAGTGGGGAGTGGGGGGTGGGGTATTAAGGACCAGAAGAGGGGGAGGCCAGAGAGCTACTGACAGCAGTGAGGGGATAGCAGAGATCAAATCAGTTTGGTTAGGAGAGGCCCCGTCTCGGTCTGGCTCTTGCTGGAAATCCATCCATGATTACTTGCAGCTTACATGACCCCAGCCAACTGCCGAGTGTTTATTGTTGGTGACTGACGTCTTGAGATCTTCCTAACTCTCCAACTTCCTCTCCCTTCTACCCCATGAAGTGCTGAATCTTTTTCTCGTCCCGGCCTCACACACTCTCTGGAATCTCGCATCTTTTGGAGCTTAGTGTCAACGAAGCCCAATTGCACAAGAAGACAACCTCGGGTCTTGAAATACATCATCAATTCATCGCCCTGCCCCTCCTTCCAAATATCACCAAAACCTCCCCTAATCCAACCGTACTGATCAAAATGGCCTTCACAACCAATGCCACCATCAAGACCTTCGGAGGCACCCTCCTCAAGCTCTCCCACGCCTCCGCAACAACCACAACCCCCATGGCCCTCAACCTCTTCCTCCCCGCCCAAGCAACCCCCACCACCCCGGCCCCCGTCCTCATCTACCTCTCCGGCCTAACCTGCTCACCCGACAACTGCACCGAAAAGGGCTTCTTGCACGCCCACGCCTCCCGCCTCGGCCTCGCCATCCTCTGGCCCGACACCTCTCCTCGCGGTCTCGACCTCCCTGGCGAGAACGACTCGTGGGATTTCGGCTCCGCCGCCTCCTTCTACATCGACGCCAAGCGCGAACCTTGGAACAAGGGCTACAACATGGAGACCTACATCGTGAAGGAGCTTCAAGATCTTGTCTTTGGGGAGTTTAAGCAGCTGGATCGCTCGCGGGTGTCCATCTCCGGCCATTCTATGGGCGGGCATGGAGCTTTGACTCTGTATTTGAAGAACCCTGGCTTATTTAAGAGTGTCAGCGCTTGGGCGCCTATTTCGAATCCTTCGCTCTGCCCTTGGGGTGAGAAGGCTTTTACAGGCTATTTGGGCGAGGATAGGGAAGAGTGGAAGAAGCATGATGCTACGGAGCTTGTGAAGACCTGGAAGGGTCCCTTGAATTGTCTTATTGACGTGGTATGTGCTTCAGTTTCGGCTACCGGGATGCGTTTTGTTCCTTTGGCTAACTGCGCTGCGCAAAAAAAAAGGGCACCGGCGACAACTTCTACAAGCAAAAGCAGCTACTCCCCGAAAACTTCGAAAAGGCCGTCAAGGACGCAGGTATCGAGGGCCTCGAGACCCGCTACCACGACGTAAGTAACCGGCCTGAAAAATCCAACCTTCCCGCTCTCCTTCTCTTTGGCGCCGACAGGATGTGCTAACAAAACTGCCCACTGCAGGGTTATGACCATTCGTACTTCTTCATCTCGACCTTTGGAGAGGACCATGTTAAGCACGCCGCCAAGTTCCTGGGTCTGTAAAATGGGTAAGATTTACCGAGTATCAATGCTCTATTTCGCTCGAACTCGCTCCGAGAGGTGGGTAGTAAGGCCCGCGGTAGAAGGAAGCAAAAACGTGAGGTGCTGAGACGTATATAGAAGGACTTCAAGTAATGTCGTGCAATTTAAAGGAAGAGGTTTCGCAGCAAAAAGAACGCCGTCAGTGATAGATGCCATCAATCATTCATCAATAACGAGAGAACAAAAAGAGCACTCCATTCCTCCCGGCATTGCTTCGTTTCCCTATACCCATCCCAACCATCTACACCAGGCCACCCGTCTAAACCCCAACCATCCCAAACAACCCCGGAAAATCCAGAGTAAATGACCAAAAACAAGAAAAAAAAAAAATAATGTTGCTTTCGACATTGGGTATTACGGTATATTTCTTTTCAGTTCAAACACCCTCTCACATCACTACTTAGCTGATCCGCCTCCCATCGGTACTCAGCCCCTCCTTCTCCAGCTTCGTGCGCATCTCCGCCTCCATCTCCCTCCGTATCCGCTGAAACGCCAACTTCTCAAACCGACTGAGCGACTTCCACCAATGCTGGCCCGCCTCGTGCTCTCCTATGCGTTCGAGAAGATCTGTCGTCCACACGCGCACTTCCTTGTCCTTGTGGAAGAGGCCTAACGCAAGGTAGAAGAGGCCCGCGTGCGATTCGGGCGCTACGGATAGGAGGAGGCATATCTCATCGTAGGAATGGACGTGCTTGGCGAACGCGAGGTAGATGTCTTTGCTTTGTGCCGGCGTGAGTCGTTGGGTTCGGAGCCGATCGTGCATGTGGTGGAGGTCGAGGCCCTTCAGAGGCCGCACTGTATAGAGCTGCGCGAGGTCCTGAGAAGATGTTAGCTGAGAGAGTTTGTTTCGGGGGTATATATTGCCGCCCCGAATAGCTCCCGGATCAATGTTCTCACCTGAATAAAGCTATAATAGCTCCTAGTATTCCTCCACCCTTCAATACGCGTGACATTTCCCGCGAGCTCCCTCAACTTGGCCGTCTCATCAACCCACACGTAGCCATGCCCGTTAGGGGGGCCGGGGGTGACTGAACCCTCAAGATCATCGCTACCAATATAAAGGGCGCTGGCGCCGTAAACCGTTTCCTCAAACGCCGCTGCGATGCGCGTAAACTTGGTGACCCAATCCCGCCACTTGGCCCGAATGACGCGCTCGCCATGCCTCGCGTTGATACTCTTGAGAATGTCGTTTATAAACGCCGTATCGTTGGTAAGGTCGGGCGTCGAGGAACTTCCGGAGGCGTGAACTTGCACGAGCGAAGCGTAGGTAGGATTCTGCTGCTGGAAATACACCATACCCTCCGTAGCGGCCGCGGGCTCAATTCTGGAGCTGATCTTGATTCTGCCCGAGGACAAGTCGCATAGGACATCCCACCACTCGGGATGCAGTTCGAACGTCGGATTCGTCACACCTGCGATGAATCCAGGTACGTTGAGTAGGTCGTCGATCTTCGTTAGGTCGGTATACGGGAAGGCGTGTCGTGTAAATCCCCGAAGTACTCCGCCGGATGCCAGCGCGCACGCAGCTAATACAGCTTCGGCGACCTCGCCCGACGGCATGTTATGGCCCAAGAAGATGACTCGCTTCTGGGTAAGAAGAGCGTTGACGAGGACAATAATAGGATGCGTGTTGGCGCCATTGGTCGTTAGGTGAGCGTGAGGCGAATACGATAACGGTTGCTTTATGTGCGACGTTGAGAAGGTCTGAATTAACTTGATCAAGGAGAAGTCCCCCACACTTTCCGGCATGACGGCGACGGGGACCTTGATGGGGATGGGGATGCCCTTGTACATCACTTTACTCTCGAACTCGTGGGTATCGCGTGGCACCGAGTAGGCCGAGTTCCCTTCGACATGGGCTTTCGTGCCTGCGCGGGATATGCCTGGAGGCTTCGGGGGGTCGCGGCTCGCATCGAAGGGCTGGTCGGACACGTGCTCTCCGCTGTCTTCCGCTATCCGCAGCTGAATCATTCGCTCAAACTTTTCCACAAACAAATCCTTGTTGTCGCTCGCTTGAAGGAGATGTCTCTCCAGGAGACTAAGCTTCGGCATTAAAGAAAGATCCATAGCATTAACGGAATCGTAGAGCATCGCAAGAGTCTCGGGCACGGGAGACTTGAAGTACTCATCCAGCGCTAAAAGGAGTAGGGGCTAGGTTGCGGATGTAGGTTAGCAGATATTCTGTTTTGGGGAGTGGCTGGGATAGGGGTTAGAGCTAAAAAGAAGAGAAATCGCAAGATAAGGAGTCGAACCTTGTAGATATGCAAGAACGGATGGCGTGTGCATATAGCCATTGCCTTGACAATGGCACCACGCTTCACGGTCTTGTCTTGCTTGGTATTGACGAGGTTGAGTACATATATCAGCGGTGGTCCCTCGCCACCTTCTGGCTCGCTATCGGTCGATTCGTCGTCATCCCAATCATCGGGGTCGTTGGCCTCATCCTCCTCGAGCTCCTCCTCGTCCTCTTCGCTGATTATGCCGGCGGCCCTATTTTGTTTCCGCCGGCGCCTCCGGCGCCTCTGCTCCTTCTGCCGCCGCTCCTCATCCTCTTCCTCTTGACTGGTGTCCTTATGCAAGAAAAATATAGTCCAATCCTGATTACGCACGTGCGCTTGGTCGGGGAGCATCAGCTCTGCAAGCATGTGCTCGTCGCCGGTGATAGCTACGGGATACTGGTGTTCCATCACCGGACCGCGGTCGATATCGAATGACGCGACGAGGATATACTCGACGTGGTTCTCGGTCGACCCTCGCGGGTACTGGGAGCGAAGCTTCCTTGGCGGGAAAGCATCCGGGTTGTAGCGCCGCGGGCCGGAGCCGGACAACGACGAGTGCTGGGACGAGACGCCAATGGATGGGGTTTTTGATTTGGAGCTCGGATTAGAGCTGCGGTCGGCTTCCATCAATGGCGGCGGTTGCGGCGACCTCGAAGGGCGGGAGGTATGCGACATCTGTGAGGGCGAGCGAGACGCAGGGAAAGAAGAGAGCGAGGTTCTGCGATTCGGCCAGGGCCCGTTGGCGTTCACTTGGGGAACATTTCGGGGTGCGCTTCTCGAGATCGGATCAACGGTCTGGGCGGAGGCCATCATAAGTTGCTGCTAAAGGGATTCGGGCCCCCCAGATTATGGTCGACTATTCTAATGGAGGGCACGGAAACGGGAACAGAGCGCAGTAGGGACGAGACACGAGACAGCTGCTGCTCGCATACGGCGGGTCGAAACGGCAGTGCCCTATCGGGTTCCGTGTTTAAGTTGTGTTTGCCGTGTCGCGACAGGCCGGATCGAGGTATATAGGCGACTACCCAGCTATTCCCGTGGGCATGGGTCTGGGTCTGGGGCACAAAAGAGCGGGCTCGTACGGCAAGGCTTGGTCGAATCGGGATCGGCCGTGGATCGTCAACCGAGACGAGAGGGCTAAATTATCTCAACCGAAAGACAGAAAGAACGTGCAAGGAGTTTCGTGATGCAAAGCCGAGACCAAGACGCGAGAAGGGAGGGAGGAGAAGGCGGCCCGGGGAGGCTTGGAAAGGTCTCCCAAAGGCAGCAGGGAGCGTTGCAGGGGCCAACAACTGGCACCCACACAGGGCGAAATTTAAGACAATTACAAAGTAAGCTAGGGTCGACGACCTCGAAGTAGGAAAGGCTCGGGGGCCACGCAAAGTCACTCGATCAAAACCCAGCTAACTCACGGATACCGAGACATGATCTGCTTGGACGACATTTGATACCGACTTGTCTGAGGTGGGGCCCGGGGTGTCGAAATAATTGTTAATATTACCGTCTTTATAAGGGGCAGCAGATGGACAAATGGCTCCAGATGGAGCACAGGACACAGGCGCCCCTGAACAGGGTTGTTGTCAGTTATTCGACCGGGGGGGATCGTGAGTGGCGGTGGACGCCCATGCGATTCGATGCGAGGATTGGCCCAATCCGGCTTCGGTCGACGCCGCGAACATCCCCAGTGAAGAATGGGCACGTTCTATCTCCATAATTTTGATTCTAGCCCGGCCCAATCTAGCCCTGAACCTTGACCCTTTTTGGCGCCTAGGGATCCCGGCGTGTAAAGTTTCACAGTGGCGTCACTGATGTGGCTGGCCCATTTTGTGCAGCCAACCAATAAAACACCTCCATGGCTGACCATCGATACAATGACGGAGAAGGAGGGAATACTTGTTCGTCCACAATCGAAACTGCGAAGTACGAAGTACTTCGGCCTCAAAGTCTTTGGACACTCGCTTCGCGTTGGAACAGAACACTGAAGTTGAATGCTGCATGAAATACAAGCACGTGTTCTAGTGCCGAGAGGACACTACTAATAGCGATAAGCCTATAACCTTTATAGAGTTATGAGTTATACATATGCAAAAGCAGAGCTGGACATTATCGGCGACTCCTCATGGTTCATTGTTGAGGCTGGCTGAATGACGAAGTTCGGGATTTGGGAGCTGAAGGAGATATCTTGGGCAGGGCGTGTGTTTTCGACACCAGGAAGAGGGAAGGGCATTCTAATAGCGCAGGCAAAGCAGTGGTACGCGAGGTCACAACTGGATAATGCCTAGAAAAGAAACTAAGCCTTGGTCTTAACTTTAGTAAAGTTCGGGACTCGACTGAACGAGATTCGTCGTTCTGTTTGAAGCCTCCATCAAAGCCTATTTGTGACCGAGCTGAGCCACAGGCTAAGCTATCAGCCATAAATTCTTATGTCATAACCGGGGCTGGAGCCAATTCATTCAATTGTCGCGCAATAGAGCATGGAAGACGTCATTGGTCCAATGCTGAAGAGCGACGTTGTCTGGGACACTGCCGCCACTGTTTACTTTCCGCCTTGTGCTGAAGCCTCCGCTAAGACTCGTCAGTCCAACCTCCATCAAGCGCGAAGCATCAACATTCAACGGCGAATACTCATACCTCCCCTCCCGGTCCACATTTGACGTCTCACATCTTTATTCACGATAATCTGCCCGGCTCTAACATATGTAGCCTTCATACCTCCCCAACCATCTCTAACCATTTAGAAGCCGATATCATCCCACTTCATTGACTTTATCCCGCGTCGTGCCCGGGCAGGCCGCCTTCCCCTCCTCATCGATCTGCAATACTTTCTTTCCCACTTCGATCCAAATATCAATCCGAGGAGGTAGATATCTCATCAAATGGCAAGTAGTGTACAATGTTAAATCCCTTCGGATCTCCACACTTTTCTCAACGCTTTGGCCATACAGGCGACTAACCGTCCCCCTAGGCAATGCCTTCCGGATACAAACCCTCGCCGCTTGGCTATGGGTCTCCTCGCAGTTCCCCTTTCCGCCGACCAGAACCCTCCACCTCACCGACCCCTTCCCCCTTGAGACAGAGCAACAGCACGCCCTTGGTGTCGCCATTGAAGCTCAGCAACAGCGGTAACTTTCCTAGACCTGGCAGCGAGAGCACAGCTACCGCTGGTAGCACAAGTGGAAGTTGGACGCCGAAAGCCAGACCGACGCAAGACGATACTCCAAGATCAACATATCCAGCATCTCCTACACGACAAGTACCGTTATCGAATACCATGGCTTCGCACGGGAATGCTCTGTCAAAACTACAACCCTCCCAAGTCCGCACATTGCGAGAAGGCTTTCAGATCCTCGACCGAGATAGCGACGGCGTCGTCAATAGGGATGATGTCGCCGACATGTTAAACCAGCTCGGTATGCGTCATACGTTATCTTTTATATCACCATGATATTCATCATGAGCCGCATCTTGGCTTTGATTAAGACTAACAAGCTCTTAGGACTGCCTTCTGGTCCGTCAGACGTCGCCCGGTTCTTCCCACCTTCGGCCCCACAAACAATGACAATGCCATTGTTCCTCAACTCGTTGGCTACCACTCTTGCCGCCATGTCTCCGAGCCCAGAGCTCCTCTCAGCGTTTTCGGCATTCGACGTTGATGATAGTGGTCAGATTGATCTTGCAGAACTACGCGAAGCTCTATTAAATACAGCACCTGAGCCTGGAGAACGCCCGCTGACCGAGGCCGAGGTAAACATGGTCCTCAGCGGCTTCACAGGGCGTAGGGCATTCAATCGTCACATGAACCCAGGGCGTGGTGGGCGAAACGAGGTATTCAAGTATCAGGACTTCGTCCACTCGATAATGGGATCCAATGGAGGCTCGGAGTCTGAGGAGGCAAAGGAGTGACTTTGCTTGGCACAAATGCAATGCAATCCTCTAGCTGCAAACAAACAAGGCATTTTAAGCAGAAGCACCGCGGGGCTAGAGTGCGGGGGCTGAGGGAGGTGGTTGGGCGCTGCACGCGCAGTCGTCTGCGAGCGGCATCGATTGGCTACATATGCATACGAAGTACTAGTGACGGGGCAACGGCAGTCGGCAACTGGGCAATAAGAGTTGGCGTTTCCGGGGAGTGCTTTTGGGCTTTGCGAAATGTTATTCGAGACCTCCTTACTGTTTTTTTAGCACCTCAATAGCAGTATTGAATCGTCGAGCCATACAAACTTTGCCTTCTGCAAGCACTGACGGAAGGGTTTCACTCGCATCTCCAATTCTGTCTGGGGACCCTTATTTAGCCTAAAGGCCCCAGCTTCGCTGCGCATCGAAATATTCCAGAAACCCAGACTCGTGGAATTTCTCCCCTAGTCTAGGGTCCACCTACGAATTTGGTTCCAAAGTCCCGGATGCGACTTAGATGATTTTACCAGGTTTTTGCGCCCTGGTATTGAGGGCCGCCTAGCAGTGAGGTTCATCGAATCCATGCTCTAGATACACAGCTTTAGAGCACGGGTTCTAGATTGCCATCTGGTTGTATGTTTATGTTACTATCGCCCCTCAATAGAAAATTGCCTGTTGCTAGAAGAGCTATTCTCATGCGGTGAAATGGAATGCTACTGTATCATGAAGATTTACCTCGTGAGATTAGTATTTCCACCGAGTAGATTCAAGGACGTAGAGCAAGGGTCTGGATCCCCAATCCTCTTACGAAATAGCAGATGGATATAAATACGGCGGGATCGCCAGAGAGAAAGAGAAGAAACGGTCTGTATTTCCACTGCTCATCCAGAAGGCCAACATTTCCAGTCTTCGTTGAGGCATACGCGAGAAACCAGGCTCCTAGTCCTTCTCGCCATTTCACGTAACGTCCGCCATGTTGCCCAATATGAAAAACACCCTCCTTTTGCTGTCGGCACAAGCTGCTCTTGTAGCCGGGCAGTGTCCCAATCTCCACATCTTTGGGGCTCGAGAGACCACCGTGTCGCCGGGCTTCGGCTCAGCTGGACAGCTCATTAACATGATTATCAACGCCAACCCTGGAGCTACCTCTGAAGCTATCACCTATCCTGCGTGCGGTGGTCAAGCGTCGTGTGGTGGCATCGCCTATGGTGACTCAGCTAGACAGGGCACCAATGCTGTAGCGAGCCAGGTCAACAACTTCCATCAGAGATGCCCAAACGCCCAAATCGTCCTCGTCGGATACTCACAGGTGAGTATAGTAGACGAACCTTTTTGGTCATTCTAAGAATCTCACTTGCTAATCGAACAGGGCGGTCAAATTATGGACAATGCACTTTGCGGTGGTGGTGATCCCGGGGCCGGCATCACTAGCACAGCTGTTCCAATCTCGGCCAGTGCTGTCAATATGATCAAGGCGGCCATTTTCATGGGTGATCCAAGATGGCAGTACGGCCTTGCGTATCAAGTCGGCACCTGCCGTGCCGGCGGTGTAAGCCCTCCCGCCCACGTCTTCCGCATGACGGAAACCATTGTCGCTAATCCTTATTTTAGTTCGATGCTCGCCCTTCTGGATTCGTCTGCCCCAACGCGAGCAAGATCCAATCCTACTGTGACGCCGCAGACCCCTACTGCTGTACTGGTAACAGTCAAGCTACCCACCAGGGCTATGTCGGCGTCTACGGCCAACAGGCTCTTACCTTCATCAACAGCAAGCTTGGCTCCAGCAACGGCGGAGGCAACACCGGAGGAGGAAACACTGGAGGAGGCAACACTGGTGGCGGCAGCAACTGCTCGGCAAAATGGGGCCAATGCGGTGGCCAAGGATGGACTGGACCAACTTGCTGCCAATCGGGAAGTACTTGTCAAGCGCAGAACCAATGGTACTCTCAGTGCTTGTAAAGGCTCTGCTATGAAACAGATGCACTTAGCTGCAACGTTGTTGAATATTGGACAGACTCGAGATCCAACCTGGCTTAAGAATGGAAACTCGTTGGCAGAGAATGAGTAGAGTGTATCGCTCTAGGTATTAGCCTTCCCGTTTCGGAGACTTGCAAAAGATGAACTTCGTATCCTTATTACTTTCTGTGAGCGGGAGGAGGTGGGCGTTCCTGTTCGAATATCAGGAGATTGGCCTCTTCGTTACAACAAGTCTCAAATGTGCTGGATGTGATGGCCCCTCTAGCCTGGGCATTGTCTACTCTGTCCGCTCCCACATTTGAAACTCGTACTTCGTTTGGTTCTCTTCTTGGATCCCCGCTGGCGCATCTTCCCCTACCCAAGCATCCAAGTCGGCCTTGGACTTGACAACCCACCCAGGTGCGCACTCTTCGCCCTCGGTCACCTTGAGAGGGAAGAAGGTGTCACACTCGAAGTCGGATAATATTCGAGTGATAAGGAGCCTCTTTGTTTGGGACAGTTTCAGCGCGGCGTCGTAGATTTGACCGCCGCCAATGACAAAAACCTTGCCCACCTCCTGCCCAGACTTCGATTTCAGATAATCGAGTGCTTGTTCCAATGACGCAGCCTTTACAAGATCGCCCTCAGAGTCGGCTGAGGCGTGCGCGGGAGTGGGGAAAGATCGGCTGATGACGATGTTCAACCGACCCTTCAGGGGTCGAAACTTGGCGGGGATGCTATCCCAGGTCTTGCGACCCATAATGACGGCATTGCGAGCTTCAGGGGGTACCTGCCTGGATGTGTTAACTACGTGCATTCCTTTCTCTTTTCTTTTTTCCCCCAGTTACTATTATCCTCATAGAACAGGCTTGGATTTCCGGGCCTCATCGATGAGAAAAAATGAAGGGAAAGTAGTAGGTGAGTGAGGAGGAGTGATCGACTTGGGGTGGTAGCCTTTTTGTAACACGGGCAAAGTAGGCCATTTCCTTCTTCAGCCCTGTCCAGGGAAGGGTGCCCTTTGCGCCGATACCCATATTACGGGTGGCGGCGACGACCAGAGTCAGCTCGATTGGTGGCGGCATGATTGATTGCCGAGTCTTGTTCCCGGACGTTTGGTTGCGGGATCGAGTTTGTCGAGGGAGGGATTGGCGGTTGGTCCCCGCGGGGACTGACGAAGGTGCTCGTAGAATTAGCGATAGATCAATGATATTTTATCAATTTGAAGAAAAGGGAAGAAAAAGGGAAAAACAGATAATAATAAAAAATAAGAAAAAAAAGGAGCCCCCGAGTCGCGTGTACTTGGAAAGAGTCGATCCGCAACGTGTGCGGTTGACGGAAGGAGCAGTTCAATGGCTCTTTGCGGAGGTAGGCAGATGACCCGGGCTCTGCCTGTCAGCGGGTAATGTTGGATCAATTGATTATTAGTGGATTGTTGCCTTGGTACTCTCACACCCGAAGCTACACGGCATTGTCCTCCAGCACTCTGGTTCTAGTTTAGGCAGTGAGGCACTAATTTTGGTGGGTTGAACGGAGCGCTGGTACCGCGGCTGGAAAGGTCATCCCGGTCAGACCTCGTCATGCCCCACCGAAGCTTCTCGAATCGCGGTTTCTCAAACAGGGAAAAGCATGTTTAATGCAAGACCTCGTTAAAGTGAATGACTGCTTAATTGCCAGTTTTGGATTTTTAGTGGTACTCCTACCCTCTCACGACGGACCGGTCCGTCCAGTGAGACTGGAGGTTATTAAATTTACAGCGGTACATTTAAGTGTTCCAGCCGTCCTCGTAGTGGATAGCATCAAACGACCACACCAGACGTCTTGCATTTACAATGCCGTTGGATGAAGCCTCATTTGGATGCAAGGCCTCGCCTCAATCCTTCGCCTCTTTCTGGCAGTATGGATCCAAAAGCAGCCAGTGACACTCCCGACTGCTCCTGGCCAAGGTCTAGAGCCCAGATGATGATAAACAGAATCCTCTTCATCCCCTATTCTATTGGTCCTGTAGCAATCCCCGGCTCTGTTGCTGGGCACCGTTGGACTGCTTCAAGATTGGATGTGGGGGGTGGCGGTAATGTCGTAACTACACGTATCACCTGCTAACTTTGTATTGGCTCAAATGTATATGGTACCCTGTCTCATCACCAAATCACCAGCAGCCGCCTGGCCGACCTGGCAAATTTTGTCTTTCCCCAGCCAGCAGCTTTTTTTTCTCCCCTACTCCGTCCCGCCCTCTGCCCGCTGCCCGTTTCTTCCTTTTATGACGAGGCTCCTTAGCTCCAGTCCCTTCCTTTCACAACAGCTCTCTCTCTCTAATATTTTTTCTTTCACAAATGACTTTATGCTGAGGAGGGACCAAATTTAGGTTCCACCATCTTCGCCCATCTTCTTCTTCATCTTCTTGTCTTCGCGAACTTGTCATTTTCAATATATTTATTGTGAGAGTCTTCAGATCACAGAAACAGTGAAACAAAAAGGTTTGTCCCTGTTCCACATCCCGCTGGTAGCATCTGTCTCACACTAACGAGCCTAATCAATGGCAGTAACCCTTTTAATCGGTTCTTCCCTTTTTGCCTTCCACCCATCGACATACACGGCATAACCTTGCAAGCGAGACACATTTGATCCTCAACATCATACCCGTCCCACCATTAGGAAACCCCCTCCCCCGATAAGAGGGATTCTGAGTCTGCCCCAACTGAAAGATTTAAAAAAAATATTACTGAGGACCCTGCCACTATCCGGGAATGAAGTCCTTCTTCAAGAAACCATCCAAACACCCACATCCTAACGAAGACGACACCTATTACTCATCAGAGGTCTCTTCGCCGACCAAATCCCCCACCAAGAGTAGTTCACGGTCGCCTAGCAAAAATTCTACTGCACAACCATCCCCCACAAGAAAGGATCCCTCAAAGTCTCGGTCCTCATCCACCAGGGCCTTTGTGCGTCAGTCAACTGATCCAGGCCATTCGTCATCAACGCGCCGCAAGAAAACCGAGCTCAACACCCATCCCCTCAATCTCCCGGAAGAGGAGAGGAAACGTCTTTCCTCCTCCGCCCTCTCAAGCATGAGCGAACCGAGCGCCATGGATATCGACGAGCCCTCCACTGGCGCTACCGCCTCCTCCCCTCCTACTCCTCCTCATCAGTCGCCCCCTCAGCCGCAGCCTCAGGCTTCCTTCTCTGTCCCAATTACCAATGGCACAAAAGATGTCAACGGGGACGACTCGGCTCCCCCAGTACCGCCTCCTCACCGATCCACCCCCACGAGCCCGACTCCGACAAAGGCTGAAGAAGCCGAGACCTACAAAGCGGCTGGCAACAAGTTCTTCAAGGAGAAGAATTACGCTGATGCCATAAGGCAGTACGACAAGGGTCGGTTTCTTTTTCCCTTCGCGGGCAAACTCAGCGCGGCATCTGGCCGGCATTTGACGTCGTTTCTAACACTTGTCGTCTTTTTTTAGCTATCGATCTCGTGCCCAACTCCTCCACCTACCTCAGCAACAGGGCTGCCGCTTACATGTCCAATGGCCAATACGATGCCGCACTGAAAGACTGTACCCGAGCCGCTGACTTGGACCCCCAGAATCCCAAGATTCTAATGCGTCTAGCCCGTATCTTTGTGTCTCTAGGTCTGCCCGAGGATGCCCTTGTTACCTTTAATCGAATCCACCCCTCCCCCGCAGCGAGAGACGTTGCCCCCGCCAAAGAAATGCTGCACCACATGCGCGCCGCGCAGGAAGCCCTTCGAAGCGAGTCTAAGGGATCCATGGTACTGCACGCCCTCAACCAAGCTGAGCGACTGCTGGGCGCGGGCGCATCCAAGCCTCGAAAGTGGCAGTTAATGCGAGGGGAGGCTTATCTCAAGATGGGCGATCCGACGTCGCTCGCCGAAGCTCAGAACATTGCCATGTCCCTTCTTCGGTTCAACAGCCAGGATCCGGAGGCTCTTGTTCTCCGAGGACGGATCCTCTACACTTCCGGGGAGAATGACAAGGCCATCAGCCACTTCCGAAAAGCTCTTGCTTGTGATCCCGATTTCAGAGACGCCATCAAGTACCTCCGCATCGTCCAGAAGCTTGACCGTATGAAGGACGAGGGCAACAAGGAGTACAAGGCAGGGCGGTGGCAGGAAGCCATCAGGCTGTACACTGACGCTCTGGAGATTGATCCGGCCAACCGGGGCACCAATTCTAAGCTCCTGCAGAACAGGGCCATGTGCCGGATCAAGTTAAAGGAATACGAGTCTGCCGTCGCCGACTGTGAGAGTGCAGTCAAGCTTGACCCCAAGTACATTAGGGCGCACAAGACCCTGGCCAATGCACTGGGCCTTGCCGGAAAGTGGGAGGACTCCGTCCGTCAATGGAAGGCAGTTCACGACCTTGAGCCCGAGGATAGGTCCATCTTGAAGGAGATCCGCAACGCCGAGATCGAGTTGAAGAAGAGCCAACGCAAGGATTACTACAAGATCCTGGGCGTTGAGAAGGATGCGGATGAGGCTGCTATCAAAAAGGCTTACCGAAAGCTCGCCATTGTCCACCATCCCGACAAGAACCAAGGCAACAAAGAGGCCGAGGAGAGATTCAAGGACATTTCCGAAGCCTATGATACCCTCAGCAATCCTCAGTAAGTGATACCCCGTGCCTTTTTGGCAAACGTTTATCACGAACAAAAGGTATTCTCCAGAGACACACCCGTGAAAGACTAACCGTGTTTTCCCTCTCTTGCAGGAAGCGTGCCCAATACGACAACGGCGACGACCTTGCTGACATGTCGGACATGTTCGGCGGAGGCGGTGGCATGGGGAACATAGACCCGGAAATCTTGTTCAGCATGATGGGCGGCGGCGGCGGCGGGTATGGGGGTGGCGGGTTTGGTGGTGGCATGGGCGGTCATGGATTTGGCGGAGGCTTCCCCCGGCAAGGCGGTGGCCACTCGTTCCACTCCTTCGGTGGAGATGGAACGGGGAGGCAACGCGGCGGCTACCCGTCGGGAAGCTTTCACTTTACGTGACTCTCAGACACGGAAGATGAAGAGGACGACGAGTTCGAGTTCGAGGATGATGATGAACATGAGGAAGAAGCAGAGGATGAAGGTGACGTAGAGGAAAATCCACATGCAGGTCGACAACAATCGCCAAGGGGTTATCAGTCCATGAGGAGCAAGCTAGACGACCACATCCGAGCACGGCAGGACGACCGGGACGCCCTCGTCGACCACCTACGGTACGTCGGCGCATGGCTCGTCGCCGCCTTCGTCCTTCTCCCTCCTCACCTCGCCGTCCTGGTAGCATTGGCTGGAGCAATCCTGTATATCTGCATCCAACGGCCCCAGCAGCCTTGGCATTAGACGATGATGACCGTTTATAACTTTTGAATCGAAGCCAAAAAGCATAGACGGAGCTCCCAGAGGGCGTTTTTATTTCTGTTTTTTTAGGGACTTAAGGGAACAAGGTTTTTTTTTAGTTTATTTCTTTTCCTTTTTTCCGTCAGGCTCTTTTGTTGGACTATGGTTCATGTAATCACCAGAGTGAAGAGAACAGAGGGCACAAATATCGGCAGGATGAAAAGGCTCTGGCTCAATGTCTATCTATCCCACAGGAAAACGACACATTCCCCAGCATCGAGGAACTGTCTAATATGTTGAGCAGCCATTGGGTCCAGATGAGAAGGAATGGGAATTTCGTGTACTACATGTCTAGGGAATCGGCATCAAATCGCAACATGCATTGTGGGACAGCTCTGTAAGGAAGACTGAAATATCTCCATCATTGCTCTCACGGAAAAAAAAAGTTAAGCCTTTCGTTATTTGGTCGTTTCGCGTGTGAAGAATCGTGTGTGGGTTTTCGTGCGTGTCGTAAAAATCATAGAAGGTCCTCCTGTCTCGCTAATGGAATCCAAGCCAACGAATCTTTGTTGAAGACATAAAACCCGGGTATCAAGTAAATAAATCCACTCATCCCCAATATCTCACTTAAGGCACCTCTCCCTGCCCCCACCTAGCCTCTGTCCGCATCACATCTCTCTAGCTCCTCAGTTACTTGTCCCATCCCCACCACCGCCAGCAGCGCCAGACCCAGACCTCACACCCCCAGTCGCACTGCTCCCAACCCTCGTCTCCTCCAACACCCTATCAACATCAGGCTTGAGCTCGGGCATGGCGCCGGCCATCTGCTCGGCGAGGATATCGCGAAAGGTGGCAAAGGCGTGCATCTTGCCGCGCATGAGCTGGTTCCCTCGGCGCACGAGCTCGACGAATTCGCGGGTGTAGATGTCGGGGTTGCGGCCGCCTTCGACGTATTTGACGAGTTCGGGGGGGACTTGGGGGAGGGGGAGGGTTGGGTCTGTGGCGGTTGAGTTGAGAGTTTGGAGGGAGGTTGAGAGGGTTTTTCTTTGAAAGGGTTAGTTTGTTGTCTGGGATGGAATTGAAAGATGCCGCAGGAGGGAAGAGGGGGAGGCGTACAGGCTGTTTGCGAGGACTTCTTTGCTGGGCCTGCCGCTGGTGTCGTAGTGGGAGGTTACGACCATGACCTTGAAGAGGTCTTGGATTATGTCCTTGATCTGGGCTGCAGTTGGGTGGTCGCGGAGTTAGCTTCACGGCGTTCTCTTGAGGCGGAATGCAAGGAGGGACGATGTCTGGCGAACTCACCCTCCAGATCGGAGTGTATGTCTCTTTGAACGGGTGCCATTGCGAATGGTTGCGATCTTGGATGTGAATGTGGATGTTGGAGGGGTTTGGGGATGAGGTTCGATTAGAAGAAGTCAAATGAGACTGAGAATGGGCTGAAACCTTGGCCTGATTGGATCAAATTCGGGTGATGGTCAGTGGGTACGACCAGCTGCATTGCCAGCTTCAGGGGCCCCGGGCACCCCTGCCAGTTTCCCCAGTGCCACCCATAGCCGCGTTTAGTGTGTTGGCATGCGATCAATAACACTTGACCTTGGTACTGAGGTACTGACGTAATAATTTGAGCAATCTCAACTCCTCCAAGTCGCAACTTCTCAGGTGGATTTACTAGTGATTCTATCACCGCCAGCGATTTTATATCTTCAATGTTCTATGAATTAATCTATATCAATTTTAGCAGAGATTCACCAGTCAGCCGTTCAGTATTCAGTCAGAAATTCCCCATTTGATTTAGGTATCTAGATTGGACTCAATCACCTTCTAATTTAACGCCATGCCATGCCAGACCTGCATTTGATCCTTTTTCCCAATTCCAAAGCTATCACACCTCGACTCTATAAAACATCAATGATACTGTACAACAGAAAACAGTGAACCAGACCCGCCGAAACTCCATTCAACCACACCTCCGAGTCCCTCCACCATCTGTCAATCTTGATCAATCCCGAATTTTTATTCCCTTTTAACCCTCTCTCTTTTCCAGAGAGCCCGCGATATCATGGCCTCGACTTCGGTTAGTCGCTGTCGTCTACCCCCTCAATAACCTTTCCCTTTCTCCACCGTCGGATGCCTCGTCCGATCTCGGCAACTGGGTGGAACACGAGCCTCATCACCTTCCAGAACGGCCTGAACACGAACATGAAAGCCTTCGCGATGGCCATGAAGAGAGCTTCGGCATACTCGTCGGGGATGAGACGGAGGATGACACCCCAGAGCAAGCAAGGCAGCGCCACGAGGATACAGACAGCCCATTGCACGCCGTCGATACGGACTACCTCGAAAGCTTGGCCACCAATGAAAACGATCATGATCTGAGCTGCGACCATAATGGCGGCCATGGTAATGAAGAAGTAGTTCTTGTGCGCGCCCTCAAAGATGTTGTGCTTATTATCCAATCGTCGGTTGTTGAACATGTTGAAGATCTGCATCCACACAAAGGCGTTGAACACCATGGTGTCGAGCTCATGCTTCTGGTGGGGGTTGGCCGCGAAGTCGTACTTGAAGATCTTCTCGCCGAGGAAGTAAAGGATGAGCGTGATGACGATCTGGTAGAAAGCCTGGCCGAGAATCATCTTCCACATATTCATGGTGATGAGCGCAGCGGACTTGGGGGTCGGCTTCCTGTCGAGGATGGAGTCGGTAGGGGCATCTGTGGCGAGAGCCAGGGCGGCGAAAGTGTCCATAATCATGTTGACCCAGAGAAGCTGCACGGCCTTGAGGACGGACGAGTTATCATCTGAAGCAAGTGCGGAGATGAAGGCGAGTGTAACAGCGGCGATGTTGACGGTGATCTGGAACTGCAAGAACTTGGCTACGGCGTCGTTGACACTGCGGCCCCACATGACAGCCTTGACGATGCTGGTAAAGTTGTCATCCATGAGAATAATCTCCGATGCCTCCTTTGCGACCTCGGTACCGGCGATACCCATTGAGAAACCAACATCAGCAGTCTTGAGTGCGGGTCCGTCGTTAGTACCATCTCCGGTAACAGCGACAGTCTCGCCAAGCTTCTTCAACCTCTCAACGAGAATCCGCTTGTCCTCAGGTGAGGAGCGAGCGAGGACATCAAGGCGTGGAATAATGGCATCCATTTCATGGTCAGAGAGCTGTCGGAAGACGGGGCCTTCCATCACGATACCATTCTCGGTAGTTATGCCGCATTCCGTAGCAATGGCCCGCGCAGTTACTTGGTTGTCACCAGTGACCATGCGAACCTTGATGCCGGCTCCCTGGCAACGGCGTACGGCGTCGGTTACCTGAGGACGAAGAGGATCCTGGATACCAACGAGACCAACCCAGACCATACCGGACATGACGGAAGCAAATTTGGCCATGGACTTGTCCTCTTCGAGCACTTCAGCTTCTACAGGAGGCCACACAGGGAAGTCCTTGTATAGGAAGCCAATAGTACGAAGGGAGCGCTCGGCGTAGGCCTGAATCTGTGCTGAGACCTGCTGCTTGGCGATTTCGTCCATGGAAACAACGGCGTAGTCATCGGAGTCGATGTTAGCGACGTACGTCGTAGCCTTGGAAAGCATGATTTCCGAAGCACCCTTGACAACAAGGCGGTAGTCGCCCGAGGGGAGTCGAATCACCGTACCCATGCACTTGAGAGCCGAGTCGAAGGGGTAGATTTGTACGATCTGGGTGTTGCTTCGCTCCTCAGCGACGTTGGTCAGAGCCAGGTTGTTCTGGGCAAGGATAAGAAGAGCGACCTCTGTCTTGCTGCCGATGAAAGTCTTCTGGCAATCCTCTTCTCCCTCGAAAGCGGTAGAGTTGATGGCAATGGACTGCATGAGGAGGCTCTTGAAGCCGGCGGAAAGCTTCTTGAATAGGTTGGTGAAAGTTTGCTCGTCATCACCGGACGGCTGGAGTGAGAACTTCTGGTCCTTGCCCCAGGACCCGGCGACAACGGTCATCTTGTTCTGGGTGAGGGTGCCAGTCTTATCGGAGCAGATGGTGGTGGCATTACCCATAGTCTCGCAAGCACGAAGCACACGAACGAGGTTGTTGTCCTTCAGCATACGAGTGGTCGCGAAGGCGAGAGCGAGGGTGACAGCAAGGGGTAGACCCTCGGGAACAGCCATGACAATGATGGTAATGGCTGTGATGAGAATGTCGAGGAATTCGCCGGCCTTTTCAGAGGGAGTACCAGGGTTCTGGGGAAGAGCAGCAATGAATCGGAACAGCTGAATGAAGAAGAGGATACCCGCCCAACTATTCGAGTTTTTGTTAGCCACATCTTCCTGTCCCCCCCGTCGGCCTCGTCTTCTTTAACAAATTGTGAGTGATAGGAAGAAAAAACTTACAGTGAACCGAGACCACCGATCCAGTTGGCCATCGTACCCAGTTTCACCTGGAGTGGCGTAGGTTCGGTCTTGACCTGAAGGGACAGAAGAATCTTTCCATAGCTGGAGTTCACGCCAACGCTCGTAACCAAGAAAGTTCCAACACCTTCGAGGACCTTGCTTCCCGAGATGATGAAGGGGTCAAGTTTCGCCATATCTTCGGGGCTGGCAGTACCGGAGGAAATCTGTTCCCAGACTAACGCACCAGGTACCTTCTTGAGGGCATCGGATTCACCAGTGGCCGAGGACTCATCGCACTTGACGCCATGGCCGCTGATGAAGATGCCGTCGGCGGGGATAGAGTCACCAGGCTCGATGTACAGGACATCGCCGGCCATGACGTCGTAAACCGAGATCATAGCGGCCTTGCCAGAGCGGACAGCCTTGACCTCACGATCCTCTTTCTAGTTTTAAGGAGGCAGCGAGTTAATATGGGAAACGATACTGGGGAGACCACAGCCTGTGTCGGTTCGCTTACCTTTTGGTTCAACTTAGTGAACTGCTTCTCTTTTTGCCAATCGTTGAAGAAAGTGACGACGACAACAATGATGATAGCGGCGCAAATTGCGACACCCTCGATCCACTCGACGTTCTTACCACCATCAAAAGTCTCATAGAGACCAAGAGCCAATGACACGATAGCGGCGACCGTCAAGAGCCACAAGATCTTATCATTGTATGCCCTCCAGAGAAGACCCGCAATGGTGTAGGTTTTGCGAGGGGGCAGGCGGTTATCCTTGAAGACGCGCTTGCGATCTACAAACTGCTCTTTGGCATCCACGGCGTGGTTAACGTCGCTAATGGGCTGGAGAGTAGTAGATGCCTTGGCAGCGTGAGATTTCCGCTCCTGCGCCGCCTCGACGGCTCTGCGAACAGTGCCAGTGAGCTTTCCCTCGTCGGCGCTGAGACCAGAGCTGATGTCGGTACGCAGAGCGCGTTCAATGCCGGGCAAGCCGCCGAGAGCGGCGTAAGCAGCCAAAGACTTGGGGTTGAGCATCTTGTTCAACTCGCCGGGGGTGACGCCAAAGGGATTGTTTTGGACCTGGAAATCTTTCTCATGTCCTTTGTCCGGGCGGAGAGCTTCTTCGGCTCTGATGCCATTGTATAGCGGGAGGATGCCCGCGGATTTTGAACCGGCCGCTCCGAGCTTAGACTTTTCGTTGAAGGTCGTGTTCATGGTAGTGTCGGTGTTGGCGCGGCTGCGAGGGCCGAAATGGAGGGTTTCTCCGCCTAGGGACATGGCTGCTGTTGAATGGGGGCTGGACGGTCGGGGACTCTGGCTTCCAGAGGAGGAGCGTGAAGGTGTCGACTATATTCAAGCGAGAGAGAAAAAGGAGACAAAGCAATGTTAGGAATACGTGATTCACTGGAGCAAGGATGCGCAGAGCGCGGCTCACCTCAGAGTCGAGCCCCGAAGAGTTTCTAGGATGGTCGCCGACCATATTTGCGAAACGAAGCAAGGAAAACAAGGAGGAGATTGGAAAAGGAAACGGATATAGAGAGGTGACCTCACCAGGATGTCGTCGCGGTATGTGCGGAAGGAAAATCAAAGAGATGTGAGAGTGGAGGAGAGGATACTGATCAACAGAAGGGTCGGAGTTGGAGGTGTCCGCAAGCGGCCAGGCACTTGAGGTGGTGGTTGTTGGGGTAGGAGGATGAAGGGATCTCTCTATGTCCGTTGATGGAACCGAGGAAGGATGGCGCCGCACACGATGCCGCCTTCGATAAGAGGTGAAAGAGAAGAAGGGATGACAATGGCGATTGCGGCTTCGAGGATGTCTTTATAGAGATGTATCCTCTTGGGATGGATGGAAACTATGACTTCATCGCGCGCCCAGAGGCATGGAGAGGAGAGATGGAGGAGGTGGCAAGGGAGAAGAAGATGCAACGAGCACGTACTCGCCCACACATGCAAGCGCAGGGTCTACAAACACCAAGCACACATCAGGTCAATGGTGGAGAAAGACATTTTTTTTTTTTTTTCTTTTCTTTTACTTCAACTTATCCTGTCCCGTTAGTTTCAACGAGGCTGGGGAAGCGAGCGTCAACCCCTGCGTTCCTCTTTTGGCGGGAAAAGGTGGTATCAGCCGACCAAACAACCAGCTACTGGGCACTCTTAGCGTGGGCTTCCAGCTAGAAGTTGCCGTTTTTCTTCGTTTCGCTGGATCATGTTGCTTCGAGATGCAGAGGATCCGTCAGAAGGGGGAGGCAGTGCAAGACTTAGCGCCGGTTGCAAGAAGGACATCGACCGGACGGTACGGGGGGCGTGTGACCGGGATTGAGCATCATCTAAAGTCTTATCAATCTTTGTTTTTGATTGTTGTTAAAGTCCCATCGTCGAGAAAGTGTGCTGGTGGAGGCACTAAACCCACGCCAGGACGACCTCGATCGGCAATTCTTTCCTTTCGTTGGATGCCAAGACTCTGGGACGGTGGTGGGTGTGTTTCCCTTGCATGCATGCGTGTTGCGGCGGTCATGCTTGAATTGGGGGTGGGACGGGGCGGCGGGGGATAAGTCCGAGCACCGAGGACTATTTCGGGGCGGGAAAGTGGGCCTATTGAGGAGAATTTCCCGAGTACCCCGTTTTGCTATGTGTTTCTGGTAGAGCTGAAGGGTAGCAGGTACGCGCTTTGATTTCTACGAGCACGGAGAGAAGGGTGATTCGAGCCGAGTGTCTCTTCGCCTTCCTTTAGACTTGAAACATTAACAAGATGTCGGAAAATACCTTGAACTGCCCAGGCGTTTGTTCAGAGTCAAAGTGCCGGTCGGTAGGAAACATTTAGCGAAAGAAGCTTAAACCGCCCGGTTCAACTGAGGATTGCGCAAGGAACAGGATAAGCAACCATCTTGGGATCGGGTTTGGTTTTCTTTGGCCGATGTTAAGGTCTGAATATACGTGGATCTACGAGATACAGATCCGTTGTTCGTTTACGATCGGTGTAAGTGAACATGGAGAATCAAGAACGGGCGGCGAGAGATGGGATGGGAAGGAATTCGCGGGGGAAAAAAAGAACCATGCTGGATCTTCTCTCCTCGCTTTCTCTCCCAAGACATCTTTTCTTCGTCGACTCGCATTAAGATCTGCGAATACTGGCTTCGAGAAATCCCAAGATCTTTTTTCTCTTCTCTTTTAGTCTACACAGCCACAATGCTCATACATGTAGATCCTACTTTGATATGCAGAGAAGTGGCAATTAAAAAAATGCAGACTGGGAGCTACAGTTCTGCACTCCGCTCTGGGCGGAGATTGAACTAAGACCCGAAGTGGCCGACATTTCTCACTTCCGCTGGTATGCGAGCAAAGAAGGGAAAAGGCACGCTGGCTACTGCCGAATGAGAGACGGTAGTGGTCTTCCCGGATAATGGAGCTTCCGAACCGTTCACTGCAGGCGGAGAGTAGCGTTGGCGTGGAGGTGCAGGAGAGAGATGGTGGGTGGGATTGATCAATCGATGCTACCATATTGCTTAATAGCACAAGCTCAGGTGGTATTATTGGCATTAGTGCTTCGTACGGACTCGTCGAATAGATCAAATTGATTGATCAAATACTTTTTGTAAGATCTAATCTCTACGGTCGATGGAATCGCATCCTGGGATCTTGGCCAAAGGCGAATGCGACACCCGCTGATGAGAGTGTCGAATGATCAGAGCGGTAGAATCCACTTCATACTTCGTACAGACCATCAACAGCTCGGATGGCTCTCGTGTCTTCCCATCAACCAGTTATTCTTCGTACCTTGTGCAAGTGCGTGGTAGTAGTTAGATTAGGTTGTTTCCCGCAAGACCAGGGGGCAGAGGGGGTTGTTCTGCCGACAGACGGGAAACACGAACAAAACGCGACCATGGAATAAGCTCTCTTGTGTTTCTACTTCGTACTAAAATGCCCAAAATAGATTGTAAAAGCTCAATGGCACGATTTGGCTGAACATTTGGCGATGCTTGTGCAGCAGGCTGTTTCCTAGTGGAGCCCACGATGATGACTCGAAACGAGAATTCCTTTTGCCTCCCAGCCCGAACTCAATTCCTGATTCCACGAGCACTCAAGTAAACCGAAACCGAAACTAATATTTGGTAGTCACGAAGGCTCGTGGGACGTGGCACGGCAAAAGTTTCTCTTCGAGGACGTGGGATTTATCCTAATCGGGATAAGCTACGGACTCCGCTCCGCGTGCTGGCCCGGTCGCCCCCCGCCTTCGATGGCAGGCTGGAGAGTCTAGTTTCGGCAAGGTTTCATGCAGTTGGATCGCTTAATCTTGCCGTGGGATGGAAGGGCAAGTCTAGCCTATTTAGTCCTCATTTCGTACGTTGGAGCGTGGGGAGTCAAGTCGAGCCGAGCTGCCCTGTCAGAATCGTGGAAAGCTGGAGCCCACAACAATAATGATTGATAGTCGCCGCGGCACCTTGGAAGGGGGGAATGTCTCCTGTAACATCCGGGTTTCCCCTGACGATTAGGCTTTGGCCTCTGGATTGCATTGGTTGATCAAGTCGTGGATCGATTTGATCAGCGCAGTCAAATTTTCAGGCACCTCACCTCACGTCAAGAATTGGCGAGGGTAAAGAGGAGAGACAGAGAAAGAGGACGGAAAGGCAAAAGGCACGAGCCTACCTCAAATGCGTCAAGCGCTCGACGAGGAGAACAGAGCACTGAGGTCGAGTCGAGAAGCTCCAGATCCTATTCAAAGACCTGGTGATCCAACTACACGAGCACCTCTGATCAACCCATGCGACCAGCTGATAATCGTGCTCTATCTCGTACGGCCCCAACCGTCGATGCAGGCCGAAGAAAATAACCTACTTCGTAATTAGATTTGATCCTACGGTAGCAGTGGCGAGACAAAATGGAACTTCTTAACGTAGTCACAGCTGGCAAGGCCCCTTTGCGGCTCACCGGGCGTCTAGGCTGGCTAACTGTAACCGTCAATAGGAGAAAAGCAAAAGACAAATACGTAGAAGGAATTAATATGAATACTTGGTAATAAATGGACACCTGGCGGTGATTCGATGGTCCTCGTTTAGACTTGACTCCTTTCAAGTATGCCCTGTGCCATTCCCTTGTCTCGCCTTGGGCAATAACCTGAGACTTGCGGCCCCCTAGTTTCTGCCTTGACAGTTTCTGCCACCCGGAAAGATCTTCGCCATGTCAGAGACTGTCTCCAGCTAGATGCAAAAACAGAACCTATTACTATCAAGACGTCTAAGTTGTTCGCTCGATTTGAGAGCACGATCCGAGGGATGATCCTCGCTGATTCCCATTTACGCCCCGGAGACGGCCAATGCTTGGAAGAAAGTTGATGCGCTCACGGAGTAGACACGGAAGCAGGAAGATATAGGCTTCGATCTTCGCAGGAACGGATGCCGTTCCAGCCTGAGCGCAAAGCGGCGAGACGCCCGAAGGCAATAGAATTTGGAACCCTATGATGCGCGACACATCTTTGATCGCTCTTCGGACGGGAACAGTTGGACTGGACGTGGCGTTCCTATTACTGTAACTTGGAGGGCTTAAACTGCGGCCGACTCGTATGGGGGAAGCAAGAGTTATCGATTGTGCTTCAATATTGATTCCATCTTATTCCCTATCCCAAGTTCCTGTTTTGCAGTGTATAGATCATCATCACCAGCCTCTTTTCTTTTTCTCGCAGTCTTTTTCCTGTTTCTTTCCTTTTTCTTGTCCTTTGCCTTCTCTTCGATCGTTAGCTGGGCTATACGCAGGTGATTTCTTTTTCTCCGCTTCCTTTGCTTTTCAGTCGTGTGTTTTCACCTTCCAGGGTTTCTCTTTTTATCATCCCTTTTGTTTCCATTCGCTTCTTGTGTTGTCTTATTCCCCATTTTTTCTAAGGACATGCAGGTCGTGGCCCCTTTTCAAGGCATCTAGATGGCCCTTCGTTATTAGACTCGTCACACATAAAAGGAAGGGGAAGTAGAAAAGGAAAACAAGGCAGAAAAGAAGCACCGAAGCTATGAGTCCAGAGTCGACCCGCCTTACTCGAATTGGGGGCCGGAGCAGGAGGAGCCAGTATTGGAGCCGCCTCCAACGTCGTGACGATGAGGGTGATGATGAGTCTGGAGATGAGAACGACGGACAAAACGACAGCGATGACGACGGCGAAGATGAGGCCCAACCGAGGCTTCCACCACCAGCTGCGGTTGTACCTCCTCCTCCAGCAGGACAGGGCACTTTACCACAGCCTCCAGTAGTTGCCAGCCCAATACCACTTGAGGCGCCGCCTGCCACCACCCCTACGAGTGCCGCCGCAGCGGAGGATACACCTCTTGTCGTTGCCGCGCCTATTCTCATTCCGGGGACAGTTACGGCGAGGCCGCTCATCACTCTCACGGCCGTTGCGCCGCCGAGAGTTGTTGTACCTTCGACACTGGTTACTTCTACGAGGGGTGTACTGCCTAGTAGCAGCAGTATCGTCACCTCGCGAGTCAATAGCGTGTCGACTATCCCAGGCAACGCCTCTTTCACCACTAGCCTCTCGAATGTTATCGCTACAAGCATTGCCTCTGCCAACCCTGCTCTCTCTAGCGCTCTAAGAGGCGGTGTCGTCGGCGGCATCAACACCACACCCGTCATCCAGACTCCTGCCTTTTCTCAACCAACTATTGCTGCCACAACGGCAGTCGGGGCAGTTCCCGTGCCCACGGGGGCCGGAGAACCGGCTGTTGCTTCTTCGAAGGGCATTAACACGGGTCAAATAGCGGGTATCGCCGTTGGAGCCAGCGGTGAGCTTCTTCTTTTTTTTCTTTTCTTTTTTTTTCTCTCGATATTATTGGCCTCCTAGTTCCAATATACTAATATAGTTTTCGCTCTCCAGCTGGTATCGCCCTCTTCGCCACAGGCATGTATCTCTACAAAAAGAAAAAGAGGACCTCCAGCACCACCCCCAGCGGCTCCGAGACTCCCATCTCCAACCCGCAGATAGCCCCTCCTCCGCCTACGATGCCCAAGATGACGGCGCCAATGCGCATCTCGGAGCTCATGAGAGCGCCCGACGTGCCGAGGAGGATGGAACTCACCAACAGCATGCAGATCCTCGCGTACCGCATTAAGGACGCTTTCGACTCGGACAACCGAAACAACGGCGGCAGACCGGAGAGCCAGGAGGTGCCTTTCGTGGATCCGAGGACGTATATGGATTTGAGTGGCCAGAGGACTCCGCCCGTGCCGCCTATGCCTTACGGATATCAGTCACCGTCGTGGGAGGAGAGTGGGGGAAGAAGGTATTGATGAGCTTAGGAGCGCCCTCGTTTCTTATTTTCTTTTTTTTTTCTGGGATGGGCGGTTGCTACTGGGGCCGCTTCCCATGTTTCTTCTCGGGATTGGATGTTTTCAAATCGGGGGCGGCTGGAGTTGGAAGTATGTTCTGTAGTAGGCACTGGATTAAACTGGGAAGTTTTGATGTCTACGGAGTATAATGAAGTTTATGCAGTGCCTCTACGAGTCTACGGATTATTATTGTATAGTAGAGAAGTTTGCTCTTTAGCGTTCTATCGAATATTTCTGCAAGCATAGCAAGACCTGATCTGGTTCATCGAGTTCTTGGGCTCCTTTCGCCCTCGACACGGCTTGCTTGTGTTAGTCCTAATCTACAGAGCTGATGCGGAAAATCCAATTTCCCTTAGCCAAGCCTTCTCGTTGCCAAAGCTACTTCGTAACCTCGTCACGTATGTGATGATTGAGGCCCATGATCGACATGATGCACTATTACAGTCGTGCTCTTAGAAGACAGAATCTTCGCTTGTCCATCTGGAACCGCACCCAGGTTCAAACGATCACCCATCACTGACCCAATGGCTTGGCCAAGAATGAGAACTTGGAGCTAATGCTAAGCTTTTTCCGTCCAAGAGGTTTGCAGCGGCAAGCTACACCGACACAGCCTCAATTTTTACGCCCTGCCAAGAAACATAAACTAGATCACCTGAGAAACATTGCGATTCTAGCCTTACTTCGTAAAGTAGAAGCGGAAGGGCGAGATCAGATTCCAAATGGAGATGGGGGGTATCATCCGTTTCCTCGATGTTGCAAGGAGCTTAAATTGTTCTCCCGCTCAATTGGCCAATGGGCTCTCGGGTTTCACAATGTTGCCCGACTCGAAGAAGGCAAGTCGACGCGAGATCCACTGAACACCCCCGTCCCGGACATTGAATTTGCCGAAAGGTGTGGGTGGTACCACGGGACAAGGACGGTCTTTTGGCCAGACGCTTGGCAGACTCGTTTTGACAGTCTATTAATATCTATTCCTATTGCACTCTAGCAAGAACCGTGGATGATTTTTCTGACAATGGGTGTGCTTGGGAGAAACGGGATGTCTGTGGCCTCGTTGTGAAAGCCCTGATGGTCTCAGGTTTGTATGTGGCTTAGGCTTGGCTGTTACTAGCCGGAGAGCGTCTGAAGAATAATTATATTAGGATCATAGCTTTGCCGAAGCTGGTTTAGAACCCGGGTCTACGAGCCCGTGGGGAGAGAAGACCGAGGTGATGGTAAGACCATGATAGAGATCGGCGACTGTCACGCCTTTGACATCTGTCGGAATGACCGTACGCGGGTCTTCTTCCTTCAAGTGAGCTCTCTCCGTATCTAGAGATCATCGATGGAATTATGATCCTGCCCATCATTCTGCGGTTCGTACATCTCATCGGGTCCAGTTCTTCGTATACCAAAGCGAAAGACCCAGATCAACAAAAACATCCCTTTGATCCATCGTAGATGGCTTATGTAGTTGGGTCAACGGGTATTCCTTCCATCCCCCTAACCGGAGCAGTCCGTTCATCGCTACCCCTATTGGCGAATGTTTCGTTTCACACCCACGCAGGGGACTTGATCAGGAACCAAATCTGTGTCAATAGCAGCCATGTAGTGGTAGATCTTTGTGACGTCAATCTCTTCGAATCCTCGGGCGAAGTGTGAAGTTGTCCTTGAATAGAGATTGATAAAGGAAGGGTTAATGGTCCAAGTTTTACATTCTGCATGTAAACTGTGGTATCTTGTAGTCGAGGGCGTGCGTTTCCCATTTCCTCACTTAGAAAAGCACATTGATTATCTAGATATCCTCATTGATGAAATCTCAGCAAACAAGAAAGACCTTGATACGGGTTTCTTGGCATTGAAATTGGCCTACCGAATGCCTCTAAACTGAACGGTTCTTAACTGTAGCTATATGTTACAGCTCACTTACACTTACGTGCGTAGCTACCAGCCTCATCCTCTTCATAACAACAAGAAAGCGCCAGGCGTGTGTAGTGATTGAAGAAAATGCCATACGATTAACACGGAGCAAGGTTCATTCAAATAGCTCGGAGATCCCCCTTAATTTTTTTATTTTTATTTTTATTTATCAGCTAAGATTTCAAGCCGTCTATGCTTGGCAGAAAAGAAGAAGAAAAGGTTGTCTTGTCCACCGTCGGTGCCATCCGTGAAATCACAAGAAGCTACCTCGACCCCAAGCTCCCTTCAGAAACACCATCACCCCCAGAGAAAACACCTAATAACCTCACCTAATTTACTGCTGAATGCCTAGAGATTGGAAAATCTGACACGCCAATGTCTGGCAGGCAGCTCCGGTCCCAGCTGTGGCACCCTCCGCCGCAGCAGAAGGGGTAGCGCCGGAGGAAGCAGTAGAATTGGAGCCACCAGTGGTCGAGTTAGAGCCGCTAGCAGCAGCTCCGGTGCCGGTGGGGACGAAGAATGCCCACTCGCCATTGAGGTCGTCGACCGTGAGGGTGAGTTCGTTCTCCTCGGCTTCGAACTCGAGCTCACCAACGCCGGCGCCGATGACGAAGGTGTCGGTCTCGGTGCAAAGGCGACCGACTTGACCCTTACTGATATCTAGAGCGTCTGGTTTTTTTTAAAGAGTGTTATTATTGGCCGACGGATTCATAAATCATGGTGTTTGAGGAATAAGAGGACTTACTGCCAGCGTTGAGAATGTAGTCAACCTTCTGGAGAGTGAGACCGCGAGTTCCACCGTTGATGGCGATTTGGTAGGAGACGGGCTCGAGGAAGTCAAAGCCGACGGGGGCATTTCCAGGCTTGGTATTCTCCACAACGGCTAGCTGACGGGCAGCGGGGTTCTGGAACTCGACCTCGAGGACACCGTTGACCTATTCAAGAACGTTAGACAACCATATATATACCACATAACAGATGATAGGCAAAGAGGGATAGAGACTTACACCAGGGGGGAAGAGAGTGTCAGTCTTGATGTCTCCACCACCGAGCTCGATGACGGTGTTGAACTGGCCTTGCTGCTCGATTTCGTTGCCCTCACCCTCACCCTCACCCTCGCCGCCTTCGGTTGCACCACCGCCTGTAGCTCCTCCAGCGGCGCCACCAGCAGCACCGCCAGCAGCACCACCGTTGTTTCTGTTACGGCCACGGCCACGGCCTCGGGTGGTCTGGACGCCGTTGTTCCCAGCTGCTTGCTGTTGGCTGTGTGGGAGGGCCAAAGCAGCTGCAGCGAGGATCTCGGAGACGAGAACGATAGCGCGAAGAAGATGCATGATGGGCAACGTTGGGAAGTGAAAGGTAAGAAGAAGTGAGTCGAGAACGACCAAGGCAGAAAAGCTAAGCGGAGATGGGAGTGAAGTTAGAGGAGAAGATGTAATCAAGACAACCAGGCGGAAAATGGGTCAGACCAGCTGCAAGAAGCGAATTGCAACAAAGTAAAGAAAGAAAGAATGAGGGAAAGCTGTTGATGAATGTGACGGATCAACTGATGATGCGAATCTGTCTCCTTTCGAATCCAGACAGTCGTGGAAGCAGAGGCGATATTTATATACATCCGATGATGGGACCTCAACAGCCTGCCATCTGGTTATCTAGATAATCTAGATCTTCACCCTGCGTCTAATGACTCTGGCCCCGTCTTCTTAGCACGTCAACGCGAATGCCAAGTCCAGCATCAAGGATCTCGCAAGGGGTTCACGCCGTCGGGCGTAAGAAGGAGATGAGCACTTGTACACCCACACGGGTCCCGGCCATGCTTTGGTACTAGTTCACGGCCGGCCTTTGGCCGATGTCATGTTAAGCATGTTTAAACGGCCGAAAAAGCGAAATGTCAATGTAAATCCTATTTTTAGTGATCCTCGTGGATCCTGCGTGTAACCTAGTAAAACTTACTATTTGACCCCTTTCCAGACGAATTTTATCCCGGCAGAGCTGATCTAGCTTCGGACGATCCCTCCCAGAGCTTTTCGCCACGCTTTGCCTCACTATTCCGGAAAGAGGTCGCGTGCTCACTGGATGAAAAACCTCAACTCTATCTGATTCTCACTATAGCATCGCTAGAATCTCCATTCAGCGAGTCGGCGGTTTCTATGACACTTGTCGTTCCTCTCTGAACTCCTAGCATAGATACACCTCGGAGATCTTTCCCCTACGCCCCGCTAACCACCGTATCAATCTGCCAAGATTTGTTTGTTGCCCGGTGATATCGCTTGATCCTGCTCTTTGCGGTTCTAAACTATTCGGAGGCATGTCATAGGAGTGCCAAGGAAAATCACAACCGTCTATCCCTGGAAACTCTGCGAATCCGCCCGATGGTGCACGCATCTCCAAAGCCTGGAGCAATTTCTTGGCGAATTGCCCCCTTCAGGGGAAAAAAATGCATCTATTCATCGTTGCCAAGAGAAATTGAGGCAGCTATTTCGTAGTTCGTATAATGGAGCAACAGCCCAGATCTCCGCTAGCCGCTGGTGGATGCGCCAAGAAATATCAGAGTGCAAGGCAGTCTGGGCTCTCATGGCTCAAGGTTTCAGGGTCCAGTTTCAGCTTCACGCCCGGCGCTTCTGACTTGACTCGACATAATTGAACATTCCCGGAGAACGGGGGTTTTCTCGGAATCCTGCCGCCTTTCTGCACCCCTTGGGCTTGTATGAATTTAGAGTTTGGGATCGAGATCGATGGCTGATGATGCCTCTCAGAGATCATCGAGAGAGCTTTGAGTGATGCTGCTGAAGGTTTATCGGCCGCCTCCTGGGATCATTATAGGATCAGCCTCGGGAAGAGAGGGACAGAAAAGCAGCCGAAGTTGAGTGAGAATCATGTCGAATTGAGCACGCCCATATTGGATTCGGACTCAAAATATGAGGGTCATTCAGAATAGCTTGTAAACTGTAACTCCGAGACCGTCGAACCTGGAAGGGCCTCGTACGTCATTGATTCTGAACTCACACGACCTCTTTCCCTATTCGGGCATCTTTCTCGCAACAATTCGACCATTCTCGTGAATCACCATATGACATAATCAGATAGACGATCAGATGACACCAAGTGGCAACTCTTGGGGAAAAAAAAAAAAAACCTTCACTGACGTAATCTTCGAAGATCATGTCATCAAACGTGCGATTAACTGCGGACACGTTGTAACGACACGGTCTGTGCCCTCTGCCGCGGTTGGTCAATGTTTTCTTGGGTTTGTTTACTTTCTGAACTGGAGCTCCCCACATCGTGCCTTGATCCTGAAAATAACATTGGTTCATCGGCTTTCTCCCCAACCATCACGTCTCCCTATCCCACCCTATCCATGTTACCCGCACACAAATCCGCAACAGTGGGTTTTATTGACAAGGTTCCCATTAATCCTGGGCTCGCGTTCCTTCACCAATAGTCCTCATCCACAATCAGCATCTTCAACAAACAACAACCAAGTCTCGAGTAGACAACCGAACATCATGTCACCGCCTCGTCGCAGGTCTAAGAGATTGGCCGCCGGCGCCTCTGCAAAGGTAAATCCCATTGAAGAAACCGTGCAACCGTGCACTTTTGCTTGTTCCTGCCCGACGCTAACCTCGCCTCGCCTGTACCAGACGCCCAAGAAAGCCCCGACACCGAGCCTTGATACCGTCTCAGAAAGCAACGAGCCCATCCACGATGCCTCCGAGGCTAAGAAACAGTCGCGGCCCGCCATCGTCAAAATGCCCTCAACGCCCTCGTCTTCGTCGCCGATCAAGCCTCCTATGTCCGAGATGCACCCCAGCAAGGCCCAAAAGACGATGGCCCCTCCTTCCTCGGATCTTCGCCTTGGATTCACGGATATCAGGCCAAGCGAGAAGAAGGGCAACCAACTGCCTTCTGGTGTGACTCAGGTCACGCCCTCCAAGGCACCCCCGTCATCCCCATTTACATTTACGTTTACGCGTCAAGGCACCGCTGCCGACCTAGGTTTGAGTACTCGCGCTCAAGAGATGATGAATGAGTTGCGAGATGAGGCAGCTAGGATCAAGGCCGAGCTCGCTGCTCAACGCGAGCGAGAGCAAGAAGAGGAGACGCAGCGAAACGGTGGGCGAAGGATTGCCAAGCCCAAGGGCAAGTCTGGCCGCTTTAGTGCGGCCCACATGGCTGAGTTCAAGAAGATGGATTCCATCGAGAACCACCCGTCCGCTTTCCGAGCTCTCCGCAACCAGTTGACTCCTGTTGCCGGCATTAAGCGTTCTTCTTCGCGAGCCAACTTGGATGAGCTCGCGTCTCCGATTACTCTGAGGTCCGGAATCAAGCGCTCTCAGTCTAAAGCGAGGCTTGATGAGCCTGAGACCCCACGCCACCGCAAGACTCCTGCTGCCGGCTCACCCATCAAGAGTCGTATCCCCGTTGATAGCAACCCCCCTACTCCCGCGAAGAGGTTCAAGCAGCGTCTCGAGGATGACGCCTCCAGCAGCCGCCCGGTCTCTCGCGATACTAGCTCAATCCCTCGCCCCAAGTCCAGCGGTGTTGACGCTGTACCTGGTAGTCTGGTTCGATCTCAGTCTACTATGAACCTTGCCAGTTCTACCAAGTCATCCCTGGCGCGAGCCGCAGCGAAGGGACCGACCGTTAGTCTCGTCAAGTCCCCATCTAAGCCCGAACTTTCGAGTCCCAAGAAGCTAGCTACGGCGGGCAATCCTACGGCTGGAGTAGCTACTCCTACTAGACGCATTCTGAGCCCGGGCCGGTTCGAGAAGGTCAAGTCGATCCTCAGAGGCCAGAAAGGCGACAATGAAAAGAAGCCTGGCAGTGCGCTCCCACTTCCCGCCGGAGTCTCTAAAACGCCTCACCCTCCTCGCGTTGACAAGGCTCTTCCTCCGATTCCCGTCTGTGCTACTACCCCAAGGCGGAAGCTATCGAAGCGCCTGAACGCGACTCCTCTCCGCAAAGAGGCTATCACAGCTCAGAAGAACTCACCCACGCCCATGTCATCCGGCATCTTCAAGTTCAGGGCCAAAGCTAGCCAGTCGTCGCGAGCTGAAGAGCCCCAATATCCGAGCGTCGACTCTGTCATGGCTGGCACCGGCAATAATACTGGTGACGTGGCTTATCCGGATCTCTCCGTTTTCAGTGGCATGTCGCCTAGCAACAGGGAGGAAAAGAGTGGCAGCATGCCCCCTCCCTCGGTTCCCGGAACGTTCACCTTCCGTAGCGACCATACGATCAGCTTCAAGAGCGTCTCACCCACCGGCTTCGGCGGTTCCGCCGGCCAATCGAGCATCCGCCACGTCCGAGCTTCCATTCTTCCCATCCCCGGAAGCTTCCCCAACAGCGTCATGGATGCCGGCAAGGCGAACGTTACCAGCGGCAGCAACAAGGAAAACAAGTCTCCCATGAAAATCCTCCCGGGCATTTCTCACGGCATGCGAAACAAGAAGCGCCACCGACCTTCGAGCGACGAGGAAGACGCCGAGCGCGAGGAGGCGGAGCGTGCTGCCAAGAAGAGGAAGAACGAGCACGTCCCCGAGGGCGACGTCTTGTTTGCCCCGAGGCTCGTGGGCAAAACTCCTACTAGCATCAAGAAGGCCCAGGTCTCGAGGGTTGGTTCTCAGCCGCTGACGAGGGACAGCCCCGTCAAGAGGAAGCCCGGCATTAGCCTGAGCCGCTTGAAGATGCTCTCCCAGCCCAAGAGCAGGAACTAACGAGTTGAATTATCTCTACTTTTCTTTCGGAGTGGAGGGGGCGAGGTAAGGGGATGTTGAATTTGAGTCCTGATTGGATTCTTCTGCGTTAGATTGTCTCTTGTCTTACGCTTCGTTGTCGAATGGATTTCTGAGTCTTTCGACGATTCCGACGACGGTTAATGAGCATTTCCGGAGCATCGGAGGGATACGGCCGACTATCTCTGGAAAACCAGAGAAAAAAAAAAAAGAAAAAACGACTATGCATTTTGTCGGCGCAAAAATTGTCAAGTTTGGGAACGCACGCACATGGGCGTCATTGAATTCTCTCTCTCCTCCATGCGTGGTTTTTCCGACGAGGGTCTTATGATTCTCATTTTTCAACGTGTATGAACAGTTCAAAGATTGTGTTATATTAGGGTTCGGATTCGGGTTTGGGAAAGGGATTGGAGTTTTGGGTTTCGCATTTTTGGCATTGTAACGAAAGGTCTACTACGTTCGTCGTTTTCTTTGATTTCGAGGGCGTTCTTTAAAATCGAGAGATACACTTAATGAGAAAAAAATGCTATTCTACTGCTGAGAATCCCCGCCGTTGTTGATGTCTCCAGCTGTGCGAATATTTGCTAAAGCTTCGACGCATATCTCGAGAGTTGTTTATTTCGGTCGCGGGAATTCTGTCGTCGATTTCGTTCCCATGGGGTCATAGGGTCTGCCTCACCGTCTCGGCTTGGGGGCGCTGGCCTGTCCGAGCCGCCTGGTTGGTTAGTTTCCCAAGTGGAGGGTTCGTGCTTGCTCTCTTGCAACAGTCGTTCAGGCCCCAAATGTAATCTCCGAGAAGGCAGACATGGCCAGATGATATACCGGAGTACGTGAAGAGTCAGCCCCTATTTCAAGAGATAGCACGCCATTACGTTTCCCAGTCGTCTGCCGAGAGATAAGGATATCGAGGCTGGCACGGTGACATCTGGAGATCATCAAGGCTATACAGGGCATGCCAAGCTCCACATAAGCGCTTCTATGGGATCAGCTGGCTTCACCAGGTCGTGGGCATCGAATGGTTCCCACCAGCGTGGCCGGGGTCGACATACCATACTCCGTACGAAGGACAAACGGCGGGGGTGGTGCAACTTTCTTGCTTGGGGTGCTGAAATGTTGGATCTGATCCGCAGCTCGTCTTGCTTCTGTTTGGTTATGATTTTGGTGAGGACGTGGGGAAGTATCTTGCCTGGGTCGGTGAGAGAATCGCACTGTACATTTCCCATGGCTTGGTGTCCTGCCTGTCCTGCCGTTTGACCCACTGCCTCGAGGGTTGTACGACGTCGTAGAATCTCCGATGGAAAAACGTGGCATCAAATCCTGAGCAGGAAGAAGGGTGGATGATGTACTTGTATTTCGTCGAAGAGCTTTGGGAGTATGAGTTTCGCAGGTTTTAGCAAGGGGTGTGGATCCATGCAAAAGACCAGCTTCTCTCCGCAATGGAAGGGAAAAAAAATTAAAGATCGGCCAACGTTCGTCGCCCGTTCGATCAAGAAGCATTCCCGTGGTGGAGAGTGCTTCGTTGCGGGCGCAAAATTCTTCGAATGCGACACTAGAAGGGTTCTAGAAAAGTGGGTGAGATCCAGCCGAGAATTCGAACAGGAACCAAGCCGGCCCAATCACTGACCATCCAACGACCATCCTCTTGACGAGTTACGAGGACCAAGTAGTGCAGCTCACAAGATATGTTTTTGTTTCCTTCTTTCCTTCTCTTCTCTTGTCGCCGGTTCGCATCACTCCGACCACCTTGCCCCCCATGCCGTCTGGAATTGTAACTGACGTGATTTCAAATGTCTGCGCGTTCCACCGTCTGCGACCACGCACACCAAAGATAGCTGGCACCTTTCTCCAGCTCTCCTTGGTCCCCTGTCGTGGGGGGCACAGGTCAGTACTCTGTTAGGTTTCTCGTGTGAGGCGCATATTACTAGCCCCAGCCCATAATGTTATCAATTCCCGTGTGTCGGTTCATCCAGTCCATGGACACACTCGTCGTCATCCGGCAAGGGCGGGGGTTGTTCTGATGGGGGGTTCAGGAGCGGGGGTCTCGTCAAACATTTCCCTTTGCATCTGACCCCTTAGCCAATCCGCTGCTGCTTATATGTGCTGGCGAAGTGTCCTGCAGCTCCAAACTGTGTCGTGGATGTCGTCTCCATACCATGTAGATCCAACCAGTGGATCAGTAATATGGGACCCCTGCGCACCCGGGAAGAGTGTTTGTTCGGGCAACGGAGAATAGGATGCTTGTCAAACAATATTATTGAAAGAAGTCGGGGGTCCGCGGAGGTGTGCAGACAAAGCTGATGGTAAGAATTGATGAGAAGTAAGTCTACGTCAACAGTACTTCGAACTTTTTAGCACCGACTTCGGCTGCCAGGCGTTGACTTTGCGCAATTCCCGGTCAATTGGAAGGAACGTACCACACACCATCTGCATCCACCATCTGCATCCCCCCAAACCTTCTGCTCAGGTGACCCCCAAAAAATTATCCTTGCATACAGGGATGTCGTGTCTCAGTGCAGAAAGTGGCGATCGCCGACCTGAGCTCCCAAGCAACTTTCCTGTCCGTTTTCAATGAGTATGAAGTACCTGTGTACTTCGTGCTTCTTCCTTTCTTCCTCTAAAGCAGTGTAACCAGACCATGAGAACCGTGTTGCCACTGATGGCGTCTCGACTTCGCGGGAGGCAGGATCTCCTTCTTCTCCTCTTCTTCCTAATGTAACTTGGAAAACTCGGAGTATCGCACTTGCGTCCTTGACCGATGTACGCATTGGAAATGGTTCGAAGTCTCATTGCAGAGTGGTCAAGGTAATGTGGTGTGACGCCGACGCTGAAGAAGCCGCGCAGTGGTCTCACCATGAAACGACACCGTCAAGTATACAGGTACAATTACTCGAGTTCCTATACTGGGGGATTGGGAGCGCCACTGCGTCGTACCTTGGACATAGACACATAAACTACTTCGTACATGCACATCAATTGGATGTCGATCGTTCGCCTCGCCAGCCACCAAACTCGGATTTAGACTACTAAGTACGAAGTACGAAATACAGAGCACCGAAGAAATGAAAGTCGTCTCTCTTTTTGCATTTTTCATGGACACCTACGCAAGTACGGAGCACTTTCTAGGTCCTAAATCATTATCATGGGCCGTCCACAATACGCAACAAACCCTGTCTTCAGATGGGCCACTGACTTGAACAACTATTCCTGCTCTGAGGGTGCGTAAGGTATGCCTGTGGTCAATGGCTTGTTGAAGCAAAGTGACAGGGAGCCGGGGAGTCGGGGAGTCGGGGAGTCGAGCGCGCCCTGGAGCAATGAAAGGAACTGCCTACCATTCCCAGGTGAATTAACCGAAACTGACATAACATCCTCCGTATGATGCGAAGTCTGCTGCCCGCATCGTTGACAGGTCCGGTCAAGAACTTCCACCAGCGATTTGGATAGCTTCCTGACCCAACGTTAGCAGAATGGACCGGATCGGATCGACTGCTGCTCCGATGTCTTGTCATTGGCCTCGGCGCTCAGTCTTCATTGATCAACAAAATCGGGTTTGCCAATTGAATCGTGGGGACTGGTATCCGCGAGCCCCAAGACTCACGCGACCTGTTGCCTGGACCTCAGTCCGTTCGCCAACATTCATTTTGGACTTCAATGCCGCATATGCTCCTTCCGCTCCATATGCCTCTCTAGGACGAAATTAAACGGATAGAGAAGGCGGTGGAGGATGGCAAGTGTGCGAAGCAGCCAATACGAAGTAATTTCCTCATATATTACTCGGTAATCAAATGGGAGCCTTGCGCTTTGAGAGTCTCGCTGTCCACTTGGAAGTCGCATTCAACGGGGTGTAACCGGGCTGCATCTGCAACCACACGGAAATAGCGACGATGTGGGTGGTTTCCTAAAAAGAGAATGAAAAATTAGAACTTCCCTCTGCAATAACCGAATGCGGAGGATATCAACCCCCTCGACGCTTGCCTTACTTTTCATACTGCTCGTCAGTGGGTGGTCACTGTCACTATTTACCTCCCCTCCCAAGGGACCACCAACCCGTCTCGGACATCCCACATCCACTAGAGCACATCAAACACGCCCTCCATCGAAGCGTGATATGTTTTTCAAGCTTTGTGTGTAGGGATGGGACGGGTGGCAGGCGTCTTGCAGCCATCCAATACCCCACTTACTGCAGCTTGGATCCAATCCCGCGACAGAAATTTAGAGGGTGGGTGTGTCTCCTGCGACTAGTCAATGCGGGCGAGAGATGAGCATCCAGTGAAGCGGGGCTCCCTAGTGGCCAGTGGAGGGTCGAACCAGGGTTGACCAGCCTTGGCCTTGAGAGGTGCGCAAAAATGCACACCCGCATACATCCCTACCGATCCCCCGGACCTTGTTCTGCCTGCCTGAGAACCAGGGTGGATTATTGGATCACGGTGCAATTTACGAGGCATCTCCTCTCGCGCTTTCGGCATTCTTCGCCCCACTTCGAGGAGCATCATCTCATCCGGAGCCAACGTTTGATTATACAGAGTGTAGTTCGGAAGCGTTAAGCACTTGTGGGAGAAGGGGCGGAATACAGTGGAATCAGTCTAGGGATGGGACAGGAACGCACCGAAGCAGCGCTGGCCAGAGCAGTGTAGTGAGCACATTGATCGATGCGTCACGTTCTATCCCGTTAAGTTGAACATTGTCTGTCCGCGATGCTGAGCTAGGGTAGTAGACGGCGACGTGACGTTTCTCCTTGGAGTGTCGTGACGTGTAGGAAGTAAACTACACTACTAGGCAGATTCAGAGGCGGAGAGATTCCTCGATTTGGTGCATAAAGGGAAAGCCCCCAGCGATGAGGTGGGCCAGTGGGGTAGTGTACGAAGTAGAGTGGAGGGAGAACCGCAGTGATCTTGCCAAGTCGACTAGAGATGGGACGGATAGGGAGAATAACCGTTGGTTTCGCAGGAGAATCTGCTTGGAGACAAGGCTTATAAAAAAAAAAAAGTTCTCGGCGGGCGACAGCCAGGCCAACCACCGACACTCTGATCCTCTGGCCTCACGGGGCTCATGGATGCCGTTTCCATTCACTCCCTACTCGTAGTCGTGCATAGGCAAAAGAGGGGTGAGATGGTAGAACGCCGGGCCCAAAAATACCAACACGTCGCCGACAGTAGCTTGAAGTGGTACACTTGAAATTAGAGGATGGAAAGTGCCAGGTGACCAAGGAAAAACTTAACTTGACGCAGGTCTCCTTCTAGCACACTGAAGGACCAGCTTAATCTGTTTAAGTATGGAGTACGAAGTAGTATTCGACACACTTCGTGAAGCTATGCGAGCATTGGATTCGTCCGAAAGCTCCCCAACGCAAGTTGTACCCATTCTCTTCTCGCCGCTTTATGTTACGCCTGGCGAGTTGAGGCAGCTGGCTGTCGGCTCCTGAACTGCCGTTGATGGTGCTAGCCGCTAAGTGCTGAGACCTGGACTATGAGAAAGGAAGAGTCGGATGGATTAATCGATCAATCGATGATCCAAGGTACGAAGTACTCCATACTGGAGTGTACAAGTGCTGTGGAGGGACCCGTGGGAAGTAGCTAACTGTGCATGCACTGTACGTGGGTTCTTCTCACTAAACTATACTAGTGCACGCGCTATCCGAGACCCAAGTCATGCTGGACCTATCCTGGATGCTCTTCCCTGGGGCTATTCCTCCTTGGGGAAGGAGGGGGGGAAAGAGGGGTCCATCATCCATGAGACAAAATTTTTCATTACATAAAAGCACCCGCCCAAAAATATTTCCTGCTGTTCTGGGCCTGTAACCTCCGCCTTCCAAACAAGTCTGGCGTGAACCAAAAGAAATCGTTGATTGCCAAAGGGAAAACAGACCCAAAAAGATACCTTCACACCTCAACCGCAGGCCACATATTGCACGCACACGGGGTCTTTGCGATCGAGTTTCGATTACCTCTTCTTTTTTTCACTTTCCCCCACACTCTCTAGATCGCCCGGTTGGGATAATTTTTCTTTTTTTTTCTTCCCTGTTACCGGATTGTCGGATTCCAGCCATCCAACGGAGTTGAATGTACAAATACTCTTGCACATTGTCCTGGTTTTAGCGCCACAGACGCCCTGGACATCGTCACCCCCCCTCCTTCAGGCTTCCCAGGACCCTTAATCGGACATATTCCCCTGTCTACCCCATATCTTGCGGGCGCAAATTGAGCACCGACGTTTCCAACTTGTTCTTCTCCCTCAACATCCACCTTAACACTTCCACGACAGTGCATCAGACACTTACAAGAGACTCAATTTCAAGCTGCACAGAATTGATCTCTTGTTACGTCGCTTGACAAAAATAGCCTGTTTACTTTTCGAACCGGCACAAAGTCCCCACACCTCTGTTCCATCCTCCTGACCCGGTCTCGGTCTGTCGTCGAATCGAATCGACTCGGCTCCGTTGACCAGTCGAGAGGAGAGTGCCCTATTCCTCATCCCACTAGCTGCTCTCGCCCACACCACTTGCACCATCTTCCAATCCATATCACCCATCAATCCGATTGCGTTGTCCTGCTCAACGCGTCGATACCACGAGTACTTGGAGACAAAGAGGCAAGGACTTCCAAGACTGTCGGGCTTATACTTGGAGACTCTTGGCAACCCCGAGTTGTCTTCTTTATCTTCCTTGTAGCCAGATCCTTCTCACATCCCAGCACGCTGCCTCCTCCGCCACGCCAGGATTCAGGTCCTCCTGCCCTCTCTGTCCTTTTCCGGTAGGGAGGTATGGCAGACAAGATGTCCATCGACAAAACAGTCATGACTAAAGAAGATAGCGAAGAATCCATGCGATCCAGCCCCGAGAACGAGCAGGCCACCAACGTCCCCGCGAACAGCACTCCCCAGGAACCTCAACAGCCTAAACGCAAGGGAGGCCGAAAACCTGTAAGTCAACACCAAGCCTTAGAAGATTCTACTCCCGAAAACCTGCGACAATGCCAAGAGGAAGAAGGAAGCTGGGTGTGGTCAGGGAATATAAGAGCAGGCCGGAGTGAATAGGTTGGACTGGACTTCTAGGAAGTCTAGCGTGCCTGCTCGGAAATTCTTTTATTAAACTCCCGCAAGCCCACCATGGACCCTCTTCCCGACCCGGCGTGTTCTTTCCCATCCCTGTCGCTAGCAACGAGACTGGGAGCATTGAGCGATGACTGACACCTAGATGAAGATATATGCCACTTCCGAGGAAAGGAAGCAACGCAACCGCCAGGCACAGGCTGCCTTCCGAGAACGCCGAACCGAATATATTAAGCAGCTAGAGGAGACAATCCAAATTCATGAACAAAACCTACACAACCTCCAGACGGCCCACCGAAATGCGGCGGACGAATGCTTGATGCTTCGGTATAAGAACTCCCTTCTGGAGCGCATTCTTCTTGAGAAAGGTATGGATAGATATGAATACCGAATTGCGGTGCCCCTCACCCCGGCCCCTATTGACGTCTTCTCCGTCTCTCATAGGCATTGATGTTCAAGCCGAACTTTGCGCCAAGACGGCAAGCCCCAACCTTGGCCCGACTCATGTCCCGCAAACTCTTGCGCAGCCTCCCCCAATCCAACGGGCCATTATGAACCGCCATCACCAATCTCGACGATCTATTTCGAGCATTGCACCAAAAGTCGAACCTGGCATGGGCCAGCTAGCTACACCACCCCAGCCGCCATCTGTCCTCTCACCCAAAAACCGACACACGCCTCCTTCGCATACGAACTCCCCCACGAGTTCAGCACCCACCTTCGGTAGCCAGCCAGCCTTGTCTCCGCCCGCATCCGATGTTGGGCCCCTTCGGACTCCCGCCGCCGTACCTCAACACCAATTGAGCCCTGTCCCCGGACCCGGACCAATCTCTCCGCCCACTGCCCGGCCGGTTCCTGTCATGGCTCCGACATCTGCTGCAGCTAACCCACGTCTGGCAACTGTATCCACAGCGTCTGCGTCTGTGACTCCCACAACGACACCCGGAACGGTTACCTCGCCAACTGCGGCATCCGGTTACTACACGACCCCCTCGTTCCAGAACCACATCGAACAGCTTGGTGGGTTTTTCCCTATTACGGCGAAATTTTCTTCTCCACCGGCGTTTCCCTGAATATCTATGCTAAACTAGGTTATCCAACAGAACAAGAATACGATGCTCAGGCCGATATTATGGACGATTCCGAGATCGACACGCCAAGCGGACCAGGTCCATATCCTGCTCCTTTCTCTGACCCTAACCAGACGATGGCAATGACCCCCACCTCTCCTGGCCAACCTCGGCAGATGCCCTCTGGGGCCCAAGCAGTCCAGACCTCCGGATCGATGCAGTCCTACGGAAATCTCACCCAACTCTTAGAGCCGAACCTTGAGTGGGATCCCTTTGGGCTCAGTGCGAGCATGGCTTTCCCCAGCCAGTTCTCGTTCGACCAGAGTAATCTGAGATAACGCCCCATCAGAGAGCACACTAGTAACACGTTACGGCGCTCGCACCTTCAGATGTTTTGTCTGATCTCACCAAACATTTCCTTTCGAATTCACTGTCTATAAAAAACCACACATTTCCCCACTTATATTTTTACGACGGAACCCGCATGGTATTCGGCGCTGGAGACACCCTCGGCGCCAATGGTTCGATGATTTAGGTGTACAATTTGGAAGTCAATTATCTTCATTTTCCGATCCAGCCGGTCCCAGGACGCGATTTATCGGAGTTCGTTGACGGATATGGTTCGTTCTTGCTTTGGAGGCGGCGTAGCATTTACGGGGGAATCCGATTGCGCCTTCGGATTTGCCTGCTTTTGGAGTATGGGGTGAGTGGGGGGTTTGGGGGTCAAGGTCTTATTTTATGCTGCTTGGTCAGGAGGAGAGCTGTGGAGATTCATACAGAATCGGCGGACGGAGCAGTATTGTCAAAAGGGAGGGACAGAAGAGGCATGGTGTACGGCAATGGCAGCACCTGGGGTGTTCAGCGGGTATGACCCATGGGCGGTACGGAATTACGGGGGGTGTTTTCGCGTGCTTGCTTTTTTTTCTCTTTTTCCTCGGGCTGCGCAATATTGCTTTTGGGAGGCGTGATTCTGCGATTCGAGTACACAATCGGCGTTTGGTTTCGACAATACCGAAAAGTTCACGGCATTGCAAAGCGGGCGGGCATCTGGGATCTGGTTGGAGGTCATGTTTCTGCCTCTTTCATGGTTTACATCAAACACGTTGACAGGGTGTAGGGCACAGTTACACCTTGGGTTCGGGCGGAATCGTTTTTGCGAAAAGAAAAGTTTTTTTTTATTATATATATATATATATACGTATGAAATACATTGTACCTAGCAAGCTTGCGGTTTGCAATTATTAAACAAAATACTGAACTGATTTCAACTGTCTCCTTATTATACACAGAATCCATCGTGCAAGCATCGAACAGGGGTGGAAAAGGACATGCTCATGGTTTAAAATTCAAGATTCTATTACTTTTTTTCTCTAACAAACAGGGAAAACATGAGACTACTCCGTACACTGTAGTCCATCTCGGTAGACACCCAGTAAATCAAAGAACAAATGAAAAAAAATTAAGCATTAACCTCAGCAAACCAAGTCCTCAAGAGCCCCGACAAAGCATTCGGCAGATCCTCCAAATGGTGCACGATAAGATAGTACTGGAACGGAAAGGTATCAAGGTACCTCTCGATGACCACTCGGGACGTGCCGTCGACATCTTTGACGAAGCGCGCCTCCTTGAGCTGGAGGACGCTGTCTCCCTTGCGCTTCGTCGCGTCGTCCATGACGATGAAGACGATCATGATTCGTTCCTCCGCGGCCTCGCGGAGCAGCCTGCGGATGGAATCATGGGTGGCGGATTGCGTGAGGCCATCAGAGAGGATGAGGGCGAGCTGCCAGAGGTCTTCACCGCCGCGATCAGCTTGAAGGCGAGCGGCGCGGAAGCGGTCGATTGTGGAACGGATGAGAAGACAGATGTCGGTGCGGTCCTGCGAGAAGGAGAAGCGCTGGAGGACGCGGGCGCCGGCGTCGTGGGAGGAGAAGGGGGCGGCGAGGTCGTGGGCGGTGAATACATCCGCGCCGAAGCCGACGACGCCGATCTGGCCGGCCTCGAGCATGGTGAGGGAGCGAGAGACCATGACGAGGGATTCGAGGGCTAGGTTGCCCGAGTTGGACTCGCCCATGCTCTTGCTGTCGTCGACGCAGAGGAGGATCTGGTAGGCGCGTTTGGTGGGGACGCTGCGGCGCATCCAGATCTTGTCGCGCTTGTAGCTAGATGCGATATATGGGATGATGCGCTTGATGTTGAGGCGCTTGCCGGTGCGGAAGGAGCCGGAGAGCTTTGTCGATTGGGAGGGTGTGAGGATGAGGCGGAGATGAGAGGTGAGAGATTGGGAGAGCGACTGTGTTTTGTTTTGGAACTCTGACCATTGTTGCATTGACTCGGTGAATTCGCGCAGAGGACGCGCTTCGTCCGTTAGGTGCGTGGCGGATAGAACACTGGCAGTCTCCAAAACTTCGTCATCCTCTTCGTTCTCGTCCGTTTCGTCTTCCTCGACGAGAGCCGGAGACGGTGATCTCTCCCTGTTGTAGGCACCCTGTCGAGTCTTGACACCGGAGCGGCCATCGTCCCCGTCATTGGCTTCCGCATCTTCCATGTCTTCTGGCTCGGCAGTATCCATTTTTTCAAGGTCTTGTTCGACCTCTTTCTCTTCCGTATCAGGTAAGACATTGCTTGATGGATCTTGCTTCTCCTCATCAATCGCCATCGAGTCATCAATTGGCTGGACCTCATCCTCGGCAGCAGCGCCGATTGCCTGCGTGTCCGGTACAGCGTTCTCGTCCTGCAGGTGCTGGAATTCGCGTTGCTGCATCTCGGACTCTTCAGCCTGAGGATTGGCCTGCTCGTTCTTGTCGTCCTCTGGCCGAGAATCCTTGATTTCGTTTTGCTGCCGGTGCCACTTCTCCACGGCATCTCCGAGCTTTCGGAATGGTTCTGGACGGCTCGCCTCAGCTTCATCTTCTTTCTTTTCCTCTTGATTCTGTTGCTGCGCGGCCTCTTCCGGCTGGGACAACTTCCCCTGGCCCCCGGGTTGAGCTTGTTGGCTATCCGATCCATCACCAGACGCACCCTCGTCTTGACGAGTTGAATTGTTATGGAAGTCCTCGTCGACATCCATCGTGTCTTTGTTCTGGTCTTGGCCGCCTGATTTAACGTCACTCGGTGCCACGTCCTGTGGATCCGTGTCCACGGGATCCGCGGATGGCTGCTCCATAAGGTTGTTGTCTTGCTCGGCTTGGTCCTCCTCCTGCTCCTCATCTCCCTGTTCATCAATCCCTTGATCGTTGGGAACTTCGGCGTCATCGCCAACTACGTCTTCGTCATCCTGTTCCGCCTCTTCGGCCTGTTCACCATCTACATCGCTAGGCTTCGTCTCGTCGGCGGGCTCATCATCTTCTCCCTGCATATTGGCCTCATCCTCCTTCTCCTCACCTCTCTCGTCCTTGTCGCCAAGACTATCAAGATCATCCAGCCCGTCATCTTCCGTACCTGACTCCTGATCCTCGCCGAAGTCAAGGTCCATGTCTTCTGGGAGCGCCAGGGCCTCGCTCTCATCCACGTTTTGATCCTGTCGCTCCACATCTTGTTGTGCTTTGACGTCCTCAGACTCGGCTTGAGGTTCTTCTTCCGCGGCTTCCATTTCATCATTGTCAGCGTCTTCTTTGTCCGACATGTCCTGATCCTGAGCTTCCGCTGCCATCTGTTCATCGTCTTGTTTCTGGCCCTTCGGCTTCTCACCCTGCTGATCCTTTTCAGCCTCTTCGCCATCTCCCTCCCACATCTTCTCATCGACAGCGGTCGCATCCAGGTCATCAACATCACCAGCTTCCTCGTCCATTTCATTCTCGCTTTCACCTTCATCACCCTCCTTGTCACCTTCCTCATAATCCCCCGCAACACTGCCCATCTCACCTTCCATGTCCTCATCTGCCATATCGACGGCGTCCTTTTCATCCTCAATATCTCCATCTTTCTCTTTATTCGGCTCCTGCGCCAGTTCAGAGAGATCCTCGTCAGGTTGGATATCCTTGCTTATATCCTCGGCACCTTCACCATCTCCCAGCCCAGTTCCCGACTCTAGTTTACCCTCACCTCCCGAAGTATCGTCAGACTTCTCTTGAGGAGTACAGAAGCCTTGGGAGGCAAGGTGAGTGTAGGCCTTGCCAAGGCAGTGTGCTAGCCGGACCGTAGAGCGGTGAAGTTCGAGAAGCCGAGTATAACTGTTGCGGCAGATTATCGCATACTGGTCCACGATCGGAACAAACATGGCCATAAGCGCCGTGATTGACCGGTCGTTCTCGATAATGGATAAGTCAACGCTTCCTAGAGAGTTAACACATTGCTTGAGATTTCGGGCCACCGATTCAACCCGAAGCTTCTGGATCATGGTATCAAGGTTCTTGCTGCTGCCAACATGAGATTTGGTGTCCCGGTCATCGGCCGCTTTTTGAAACTGGGCGACGGTCTCGAGGATCTTCTTTGAAAGCGTGACGACTTCGCCGGCAAAATCTAGCAGACTCTGGGGTTCTAGCTTTTCGGTATCCTTGGCAGAAACTGAAGTCCAATTTAGAAGCTCTCGGAGTACAAAAGCAACATTGTCGAACTGTAGGAGCATAGCGTTGACCTCGTGCTCGAAAACTTGCAGCCTCTCAGAAATCAAAGTCTCCAGTGCCTCACGATCGGACGAGGTAAGGCCTGCAGGAAGCTTCCTAGATTCTTGCTCCTTCAAAGACAAGTCTCCAAGCTCGGTGAGCCATGACTGAAGTATCCCTTGGCATACCGAGTTATCCACTTGTCCGAGCTTGGCATGGGTATCAATTAGCTGAATAGCATATCGCAGAACCTCAACCAACCACTTCAAAGTCCGTGATAGGTTAGAATTCTTTCTTGAGTTGGTGATTTTGTCGTTCGTGCCACCTGTGCTAAGATCCCTTAGCTCCTTGACCGCTGCCTCAATATCGAGAAGGGATTTCCCCTTGGAGAGGCTGCGCCTCTGATTGAGTATTGCACTGAGCATCCCTTCCAAGTACCCGATACTGCGCGCCACCTCTCGGCCAGTGATCTCTTCAGAGTGGTCCGTTGCTGTAGCTCTGATTTTCGGCATCATATCGATGAATTTATGGAAGAAATATTCGGTGCCTTCTACCGCAGCGGGGCTAAAAAAGGCCAATGAACCACAAGTTGCCAGAATTGCCGACAGCGACTCTTGCTGTGCGAGACGTTTAGTGTCAAGATTGTATTCGAAGCCCATTGTCCGAGCCTCGCGAAGAACGTCAGCAAAGAGCTTGCGCTTGCGAGCCTTGAGGTGCTTCACTAGGTCTTTGTTCTCGTCGGTCAACACACTTGGCGTCTCCTTCCTCAATTCTTGCATTGAGGTTGACAGGCTCGATATGAAGGCGTCTACTTCTTCCACAGCCTGCCCGACAAACTCGGGTACCCGCCCAACCTGCGTCATTCGTGATACCGTTTGGCCGACGTTGACGAGAGGCTTGAATTGCCCCAGCCAATTGAGCATTTCGCGGCTTGCTAGTTCGGTACTGTCCTTGTCAACCTTCGCCAAAGACATGTCCTCGGCGAGCGCAGTCAGAGGATACTCTTCATCCGGAACACCCTTTTCAATAACCAGCCTGAGCGGCTGACCAAGAACTTCACGGAATTTTCGAACAAGTCTGAAGAGCTTGAGGTGGGATTTCTTAGCGCTGTCCCGTAAGGAGTTGATATTTGTGTCCTTCCAACTGGCGAGGAGAAGCACATCCTTCATCTTTTTCTCGATTGGCAACCGGCCCCGCGTAATTTCCTCGTCGACAACCTTCTGGTACCGCTGATACATAGAAATGAAGCTGCCGACGGTCGTGTGCACAATTGAAAGCGCGGGATAATCCAGAACTAGAAGCTGTAGGTGCTTATGGAATTGTCTCAATAAGCTCAGTCGAGTAGAGAATTGTCCGAGAATAGCTGATGTGAAGTAGACCTCTAGATCCGTAACGAGCTTTTCAGCGTATTCTTTCAGGTTACCCTTTTCTTGGAGCGCCATGGGAATCGCAATCGTCGCATGATACGCGACAAACCACCAAGAGTTCGCATCATCATGGCACCGGCGGACTTCCATATCGAATATCTTTGACCAGGTGGAAAGTTCCAATCGGCGCCAACGAACTATCGACTCGGTCAAGCGGCTGTACAGCTCGGGAACGGAATGGACACGGCTCGCCCATCCTCCAAATTGCCACTCGTACACCATGGCGTGCAAGTGCTCCACCTTCGGCAGCATCTTGGCAAGTGGTTCTATATGTACAAGCTGTAAGACCTTTTCGCAAGAGGCTTGCACATCGGCGAGTGGCTGAAGGTGGCCAATCTCATCGGTGAGTTGCAGTTCGCGGAATCTAGTTTTGATCCTGTTGACCAGATGAACCAGCTGGCGCGCTTCATGGAGATTTGCGTCAGTATAAAAGCTGTAGTTGCTTGGCGTTCCATCCATGTTCAACGAAGACAATTGGTCGCTAAGGGTCAAGAGGGTGCCGGGAAGAAGTTTGTTGCTCAGATCCTGATCCACAGTTGACTTTTCCGACAGATCTGAGGCCATCTTACGCCCAATAGAGAGTAGTGCAGTTCGAATAGCAGAGGGAGCTTCTGGAGTAGAGAGGAGTAGATTTCTGTGAGCCTCGGCCACTTTGATGGACATGTCCCTCACTTTGTATTTCTTGAGGGAAGGTTTGGCCGTCTGCTCATCCTCCTCTCCGTCAAATGTAGGGAATAGTTCGTTGAACTCCTCTTCGTTGACTTCCTCTTCGTCTTCAAAGCTACCCTTAAAACGGTAAAGGCTCTGCTTTGCCTCTTCTTCCTTTCTGTCCGCTTCGAGCTTCCGAGTCCATTCATTGTAGAATGCATGGAAACAAGCAGAAACGGCCTCTCGGTCCTCGGCGCTGAAATTATCCACTCCATCCACTGCAGAGGATATGGTCATAAGGTCAATAAACTCGAACGTCTTATTTTGAAGACTCGGTGCCCTCGCAATGAAATTGCCACCAAGGAATGGCGTAGCTGAGATGAGTTCGGAAGTGGATTCGCTTAGACGTGCCGGCTCAGTATTAAGCGACAGACCAACTTGCATAATGCGCAGGAAGTTCACGACCGGCCGAATCATGTCTTGGTAGGCTTCGAAGTATCCCGAGAGTCTGGAAATAACTCGACTAACGTTCTCCGTGACCAGGTGTAGTCCTTCTTCGGGAAGGTCATGGAGGCTTGAGGTGGCTACTTCGGAGTAGACTGTGGCCTTCAAGACATTATTAAACTCGGCATGAATTTGGCTGAGCTCTGACCGCTCTGGTCGGTAAACCTTGTCATTATCCGCCGGCAGAGGCCCCAGATTATCAATTTCTCGCTCAAGCAATTCGATTCGTAGATTAGAAAGTTGGCCAGTAAACTGAGACTCGAACGTAACCAGCGAAGAGAGTTTGGACAACAAGTTCTCCTTCAGTTCTTTGTAGGACTCGATCTCTAGCGTCAGTCTGAGATGTGGATCAAAGACTCTGTTGGGAACATAAAGTCGAAGCGCTCCAACAGCAAACTGAACCCAGGCCAAGGCGGCAAATCGATAAGCGTCCGTACCACCTAGAGAGGTCGCTATTAATGAACACCATGACAGGAGGAGATTGTCTTTGAAAACTTCAAGGATATGCGGTGCGACGCCAAGGAAAGGCTCGATCAAATCCTCGGGGAACCAGGTTTGACGATCCTCAAATTTCAAAGGTTTAGTTGCCAAAACTTGGTGCAACCTAGTTTCGGTGTCCAACAGCTTGTCACTGAGGCCCGGTTCAAGAGCCTCAACGAAGCTTATGACCAGTTTGTGTAGAATAGCGTTGAGATCTACAAAGGTACTAGATGTGATAGCCCGGGACGCCTGGGATAGGAATGTGGTAAGTTGAGGTAGTTCCATCTCAAGTAGTGCTAGGGAGTTCAATGTCGTGGCACCTATCCCGCCTGCCTTGGCAAGGACTGACGGGAGGAGTCTGCCCCTCCACGCGAGGTTCTCATAGTCCTGACACGCTAAGTAGTCAATTGCCTGTAGAAGTTGGGCCGAGCCATGAGTGTCCTCCAGATATAACTGGGCAAGTGTCGGTACGTTGGAGAGGACAGTAATATTGTCACCCTTAATGCTGTTTCCAAGCTTAAAATCCCGAAGTACAGAGATTTGCCGCAGTGTCTCGAAGTTCCCCGTGAAGAATGGGACAACATCTGCAGATTCTAATCCGATCCTGGTTTCCAGAGACTGAATCTCAGTAGCCAGCTCCATGATTAGAGCTTCTGCACCAGCCCTGCCCGATCGGACGATACCATAGGCCATCGAGAATGTTGACATTGCCTTAGCCAGATCGGCTATCGGGGAACCGATCTTCCACTTCAACGAATCAAAGCGCTTGGCAAGGGTAATAATATCGGCGGACCGTTTAAGAATGGCAGAATCTGGAACGAGATCTGGTCGGAACGTCCTCCAGATATCCTCCATGCCAAGGCCTGTTTTCAAACTGAAGCCCAAGGAAAAGTGTCGGTCGATCTTCTTGAGCAAGTCGGTAACGAATTCTCGCACCGCCGGGTTATAGGCTTGAGACTGAATATTTTTTAGAAGCCTTCGTCCCTGAGCTAAGTGGGCTTGGAACACCGCCTCATCAAACAAGGCGTTTGATACTGTCACGAGCTGTAAAGTTCTTCGCATGTAGTGAATTATGCCCCGGAGAAGCCGATTTTGTACCTAGTTTAAGTTAGAAATGATTCAAATTCGAGGGAGGTCATCTCAAATTACACTCACTCGCCAATCGCTCTCGGCATCTCGAGCTCGGAGGAAGCCATCGATCAACGAGAGAGCAGCCGAGAAGAACTCAGCAACGTCGACAGTCGAATCCTTGGAGACTGCGGTCACCCGCTCCGCGACAAAGGAGCGTTGCAGGCGGTTCAGAGAAGCGATCTTGGAACTTCTTGCTGCCATGGCTTGAGATCGGATCTCGGTGTCCAGAGATTGAAGGTCTTGGTGGTACTCGTAGCATATTGCGAGCCTAAATGGCTGTGGACCCACGGTCTTGGAAAGAAGAAGGGCTATCGGAAGATTCTTGATGGGGAAAATTGGCTGCATGAATGTTAGCATGAAACATTAAGAAAAGCAGGATCGTACAGTCACCGACCTGAGCGTCCCCGATATTTCCAGAGTTGATGGCAGGGAGGGAAGAATACATATTGGAGATGGAGGCGCTAAGGTCGCGGATGCTGTCTGCTCGCAGGAACTCTACGAGTTGCTGAGATTGCTTAGCAACTTCAGGACACTTATAATAAGCCTGCGAGTTCCCATCTTTGACAAATCGAGGTAGAAGGTGGACGTCTGCTTTTGTAAGGCGCTCAAAGGCAAGAGCCGTTATAGCCTTAGCCGAATCCTCGCCATCATCACGGGACATCGACAGCGAGAGATGGTACCGCTGAAGGGTGCTCTCGATGGCAGTCACCCATCTCAGATGCCGGGTCTGTTCGGCCATAGGTTCAAAAAGATGAATCTCAATAGCTCTGTTTCTCATGGCCCTCGATAACTCTCCGTATCTTGGATCAGTTGTCAAGAAGATCCGGAAGTCAGGGTGCGGCTTGACGACTCTTGGTTCTCCGTCAGGATCGCAGTGCTCATTAATACTAAGGAAGCCATTGGGTTCGAGAAGAGAATTCAGTCGGTCGAGCACTGAGGCGCTACAAAGGTTGGCATTGTCTAAAACGAGCCACTGCCCTGTCTGTAGAGCTTTGATGATAACACCATCTAACCACTCGAAGCGAGGGTTTGTCACTGTCAACGGCTTCTGGAGGGTCTCAACTGCTCTTGTAAGGACAGCCCCAACCTCCGATGACGGAGAGACCAATGATAAGAGACTCTCGGCTAGAGGAAGCAAGATGGTGGGCTCGGGTACTTCCGCAGTTGTTGCCAAAAGATGGAGCAATTGGAGGGCATCTGCAGGCGCCTTCCCAGGAACCACGGAGAGGACAGAGGCTTGCAATGTTTCCTGCAATTCCTGAAGCACGGAGTTTACCTCTCGCAGCGGGTCGGATTGCTCAAACCCACCGACAAGATCCATGGTGTCCACATCCGCGTTCAGGGGGAAAGTTACGAGCGACTTGCCTGCGAGGGCCGCTAAGTGTTGAACAAGTACCGACTTCCCCGAGCCCGATGGACCACTAAGGATACAAGGGATATTCTGCGTTACACAGAGTATGAGGGTCTCAATGTTAGAAAGACGAGTCTTCAGATCGATATTCTGCAGACCAACCGGTTGGGCCAGATGACTGCGTTGCATGAGTGCCAACCCGACTTGGCAGAATGAGGAGTTGATATCATGGTAGAGACTGTGGGTCCTTGGGGACTCGCCGAAGATGTCCGCGAATAATTTCGTAACTTCTTGTCTATCTCGCTCTGTCCTGAATCTTTGCCGAACAACGATATCAAGGAGATCGTCAACCTTTGCAGTGCCGAGAAGGGGGTCTGAACTATGTAGGAGATGAAGCCAGCGCAGCAAATCACGAAGATTAAACTCCCAAGGGGCTCCCAAAGAGCCAAATGAACGGTCTTGGGCTATCTTGCGTTCTAACTCCGTGATGAACCGAATCAGCTTCTCGATCGTCTCTGGTGCGACGTCGGGTGAGTGGTTGGACGCAATGAGGCGGAGATCCTCGCCAGAGAATACATCAGCATAGACGACGACAAATCTGTTGACGAATGAGCTTGGAAGACCCTTCCGGCCACCTCCTTGGTGATGAGGGTTCTGAGCAGCGAAGAGGCGAAAGTCGGGGTGACGCTTGAAAACTTGATCCAGCTCAGAGATGTACACCTCTCCTCTGTGATCCAGACACGCGTTTAATCCTTCCAGTACAGACTGGGACGCCAAGTTCATTTCATCCAGCAAGACCCACTCGCCTCTTTGCATGGCCCGCAGGAAGGGAGCATCACGCCAGGCGAAATTTCCCGCTTCAGCTCCATCAACAGGCACATCTGTTCCAAAAAGGTCCATAAGGTCGGTTTGGTCGGAAAGGTTGATTCTAGTCAGGGGCTGTCCACACACCTGGGCCAACGCTGCGACCAGTGTAGTCTTTCCTACTCCAGGGCTGCCTTCAAGGAGAATAGGCTTTTGCATTTGAAGGGCGCGGACAACTCTTAACGTGTTGAGCCTAGTCGTTGGGGGAGTAAAGAACTTGAAATCCTTCTCGTCGACCTCGTTCGAGATTCTTGGTATGGCAAACCCTCCGATGGCGATCTTGGCATCATCGGACGTCAACTCGGGATTCGAATTATAGATGGAAGAAATATCGGCTCTGAGGAGCTCACTGAGTTTGTTCAAGCAATTACGTCTCTGAATCGCAACGCCTTGAGAATCCAGAGCGATGAGGCCCGATGGATTCGCGCCAAGGCTATCAATGAACACAGTTGCAGCACCATTGACGATGGCAAAGAGCGGATCAACTCCATGGCATTGATTAACAAACTGCACCCAAACCAGAAGTTCTCGAATAGAAAATGCTGTCGCGGAAGCAGATCTGAATGTCTCTCCAAACCATGTAGCAAAGTCCACGATGACGTTTGCTAGATTCTTGACCTCCTTCACGAGCTTCCGAGTTACGATCTCGAGAATATCTTCCGTCCCAGAAAGGGGTGGAACCCAGATTTCAGTGAATCGATTCCTTAGTGCCGGAGACAGCTCCTTCTTGCCAAAATCGCCACCAGGATTCATCGTCGCGAAGAATTGGAAGCCGTCCGCCGCTGCCATGAAGGAGTCGTCAATACCCTTTTCTGCCAATAAAATTGTCCGCTGCGGCTCCAAGACTGAGTTCAACCTTTCCAGAACCGAATCGTCAGCCAAGGAAATTTCGTCAAGAAGGAAAAACTGTCCCGTTTTCATGGCATGGACTAAACTTCCATCGGACCATTCGAATAGCGCCTTGCTTCGTATCTCGAGTGTCTCAATCTGCGTTCTGAGGTCTTCGGGAATGGCAGAAAGGGCCTCCGCAGGGAGCTGGCGAATTCTTCCTAGTAATTCATCTGTAGTTCCGTCGGCGTCTTGCTTTAAAGCCTCCATGGCTGACTGAAGAGCCACATGCAGAGCTTCGAGGATTGAAGCTCGGTTCCGAATTGGCCTCTGCGAACCAATAATATCTCCAGTCTCTGTGTTTTGATGTGCGTTGACAATGTGCAGCTCTTTACCGAGGACTTCCGCAAGGACTTGGCAAACCGTCGTTTTTCCACAACCAGTCTCGCCGACGAGCAGAACCGGCTCACGGTTCCGGATGGCTTGAGAGACAAGCATGTAGAGACGTCTCATTCCATGAGTCCAGACGACGCCTTGGCGGTTCTCTTGAAGGTGGCGTAGTGCCTGTGAGGATTTTGAGTAGAGCTCATCAAGGTCTATCTTGACTCTAAACACCTTCTCGATGATTTCTTTCACAGCAATGCGCTCATCCTCATTTCGGACACGCTCAGCGAGCAACATAAAGCCGTTGGCAGCGATTTCTTCTCGGTTCTCGGCATTCCGAAGGGCCCACCGGAAGAGATCACGCAAAGTAGCAAAGCTATCCTTCTGCTCGAACACGCGGGTTGTTTGACGCAGGTGTGACAGCTCCTTATAAACCGTCACGATTCTCTTGCAATCAGATGGGGCAGTGTACCGACTCCGTTTCTGGAGGATGTATTCGAGCTCATCCTCGGGGATGTCATCAAAATGCAGTTCTAGAAAACGGTTACGAAAGGCTCTTGACAGCACTTTCCTTCCACCATAGAGACCTGGAGGGTTTTGAGTCGCAAAGAGGCGAAAGTTCTCATGCGGTTTGACGACTTCTTGAGTCTCAGGGATAAGTAACTCTCGGTTATCATCCAGTAAACGGTTGAGCGCCTCGAGGACATCAGTAGGGGCAAGGTTCAATTCATCCAGTACAATCCAGTAACCGCGGCGCATCGCCTGCACGAGCAAGCCATCCTGAAAACGTAAACGCCCATCCGTACCAGATACGTAGGTCCCGAGGTACTCCTGAAGATCTGTATGTTCATGATTGTTGATCCGTACGAATTTATTCCCACTGTAGTTTGCCAAGTACTCAATCATACTCGTCTTGCCAGCGGAAGTAGGACCCTGGATGAGGACCGGAAAACCGCCGTCCCTGGCGTTCGAGGTGGCACGCACGAGATTAAGAAGGTTTCGCTCGACTGAAGGGGAGATGATATAGTCTTCGCTTTCAACAGGCGTTTGTTCTCCCTGAAGGAGCCAATATTGTCTGTCCTGACTCTTGCTTTTGAACCGGATGTATTGGCGCCCATCGTCCGGGAGTTTCGGACGCTGGGACAAGATTGAACTTCGCGAATTGCCACTGCCGAAGATGTGGTGTGCTATTAACGGAACCAGCAGCTCCTCCGATTCCCGGTTCAAAAGGGTCAAAAAACCCATAGAGAAACCTTCGTACAATGCCCTTCTCAGGCCATAAAAGGGAGCAACTTCCCTCACGTAACTCAAGACGCGAGTCAGAGTTCGCAGGCTGAAATGTGGTACCTCGTTCGCTCCATCCACCAATCGCTTCTCGGCCGCTAGCTGCTTGGTATTCAAGTAGAGTCTTGTAATGTCATCTGCAGCCTGCTCATCTTTGGCACTCTTGATATGCAGGTAAGCCTTCACAATTTTTAAAAGATCCTTGTAGTCACGATCCGGGCTGTTGACATAAATTTCCGTGAACCTCGACCTAATGCCAACTGGAAGGTCTCGCTTTCCAACGTCGGTTGCCGGATTCATCGCACCAAATATGCGGAAATTGGGATGGGCCGTGATTCGCTCGATCTCGCCTGTCTCCGACAGTAAGATCGAGGGGGTCTCACCGGGGTCAGTAAGGAGATCAGCGATGCTCTCCAAGGTATCAGAAGAAGCCAGGTTTATCTCATCCAGAAGGACCCAGTCTCCATTCCTTGCAGCCTTAACAATATTGCCTTCCACGAACGAAAATGTGAAGGCGCTGCTATTTCCCGAGATTTGAGCATTGAACTGATCAAGGCTCTTCTCAAATTCGTTCCATCGGGACTTGATATCGACAAGATGCCTAAGCCTTGAGGGTGCTTCTTGTTTTTGGCGTTTTGCGGGTGGCTCGCCATTCTCCCGAGTCCTCTTCTGCTCTACCTGAAGTAGCTTCTTGAACAGTTCCGCCCCCTCCACCCACATCTTGGAGGCCTTTGACCATTGTCGCTTCGTGATGTATTTGGCGATCCGGTTCAAATACGGCTGATTCTTCGCGGCTAGGCCCGTGGCTCTGAAAAGTTCATCGAATTCATCCTTTAAGGGGATCGCAAGGTTGAGAGCATTGACAGGCTTAAACCCACCAATGAGATCGCCAACCTCACTCTGCTGAGACAAATTGACGGCAACAACTTTGCGGCCAACAATGTCAGCTAGTTGTTGGACGACTGTCGTCTTTCCGATACCAGTCTCGCCCACTAATAGAACCGGTTCTCTCAACTGCACCGAGCGAGTGAGTTGTTCGAGAAGCCTCTTAGCTTGAGTAGTATCGGCAAATGGGCGTTTTGACCGTTGGATCGTCGGATTCTTGTGCTTCTCGATTGAGGTTCGGCCAACGCGAAGATGGGATTCGCTATCCTTCAGGACGGGCACATATGCAGTCATCTGGTGCTCAACCCAAGCCTTAGCCATGTGCATCTCTTCTCCGATAGCGAAAACCAGTTCATCCTTCCCCTTGCCCTCTGGCAAGTGACCAACAAAACAATCCACCGCTTCCATGAACATTCGCTCTCTCGTCTCTTCACTGATCGTCACAGTCGAGCCCGAGGCGAGAAGCTGATCCTGCAATCTTCGGCACCATTTTAGGAGTTCTCGGAGTGTCATCTGTCTCGCTATTCCGCGACTTGAGGCAACGATTGATGGCATCGAAGCAGTTCGCGTAAGGCGGTGGAAGACGGAGAGAATCTGGGGAACAATCTTGTCGAGCATTGGAAACGCGCCTCGTACAATTTCTTCTAGCTCTCGTTCCGGCAGCGGCCGGATAGCGAGCTGCTGCCAGAAGCGTAGACCGAGGAGATGTGGAAGCGTCTCTTGGCCGTTCATACCTTTTGACGTCCTAACAGTGGCGAAGAGACGGAAGCCACTGGCAGCTTTAATCCTCTCACTTCTACTAGGGATGAGCAGCTCCCCTCGCTCAACAAGCGGCAGCAGCGAGCTGACGACTTCAGCAGGAGCACGGTCGAGATCCTCGATTAAAACCCATCTTCCTTCCTTGACAGCTTTTGTTAGAACTCCAGGCCGCCACTGGAAGCTGCCAGGTTTCGACCCGGTTGAGTAGAGACCGATGAGCATCTTGGCATCGGTTTGATCATTCAAGTGAAGAGTTACCATGTCCGAACTCATGCCGAGGTCCTTGGCGAGTTCCTTGATAACGGATGTCTTGCCAGATCCAGGCAAGCCATGAAGAAGAATGGAACCAGGGTTTCGTAGAAGGCTAGCAAGATGCTCGAGATTATCCCTCACAGTCGACGTGACGACGAGGGATGATTGTTGCACAAAAGTGCCGCTCGGACGTGGGAGAATGACTCTACCATATGATACGACATGTGGAGTGAGTTCTTGTGGCGCGAAGATTGGGCCATCGTGTGTTCCTGAGCGAGCAATATCCTGGCGAAGCTTCTCCACCGCATTTACACGACTATGCTCATGTAGAGACAAGAAACCGTAGTCAACCTCGAGGCCATCAAAGTCACCTAATACGGGGTCTGCCGTACCGAGATGTTCCTGGATAAGAGCCTCAAGCTTGAAATCTGATGCCTGAAGAAGCTGACAAAATATGCGGATCGCTAGATACCTGACTGCTCGATCATCATGCGCGAAAAGTTCCTGCGCATCGGAAGGGGATAATAACGGGCCATAGGTTCGCTGGTCGAAGCTGTTCAACCTCCATATTGAGAGTAGAATTCGTTGGAGGGAAACGGGGTCATCGGGGGTGGCGGTCCATGAGTTAAGGTGAGCCGGACGGAAAATTGGGAGCCCAGGTTGCTTGGGACGGTGATGGGAGAGAAATCGTTCGAGAAATATAGAGAGATATGGCGCAAACGGCAATATCCGAGCATAAGAAGCTAATACAGAGCCATTCCTGTCTGTTTGCGCAAGTTGGAGGACCCATCGCGCACATACATCGGCGAATACGTGCTGAAAATGAACGAAAAGCCTATCAGTGAGGCGTGGTGAAAGGGCGGCATTGGCGATGGCATCGAGCATTCCAGAGGCGGCATGATTTCGTACAACTTCAAGTATTTCGGGTGGCAAGAGGCCTAATGTCTCACTATCTCTCATAAGAGAGACCATATTTGAGGAAATATCCGCCGCCGCCATCTTTGCCCCGGTAATCTTGAGATTTCGTCGAATCTTTGTGTGTCTTGAAGGCAAGACTTTCCAAGATATTTTTCTTTTTCTTTTTTTTGGACCCTGCGATAAGCGATAAGCCCACAGTGCCTGGAACGGTTTTGTGACCCCACATGTATCCTTACTTTGTTTGGCCAGATATTTGGCGGAAGAGTACATTTATTATCTTATCAGACAGTGTCTATTTCTTATCGATTAGAGACCACACAGTGACGTCGGTCCACTGCCGCCAGCCGCCACATTACTTGACAAATTTTCTGCCATTGACGGTGCACGAGCCACCTCGACGAGCCATCCACGACAAGAGCTCGAAAATCTTCGAGATTTTGTCTCCTGTCAGCTCAGAATCCCAAGCACACGACCTCACCCGCCAGCCGCGCGACCACAACGCCAGTCCAACATATCGTCTCCCTCTCGCCAATCCTCCTACAAACAATGTCTCTATCATACAGGTACGCGGCACAGCGCTGCGCGCGCCAATTGCGATCTGCCGGTTCCTTCCGATACGCCGCGCCGATAGTCTCGACCCCTAGGCGATGGAACTCGACCGAGGCCGCTGCCGCTCCCGAGAACCCCAAGATTGCTGCTATCGTCGACCAGATTAGCCAGCTCACCCTCCTAGAGACTGCGGATCTCGTTTCTAGCTTAAAGGTATTGTTCCCACGACATTGACTCATGATGCTCCACGCTCTCGGATGATGAGGCCATTGTATCTAACAGTCTGGTTTTTCTCCAATTCTAGACCCGACTCAACCTTCCCGATGTCCCAATTGGTGCCTTCGCTGCCGGCCCTGCCGCGGGCGCTCCAGCGGCAGCTCCCGCTGCTGAGGAGGCGGAAGAGGAGGCCCCTGCTGCTGCCGAGAAGAGCGTCTTCACCCTCAAGCTGACCGGCTTCGAAGCGACTTCCAAGCCCAAGGTTATCAAGGAGATCAAGAACCTTCTCGGTCTCAGTCTAGTGGACAGCAAGAAGTTCGTGGAGAGCGCGCCCAAGGTGATGAAGGAGAACGTGCCCAAGGATGAGGCCGAAAAGATCATCGAGACCCTCAAGGCGCTCGGTGGCACCGTGACGATGGAGTAAAGCGGAGGAGACAGGAGAGTCCCCGGGCTAGTTGTGTCTGGTGTGTTCTGTAAAGCGGGTTTATAGACGGTTTCTCTATTGGTCAAGGCTCAAAGGTCTGATGGCTGGATGTGACGATAGATTGAGCTTCTTGCATGTATAAAATGGTTGTAACAATATACTGTGCGGAGGACCCGCTCAACTCAAACCTTCTGGATTCTAGATGGATAATCTGTGATTCTTGGGGTATCAATCCCAATGGATTCAAAATCAAAACTCCCGTTAACCCCCAACGCCTACCCGCCTCTCGAAATGACATCCTTAGCCGTTATAGTGGGTACAATACGACGACCATTCCCTTTCTTTCATCTCGCGCTCTTCTTTTGCCATGAGATCATCGTCGGATCCCCAGTCACTCGTTTCTTCCCACAACTTCTCCCACTCAGGCTTGTCGGTAGGGCCAGCCGGAACTGCCCACATTGTCTCCCGAAGCCTCTTGTGGCGCTCTCGGTCCTCCTCTATACGGCGGTCGATCTGACGGACGTCCTCGAAAGTGGAGTGCTTGGGTGCTGGACGACCGGCCTGGCTGTCACTAGCGACAGGGGACTCCAGTGAAAAGTCTTTCGTGACTCTGTCCTTGAGGCACTCTTCTATTTCCAATACCAGATCTTGTTGGAAGAACCCTTTGTTGCAGAGTCCTTGTAATACCTGCAAGGACAAAATCAGCTTCAACCTCGGCCATTGGATACAACGGAGGAAACCCGCCAACCCTTGCGGGATGAATGTCTTGCTTCATACCTTCCTGACCACTTTGACGTTTGCAGATCCGGTTCCATCATCCGGGGCTACAGCATCAACAACTCTAATGATGTCTCGCTGCATCATTCGAACATAGTTCACATGGCCATCCTTACTAGCCAACTGAAGAAACTGCTCGATGAAATACATGATGTTTGCACGGGTATTCATATTCCGATTCTGCGCGAAGAAGCGCCTTAGCCAACCCTCACTCCTCGCTTCGACAGACCATAGTGAGATTCGGATTCAAACGTACCTGTTCAAGCTGTTCCACGATGCATGAGTGGAGATCCTCATCCATGTCCTTGTATTTAAGGGCATATTGTGCAGCCTTCTGGGTCGCGGTAACAGAAGCATTAAGCTGTTGTAACTGCTTGGTGAAGCGCATGCGAACCTCGAAAGGATCCGCCATTTTTGCGAAGGATGTGGTGTTGAGGCGATGGGTTGATAAACTGCATTCAAGCCTGTGGCAAGCGATGCTTTCGCCAAGTTGTGTCCATGATCCCATATGTACAATCCATCGTTATACGCATAACTCTAACCACCAGTCCACCATTTTTTTCCTGGAACTGTGCCTTTCGAGCAAACCGCCCCCGGTTTTGATTGAGACATCGAGTTCTCGGACGACCTCGTAAGTGTAAGAGAGCAGGGCAGGATGAAACTTGCAGCTATTTTTGAAATTAATTACCACAGGAAGTCGAAAATTTCCTCTTTAGTGCATAGCTTGTTTCTGCTCCGTAGACACAAAGAGCCTACCTTGATTGAGGTTGTTCAATCTCTCCAACAACCTTTCTGCCTGCGGCGGAATCTTACGCGCTTGCCATGGCCATGGGTCTCCCCCGCACTGAGACTCAGAGGATGGCTACTCATACTGTAGTAGGTGCGGCTCAGCGATGACCACCCCGTCTTGAGAAGCTACTGTATTTCTGAGTCAATGGGAGATAGGGTGTCCGACGCGTCAAAGAACGCGGTCAAGAAGCCGCAACTTGATCGAAGAATACACATACCGGGCTTCAGCAGTGGGCTTCTGTAGGGGGCTGCATAAAACATTATAGAGCTACGACAAGAGGGTCTAAAGGCGCATCACTTGAACGTAGACTGTCTTGATGGGGTATTGAAGGCGAGCATGTATTTTGGAGAACCACCAATCCAAGTATTATACAGATAAACGCCGGCATGTAAAAGGACCGTCATCAAAGTATCCGCCCTGCCGTACCCATAACTCCAGTTTTCCCTTCCTTCATAATATACCGCTCGCTGATTTCGAACTGCTCATCATCGTAATTCCCTCGAGCCTTGCCTTCTTGGAAGCCGATATGATAACCTTGGCATCATCATCGTCAAACTTCCCCCCGATCCGCCGATTCAGATCGACGTCCCGTCCTCCTCTACATCCTCGACCTTCGCCTTCTTGGAAGCGGACGCGTCCTCGGTGTCGTCATCGTCGAGTCGTCGCTTGGGCTTATCACGCTGCGCACGGCGTTGGAACTTGTTGAGGAGTCGAATGTAATCGAATTGGACATTATCCATGGTCTCCTCGAGAAGCACAAGCCTCGGGCCTAAATCGTACTGGCCCAGGACATCCACATTGTGGACGAGAAGGCGAGACTTGACAAAAAGCCTCCAGACATTGAAAATGAACTTGTCATCGGCCGTCGGCTTGTTCTTGCTCTTTCCCTCGGTAGGAAGTCGAGGGCGGACGGACTCAGGTAGCTTGCTCATGAGATGCATCTCTAGGCAGCGCATGAACTGACGGGGCACAATCTTGCTCTTCTCCATCAGTGCATCGACAGCCTTCCGATCGACAAGCTCTGGAAGTAAACCTTTCATATCGAGCTTGATGCCCTGCTTGAACGACATGTCTCTAAACTCGGGCAGAGTCAGAAGAAAGGCGAGATCACACATGTCTCTGAGGTCATCAAAAGACTCGTTGGGCTCCTCGACGGTCAGCTGTCGAGTAAGCGGGTTGTCGTAATAATACTGGAACATCGTCTTGTAAAGGCGAGTTCCGAGGCCGCGGCTTTGGTAGGGCTTCAGGATAAGGAACTGCGACAATCGCGCGCGAGAGGGTAACTGGCCGAGATCAAAATCGCCTACAGGCAGCTCAAATCGCGTGCCAGGGGGAGGAGGGGGATCGATTCGCTTGCCGAAATAGTAGAATCGATAAACGGTGGAAAAGCCTAGGAAGCTGTAGCCATCCTCGTCCTTCTCGTACAGGGACCAAACGGTCCATCGATCGTCAACTGCATCGAACTTGGGATTGATGATGGGCGAACCTCCCTCAATGAAAAGGAGCGGGAGAAGCTGGATGCGCGCGACCAGCTGCTTAATTCCCGGGTCGACCAAGGTACCCTTCCAGATCTCATAGGTATGGGATCCGTCCTGCATCGTGGCGTGCAATTCGCCAGCAGGCTTCCAGGTATTCTCGAGAGAGAGCTTCTTCGTGTTCTCGACGAAGTCAGGGTAGCCACTAAAGGCAATGTCGGGGAGGTTTTCCTTCAAGGGAGTCATGATGTCGGCTGGTTCGGTGTCGCCGACTGCGTCAAATTTGGCTTGGTAGGACACCTTGACTACTGGTCGCATGTCGTTTGCGCGGTAATTGATGTTTATTTTCAAACCTTTGTAACCAAAGATTTGCTCGTCCTCGCCATAGAGAGGGTAAGTAAACTGTGCGTTGAAAGGAGGGCCAAGCGCGACTGGGCCCTCCTTGGAAGGTCGCCAGAGACAGATCCGGACAGCCTCATTGGCATTCGCAGACCCTAGGACATTCGTTGTCAATCAGTATCGTGTTCTAGCAGGAGAGATGGGAGGAATCGAAACAGCAAAACAGCATGAATACATACACTCTTCGATGTCTGCCATGGTGGATGAACCGTAGGGGTTCACTAGAGGAAATATTTGTTCTGCTGATAAGAATAAGAATAAGGAAGTAGAGGCTTGTAGGAGGGGAGTCAAAAAAAGAGGATTTTACTGTGCAGACAGCACAATACTATAAGTGGAAGGGAGAAAATGTGCCCTGGTTAAATTATGATGTTGGAGGGAGGAGAAGCAGTTGATTCTTGAATCTCTGCACTCAGTTGTCCGGAGAGGTGAGGAATGGAGGGTGCTTGACGGTGACAGTCTTTGTGAATGCTCACAAAGCATGGGCGCGTCACGTCGCGTACTACTTAAAGAGCTTGCTGAAAAAGGGCAGGAGGTACTGAGGTACTCGGGCGCCATACCTTACTTCCCAGTTCGCTGTTCCAAACTTGGCCATGGGTGATGATGTAATCACAGTCCCCGCAGATCCTCTGCGTCGAAGCCTGAGTCGACGCCTTCCTGGAACATCATTTGATCATTTGTTACCAGCTGACCTCACATCGCAGCCTCGATTTAGAGTTGCTCATCAAGAGCCACCTCAACTTCACCTCTACCATCTTCTCCCCGCCAAAGATGGTATTAACTCCAAGATGCAGCATATTGTGAGCACAGGGTCGCCTGTGCCCTCTGAGATATTTGCGCTGGTTGCAACCATCATCATCTCCATTACAGTACTGCTAATTCTCCGATACTTCCTGCCTCTCCGAACCACGCCCGCCTTCTACCTCGTCCCCATCTTTTTCGCCATCTTCCTCCCTGCCGCGATTGTCCTTCTCGTTCCAATAGACCTTGCATCGAGTGCAAGAACCGAAGATGATGCCATTCGAGGAATATGGCTCCCCGAGAGGGTCCTCCTCGTCTCGTGGAGGATCACGTATTGGCTGACCTTTGCTCTCACCTGGTGCGACTTGCCGGCGCAACCGTTATCGCATTTGCCTAATCTTTGACGATGAATCTAACATATTGCGCTAGGTTCCTCCTCCCGATCCTTGCCGAATACTCCGACTCCGGACATCGCGACCCATATGGAAAGCTCATGTACTCGCTCCGTTCCAATGCCCAGTTCCACGCCATAGTCCTCGGCTCTAGTTTCGTTGGACTTATCTACATCTTCATTAAATACGGCGTTTCCCTCACCTCTTTAAAGAGCGTAGTAATGGCCCTTGCCTACTGTTGGGGTCTCGTGTTTGCCATCTACCTCATGGGCCACGGCCTGGTATCGATACCCCGCCAGCTCTTCCGAAACGCAAGCATCAGCGGTCGTCTCCGGAGACTACAGAGCCATGCGCCGGCTCTACATGAAAAGATGGAAGACTCTTTGTTGACTTTGGAAGACATCGAGGCTCAAGTGCTAGAGCTGAGCCGCCGGAAGGTTGGAAGCGCGAGAGACTTCGGCGATTGGATCGAGGAGCTAGTTGAGATCGCCGGCCTTCCCGACTCTCGCCCTGTTACGGTCGACAACACGATCGGTGGAGAGAGTCGCATATTGCCAACGGTGATTACCGAGCAATACATGGCCAACTTAACTAGGGAGCTAATTCGAGCCCGCCATGCTCGATCTCGTTTTGTTGGAGAATGGAACCGGCTCGTCCACGAAGCCGCGAAGACCCAGACTTTACTTGACTCGGCCGCCTCCAAGAAACTTGATGTCGGCGAGCTTCATCCAGAGTCCTCCCCATGGTCCCGCCTGACCGTACTTACACCATATTCGCGGTATCTTCTCCATTATCACATCATGCCATACGTACGAATCTTCACTGGCGTCTTGCTCGCCTTGGCGTCTGCCTGCATTGTTTGGTCTGAGGTTGTCAAAGTCGCCCTCCCTAATCTTTCCATCATCCGCTTCACTGTTGTGCATCATTGGGTTGGCGAAAAGGGCCAGGTTGGGTTCGCGGGCCAAGTTCTCTCCATGTTTTGGCTGCTCTACATGTGTGCGGCCACTCTCACATCGATAACCGAGGTCAAGGTGTGGAGAGGGAGAGCGCTCACCCGACGAAATACTGCATACGAGTCGGCCTTTTGGTACTCGCAGCAAGTGGCTAAGCTCAGCGTTCCATTATCTTACAACTTTATGACTCTACTATCACCCAAAATTTACAAAAAGACCGTGTTTTACGGTTTCCTTGGTCAGCTCATCGACTTCACGCCGCTAGGGAGGTGGTTTGACTATCTATTCCCCATCCTTATTCTATTCCCTGTATGCGCTACGCTGTTCGGTATATACGGAAGAGTCAAACGACTCCTAGGTTTCGGCCTCGACATTGTCGACGACGAGGAGGAAGGAGGAGGAAGGGGAAGTCACGGTGCCGGCCTATGGAGGGAAGGCCGAGATCTCATCGAACGAGATTTAAGCGGCCACTCCCTGTCTCGTCGCAGGGATGAGGCTAGAGCCCGGGCTGCCGGAGGGCCACCCGGTCGTTCCGCGCCGATATTATCCATTCCATCCGCCCGCGGCGCAGGGGCCTCTTCGTCATCACCTCTTAGGTCGCCCACACAGCCCAGTAACCCACGCCGACTCGGACAGCCATCCCGCGACGCGGTGTGGAACGACGAGCCGACAGGCGACGAAAACTTTTTCCAGATCCTTGGCCACCGGATGAAGAATACCATTGATACTTTTGAATCGCCGAGGTGGCTACAGGATCTAGGCGAGGGCATCAAGAATCCCCCCTGGACCAATAACGGAAATGAGGGTGGTGGCAGTGGAAGAAATAATGGAAACCAGTCTGACATTAGGCGGTGGTTTGGCGGTGGTAATGATGAGGGTCGAATCAGACTCTAAGAATAGGGGAAGGTATAGCACCGCTACAAAAAATGTATTGGGCAGCAAGGCGTGGTGACCATGGAGTACTGGTTCTTTTGTTTTCTTTAGTTTACTAGAGAGTTGGGCGGACTGTTTCCTTTGCCGATAGGCACTTCTGAGATATTCAAGCTCATGTGTACTTCGTCAGAATAATTCATTAGCATCATCAGTCGTAAAGATATCATTTACAGGAAATTACAAGCTGAGTTGAACCTCTCCCTTTGCTCCCGTTCGCCATTCTCCTCGGGTAGTTTTCCCGGTTATATCGTCATGGTTTCCGAGGACTTAGGGAGTTCCAAGTACTCTCCTTACTAAGAGTCTTCCTCCGAATCGTTGCCATGATCTCGCGCTCCATGACTTCGACATCGTCTTCGACGGCGAGCTGGGCCTTTCTGAACTTGCTTTTCCGGCGTTGGTTGAAAAAGATCCAAGTGCCGACAATAGCTGCCGTTACGGGTATCGTGATGGCGAAATAGATCCACAGGCTGGGAGCGATGACAGGGTCGGCACCTAGAAGTTGTCGTTGCCCAGAGAGCATTTAGCGTACCATTATATTGCCAAAAGGATAGGTGTTTCGTTCCCCATAAGCGTCATTACCTTTTTCAAAGTTGAAGAACGTCATGCTAAAGACGGAGGCGAGGTAAGTCCCAGGGAGGAAGAGAGCGCCGAGAAGTGAAAGCGTCTTCATGGCTGTGCCGTCGTGCTTGGCGGCGTGGGCGACGTATTTCTGCTCTTTGGCGATTTGCAGACTTAGTTTAGATTCTCGTATTGCCGCAATGTTGTATAACTAGAGTTTGGATTTTTCGTCTCGTATTAGTATACGTAAAATGGTCCTGTTGGAAAAGGAGGGAGGGGGGGAATTCAAGGAATAGAATATCGCTTACCGCTTCCCGCTGAATCCTCAGTCGCTCCAGCGTCGTCCACGCATAATTCTCCAGCCCCTTCAACTTGACCATATAAAATTCCGTCCTCGCTAGCATACTTTTATGAAGTTTATCCAGCTCCCTGGTAAATTGATCCCCAGTCCCGGTCTTGAACCTCCCCATAGCCCTCTCCAATTCCAGAATAGTGTCGATATAAGCCTGGGGTTTCTTCCACAGCACCTGGCCATTACACTCGTACATGTCCCTAGTAATCCCGTCCATGTCGAGAATCCCGGCCGTGACATACGATTCTTCAGCCCTGATCTCATCACGACCGCTAATGGCATGTTCGAGTCGACGGAGCCAGTCTCTTGCCTGCCGCTGGCGGATCTCGTTGTCGGGAGCGACTTGATAAGACAGAAGGATCATGGGCAGGAGGAGGGGATGTACAATTTGGGTCGCACAGGCCCTTATATGAGAGATAGCCTTGCCAATATCGGAGCTAGGAGTGCCCTTAGCGTAGCCGGTAGTCATGCGGGTCCGGAAGTTGTAAGAGAGCATGGTCTCCCAGCCGCGGGTCTTGCCTTTCTTACGGACATCAGACTTGCGGAATATCATTTCTAAGAGGGCGACCGGAAATGGTCATTGTTAGTCGATTTTTGAAGTGGACCGACTCATCGCTATGTCGTAAACATACGTAGATTTGGGTCTTCATCTTCTTGATCAAGGGATGACCAAAAGAAAGGCCCTACCACACCGGTGCCTTCAATCGCCCTAAAGGGCAAGCGCATGCCTCTAACCATCGCACGATACTCATCGTGAGTCAGAGTTATGACATACGGTGAGAAGGTATCGGGCTGCTGGGCATTTTCTTGCAGTCTAAATACAGGTCAGCTTAGCTTTAGGTTCAGCCTTGGCACCAGGAGGAGCCGGGGGTGACACGGAAACCACCAAGGGGTAAAATTCTCACGTACACTAGTCTCAGGCTACTCGTGCACGTTACGCCCGCTCTCAGCTTTGGAGGTTCAAAAGCACCCTATTATTTTCGCCAATCAAATGTCAGTTTATGAGAGAGTTGCCCAAGCTTTGCGGGAGAAGTGACCTTCTTGAGGCCGTGGGGAGTGAGACGTACTCGGCGGTGAATGAAATTGTGGAATTCATCTGACGAAAGGGGATGCTGTTCGCAAGTATTATACGCCGGATCCTGGAGCGTCGAAAAAAAAGAGGCTATGTGAGCGATGAGACTCAATGGGAGACATTGATGCGAACTCGGGCCGATGCATTCTCGTTCTTACAGAATAGTTGAATATTTCGAGGTATTGGGTATCCTCGAGGTAGAACTTGCATTCCGAAACAAACTCGTCAAAGAAGTAATCGTCCATGGCTTTCCCCAGGGATCATGTTCGTCGCAGATGCAGTGAACGTACGATTACTCAGGTATAGAAAGGACGCGCAGTGAAACAAAAACTCAGCTCATGCGAGGAAGATGCGCATTGTTTGTGGAAGTCTACAAAACTCGCCCCGTCGGAGGATTAAGTTGATAATCTCCTTTCGCCTTTGGGTTGCAGATCGCTTCTTCCCAGCCTCACTATTTGCGACTGGCAGCGTTGACCAATCACGGAAAGGCGCGGGTGCACTGGGAGCGAGTGGTGCGGGGGTTGTCGCCAGAAACCAGAAATAGCACGACTGCTGCAGCATCCTCTGTACTTACATGGGCAGGGGCTACTGCATTGATGGAGTGTGGTTCATTCCTCCGGGGGAGTCGCCGGATCCGTTGTCGAAGCGCTCGGCGCGATCCACTCTCAGCGGGAGTGCGGTGTACTGCCAGACTTCTGGGGCTCAATGTCGAGTTCTAGACTGACTTGTTCCCTGATCACACTACTTAAATATATGATGGAATCATCTAGCAGAGTTCTGTCAACTCGAGAGTAGTGTCCAGATCCAGCAAAGACAGTGATCTGCGGAATGAGGACTGTGATATTCTGGGACGGCTCTCATGTCTGTGCGTGCTCGGTACCTGAAACCTAATCTCTTCTGGTTGGTGTTAAGGCCGTGTCGCTCAGCAAGGGCCAATTGTGGGCTTCCTTGAGAAACGGGTTCCAAATGCAAACCTTCTCCGACAGGCTCTGTCAACCCGAAACCATCATTCTCTAATATCGAGATATCTCTCCGTAGCGTAGAGCAGAGAACCTTTTCAATGTTGCAAGGGCATCATTTTTCTCTCTCGCAGAACTTGAACACGTCCACTTGTCTCCTCCAGAGCTTTACTTTCCTTGATGAGATGTCCGGGGCAGTAGTTACGTGACCGGTTGACTGACTGAGTAGTAGTCGGAACTTGAGGCAACTTCCTGAGGCGATGCCTGATGGAAGAAAGAATAAAGGTGTTGTTCTTGTTGCTCTTGTTGCTGAAAGATTTCCAACCTGGACGAGCACGATCGGGACGGGGACCGACGCCTGCTTATTGTCCCACGAAACCACAACTCAACATACAAACTGTCCACCTTGGTTGGTTCGAGAATGAGTATAGTTTGTGACCAGGATACGATTCTTGGGTAAGATAACACCTTTCTGGAGCTCTCCCTGATCTATCTATGAGGGACACTAACCAAGGCGGAGTCCATCTACTTGTAAGTGGCGAGTCATGCGGTCCGCCAATTCATTGTTGATCTCAGAATGCTCAATGGAAGGTGTTTGGCTATGTTTGTTTTCTCCTTGATTCTTCAATTCTTTCCCTCTTCCAATTATGATTATGACTACTTCGTACTATTAAAAGGAAATAACAAAAGGCGAGTAAGAAACGGCCAAACAACGGCCTCGACGGGGGATTCCCAGGCCCAGGAAGATCTGCTCCAAGGATTCGCGAATCACCCATGGTCCGCCTGTTCGTAGATCAAGGACCCACAATCCCCAGCCAAGAGAGCCACCTTTCGAATTACTCCTGTCTTGAGAGCACAAAAATGATGGGCTTTTACTAGAGGAGAGGGCATGTGAGGAAATCACCGAATTAGAAACTTTTATCTGATTCATCGATTTATCGCCACGATTAGTTTTCGACCATGTGAAACGAACGCACGATTTTCATTTCAAGATATCAGCTTGGTTTGTTTGTGATGCCATTACTAGCTCGAGCCTACAGTCGGTGGTGATTGAAACCGGAAACACAGAAGTTCGAAATTTCCGGAACCCCGGCCATGTGGAGATCTCCAAACCTTTCTCTGCCCTTTGACCTCACCAGGGCTGTGCAAATCATCTTCCCAGGCAAAAAAGGGAAGGAAGAAAAGAGACGGGGAACAAGGGAAAAGGCATCTTAGCTCAGCCTCAAACGCCTTTGGTGATTGTCGCGGTTGTTGCCTCTCCAGGAATATCTTGCGCGAGCTGGAACAGGTTTTGTTTCTGCTGAAGTTATGCTCCGCGCTACGACCCCATCGTGGATCATGGTGAAGCCAACCGCCTCAAACGCTGATTGGATGAGCCTCCAGCTCATGAAGAACAGGTATATTCTTAGGCTCTGAAATCTAATCATTTTAAGCTTGACAATGTTAGAGTCGCTGCACATGGGCATCGGCCCACCTCAAGGTTCACCAGCCCAAGTAGACCCTGCACGGAGACTCCGGAATGTGGACCTTCCGTAGAACCATAGATGCAGGATTGTATTCCACAATGGCCTCTCCCGCGCCGTGGGGAATATCGGTGATGGAGATCTGTATAAATAGTCAGTAGATCTGGTCGTTGATCAATGTGGACATCTCGAGTCCCTCTTCGCGAAACCACCAGGCATTCCCACCCGGATTCTCTCATCCACCCTTTCTGTTACGCCAGAGCTGTGCTCTTCCCTTCCTTTCGGTTGTATATTCTCGCTCTGGCAGCGAAGTTTTCATTATGCGTCTTTATACCTTCGCTCTCTCTTCCGTCCTTTTTGCCAGCTATGGCCTGGCTCAAAGTGTCGTAAACAATCTCCAGACCGCTCAGAATTGTCTGGCCTCCATCCAGACCGCACAGCAGGCTCTAGATTCGGCAGTTGTGGTACGTCCCCCTCCTCCATAGTTGCCCACTCCACATTACACGAGACCTAACAAGTACGTATCCAACAGGGCCTCACTGCAAACTCTGCCGATGCTGCTACGATCCTTCCCCAAGCCATCCAGGGGGTTGAAACCGCCCTAAACCAGGCCGTCATCGTCATGCAAAGAGCACAACCATTGAACGCAGCCGATGCCCAGATCCTACTGGGCTCGGTCAACTCTCTCTCGTACTCCGTCAGAGCGGCCACCATGTCGCTAGTTCTTCAACAGCCGACTCTGAACCAGTTGGGTCTTGTCAATCTGGGTGTTCAGACCCTAACTGCCCAGAGGGTGGTTGTCAGTCAGCTCGGGCAGATTGTGGTCACCAAGGTGGTCCCCGTCGCGGTCCCTGCTTTCCAGGTTGGCTTCGGTCATGCCTTGACGGCTGTTGATGTTGGTCTTAACGTGCTCAACGGCGGCGGTTCTGTCGCTGTCCAGCTCATCCCTTCAGGCCAAATTCCGGTCCAGGGACTTGCCGCCATTCAGCAGCAGTGCACGGCTATCGGTTTTGTACCCATCAATGCCATTAACGGGATCAACGGAATCGCCGTCCAGCAGCAGCAGCAGCTCATCCAGCACTGCTCCGCTGTAGGGTTTGTCCCAGCCAACAGCATCGGTGGTGTCCAACAGGTGTTCAACCAACAGCAAGTCCTCGAGCAACAGTGCTTGGCAGCTGGTTTGATCCAATCCAACGAAACTCAGCAGGTCGATGCCCAGGATGCTATCAACCAATGCGCGGCCATCGGCTTCGCCCAGCAGGCCACTGAGAAGCGAACCGTATCCGCGAGTTCGGCAGACCTCAACGAGCGTTGTGCTACCATTGGCTTCTCGGCCTCTGGAGGCGCCCAGCAACAATTCGTCGCGAGCCCTGAAACCTGCGCGGCTCTTGGTCTTGTGGCCCAGAACAATGACATTGCTGCGCAATGTGCCGCGCTTGGGCTACAGCCTGGATCGAACTCTACCGAAGTGGCTCAGCAGCAGGTGCAAGACCAGACCCAGGAAGGTAAAGAGAAAGCCAACTCCAATGGAGAAGAGAAAGCTTCCAATTCCAAGGCACAGCGACGAGAGCAACGAATCCAAACCCAGCAAAGCCAACAGGGAGAAGCCACACAGCAGAAAGTCACTGTTGAGCAGTGCCTTGCTCAGGGTTTCGTCCAGGCGAATGGAACCGCCGCTGAAGGTGCTGCTCGAAATGAAACCGCATCCGCCGAAAGCCAGAGATTGGTGCGGAAGCGCATGGGGATGGTAATGGTCAATGCATAATGACGAAAATCATTTGAAACTGTAACTTTTTTAAGGAAATTTTGCGATGAATGGAACAACTACCAGGTGCCTTAGCTATGTAGAATGGAGCCCGGCCTCTGCATGTAAGATTGATCTTGGGGTGTTTTTCCGAGGCCTGCACGAAACGAAGGGAATAGCTGAAAGAAACAGGGACTTGGTTTCGATGAAAGTGATAGAATTCGAAAATAAAACAAACCAATATGAATTGAAAATTTTGATCAATTCAACACATTTAGGAATGGACTTTCTGCCCTCCTCCTCGGGGCCTGTTCAAAGAATGATACCAAGAAAGCCCGTGGCTGCATCCAAGGAATGCAGATGCAGAGCAGAAATACGAAAATACATGTACATGTGAATGTACCTTTTCTTCCGAGAAACTACCGTAGCATCTCTTTCATCATACCCCACACCAGAGCAGCATCAATCCAAACAATCATCACCAAGCTTTTTTTTTTGCCCTTTATAACTTTTCGACCTCGCCTGCAGTCTGGGATTTCTCAAGTTTGGAGCAAAATCGGGTTTCAACCACTATCAAATCCTTGGCACCTCCACACTCGGAGTCTAGCTTCCTTTGAGGGCAACTCGGTTACCAAAGTGCTTCATGGAGGCAGAGGTAGGCCTAGCTGCTCCGTTTCTACCCCGCCTCCTTTGTTGCCCATCTTGTCTGCCCTCGCGTGCCGAGCTACCCAACTGAGGAAGCTCACCTACATCCGTGAAGATTGCTAACCGCCACTTAATATAGATAGAAAATGCCGTCGAGATCGCCTGGAACCCGTCTTCCGAGCAGTCATTAAAAGTCCAGGCCTTCGAATTCCTTAGCCAGGCACGGAACGAGCCACAAGCATGGCAGGCCTGCGTCAACCTCTTTGTGCGGCAGTCCCCACGCCCGTCCGAAGTAGTCCGCCTCGTTTGTTTGGAGATCGTCAACTCGGCCGTCCACACCCAAGGGCTCGACGGCGCTAGCCTGACCTTTCTGAAGGACACTCTGTTGGACTACACTAGGAGGGTGTACGGGCCAAATGCTTCCCCCGAGCATTTGGATCCGGCTCATCTTCAGAACAAGTTGTGCCAGACCTTGACCTATCTCTTTGTTTTCCTGTACAAGGATGGGTGGCAGACTTTCATCGACGACTTTTACGCTCTCACCGCCGCCACCGATGGCTCCTCGAGAGACAACGTCCCCGGCGTCATCCTATACCTCCGAATTCTGGGTTCCATTCACGACGAAATTGCAGACATGCTCCTTTCTCGGAACCAAAATGATGCGAAGCGGAACGTCGAACTGAAGGACCAGATTCGGGCACAGGATATGACGAGGGTGGCTCAGTCCTGGAAGGAGCTGCTTGCCCATTACAGCCACCAGAACGACCAAATTGTTGACATGATATTGAGGCTGATTGGCAAGTGGGTCAGCTGGATGGACATATCCCTCATAGTAAACGAGGAGATGTTGCGCCTCCTGCTTCCACTAGTAGGCCGTTCGAACCAGACGGGATCCGAAGACAAGGTTCGAGACGCTGCAATCGATGCCCTGACCGAGATTGCTGGAAAGAAGATGAAGAACGCGGACAAGATGCAAATGATAACCTTCCTCAACCTCCGAGAAATCGTCACCGAGCTTGTCGCAAGCCCGCCCCTCAGCGAGTTGAAATCCACCTCTCGCTACGACACCGATCTTGCGGAGGCCGTGGCGAAGCTTGTAAATACCATCATGTCCGATATCGTTAGGGTTTTGGAGGATTCACAAGCCGATGCGGATACAAAGGCCTTGGCGGACCGGCACCTGCACGATTTTATACCTTCTCTACTCCGATTCTTTTCTGATGAGTACGATGAGGTATGCTCTACCGTTATTCCATCGCTAACCGACCTCCTCACGGCATTTCGAAAAGTCCCACTCTTACCCGCTTCCTACTCGGAAATGCTTCCGCCTATCTTGAACGCCATTATAATGAAGATGAGATACGACGAAACCTCATCGTGGGGTGACCAGGACGACCAGACAGACGAGGCCGAGTTTCAGGAGCTGCGCAAAAGACTGCAAGTGCTTCAAAAGACGATCGCCGCCGTCGACCAAAATCTCTTCATAGATGCCATCAGCAATCTGGTTGCCAACACCTTCCAGACACTTGATCAGCAAGGCGCACAGATGGACTGGAGAGACCTCGATCTAGCTTTGCACGAGATGTACCTATTTGGTGAACTTGCGCTGCCACATCAAGGGATTCTTCCGAAGAACGAGCGGGCTACGCCGGCTTCCGAGCGGTTGGCAATCATGGTGAAGAAAATGGTCGAATCTGGTATGTCCATCGGTCGCGGTACTAATAACTTGTTGCCCAACCCTGACGTTCTCGGCGATTCATCGACGCTCCTGCGTAGACCCCAGCCTTCAGTTTACTCCCGGAGACTTTGAATGTTCTAACATTTCTATCTAGGTATTGCCTCTTCTAGTCACCCCGCAGTCGTCCTCCAGTACATGGAGATTTGTGTCCGGTACGCGGCCGTGTTCGACGCTTACCCCGAACATATTGGGCCTGTCCTCGAAAATTTCGTGCGTCTCGTTCACCATGACCACGTGCGAATCAAGGCAAGGTCGTGGTATCTCTTTTTCCGCTTCGTCAAGCATATGAGGCCACATGTAGGCAATGTAGCAGAAACGGTGATTCAATCCATCAGCGACCTACTTCCGATCAAGGCGGAAGCCCCTGGTGATGAGAATGACGACGACATGTCTTCAGAGGAGCAGGACAACTCAGAAGCAGCGCTGTTTACGAGCCAGCTCTACCTCTATCAGGCAATAGGGTACATCTCGTCAGCACCGAGCACTCCCCCAGAGAAACAGGCTCTCTATGTACGTTCTGTCATGAACAATCTTTTTGCCGATATGGAAAACCACCTACCGCGTGCCAAATCGGGCGATGCGCAGGCCTTGAACCAGATTCACCACATTGTCATGGCACTTGGCATGTTGGCACATGGGTTCTCAGAGGGCTTGCCATCTACGTCGTCGTCTGCGGCACCGGGCCAGACGAGGCGCCCGGCTCCCGACCGGGCTGTGTCTGACGAATTCTCCAGGGCAGCAGAGGCCATCTTGGTTGCTCTCGGTGCGTTCAATAATACGTTCGACATCCGGACAGCCTGCCGGGCGGCTTTCTCGAGGCTTCTTGGTGTTCTTGGCGCCGCTGTTCTTCCGCAGCTTCCACAGTGGATTGAGGGGTTACTCTCCCAAAGCTCCGGAAAGGATGAGATGGCATTCTTCTTGCGTATTCTAGATCAGGTGGTGTACGAATTCAAGGGGGAAATATACGATGTGCTCAACATCCTCCTAACCCCGCTCCAGCAGCGGATCTTTAGCGGCCTATCAGAGCCGGCAACGGGCACTGATGATCACATCCAGCTGGGCGAACTCCGACGAGAATATCTATCTTTCATTCTCGTTATCTTAAATAACAACCTCGAAGGGACCCTAATTAGCGAGGTAAACCAAGGCTTCTTCGAGACCATGGTCTCGTGTATAATCACTCTCGGCCGGTCCTTCGAGGGTAACCCGCAGTCGAGTAAGCTTGCCTTCGGAGTCATGACGAGGATGGCGACCATATGGGGCGGGCCTGATCTAGCCACAATCTCGGCTAATCCGACTGCCCCCGTGGGATCGCCGTCTCCGGCCATTCCTGGTTTCGACCAGTTCATGATCCAACGGTTCCACGGAGTATGCTGGGAGGTAATGCAAGACCCGCAGTTTAAGCCGGATCTGGACGCGCAGACAAAGCAGGTCTTGACCGAGATTGCGGCACTGGAGCAAGTCATCTACAAGAAGACGGGAGATGTATTCATCCAGAACGTCCAGAACCAGCTTTTCCCCAATATCGGTATTGACGGAACCGAATTCCTTCGGTCATTGACCTCGACCGATAAGAAGACATTTGCGGGGTACCTATATGGACTTATCAAGAGCCGGCGCTCTTGAGAATGCGTCCGGGCCTTACCTCGAGGGCATCCTCCATGTGCCCACTTACGATAACCTGGAGAGGGGCCATCTCTTAATAATAGATGAGGGATAAGGTATTCCGGGTCTCCCCATTCTTTTTCTCGTGTTCATACATACCCTCGCGCTCTTCTTCCTGTTCTCCACCCCTTTCCCATCCCCCCCCCCCCCCCCCCCCCCCCCTCCTTTTTTTTTTTTTTCCTTTTTTCTGTTTATAGATAAGATGTTCAGGATGGAATGATGGACTTTTCTTGATGCCGTGTAGAAAAAAAAAAAGATGTTTATCACTTACAAAAAACAAAGATGGCGGTTACAATGTGCATGACTGGGAGTTTTGAGGAGGGCTATCGGCATCTAGAGAGAGACTTTTTTTCTTAGCAAAAGAACGTGGTGAATAGGCGACGAGAGAACGTGCTTCTGATGTTAGCTGGCATGGCTGGTAGTTATTTTCACACCTCGTCCAATCCTTTCTTTCACATCCACCTTCCCATCCCACGCATGATTCCGGGTCTGGATAGATGGTCGTCGCCTAAAGTTCCTATTGTTTATTTCCATATCCCATTTGATAAGAGGAGGTGTCAACAGTGGCGGAATCTCCCCTAGTCCTTGCGTTTTTGGGCTCATAACCCGAACCCGAACCCGGACCAGCAACCAGCACGCGGCTGAGGACCTAATAAGGGGAACTTACTCTAATGACAAGAGGATGTCGTTTTTGTGACCCGGATGATCATCTCAGGAACCAATACCGGTGAGCTTGATTGAATCGAGAGAACAAACGGTCCTCGGTAATTGATCAAGGAGATGAGAAAGACGCATCGAGCGACGAGCGACGAGCTCCGGTTATGAAGCAATATCAATCTCTGTCAAGGGTGTTTTCCCACACATCATTATCACAAACAGATATAAATGACGATGCACACCCTAATTCGCCTATCAACTCCAATCTCCTGTCCTCCGGGCACATTACCTTCACCGTCGTATCACCGAAGAGGTATGGAAGCAAAAGGGGGACAGCTCAGCCAAAGGTCCGAGAACAAAACAAAACAAGCTAATCTTAACAACCTTATCCGCATTCCCCTTTCTCACCCGGGCATGGTGGTCCCCCACCGTTCAATATCGAATATCGAAGGTCGAAGGCTGACCCCGCTCCGCTCAGGGGAACCGGCCAATGTTGGCTTCTCGTCGACCGCCTCTTCAATGCCATCCCGTGTCTTTTAATTTATGCTTCTTCCTTCACGTGTTCTATACTTTTCATCCCAACTTTCGATCTGATTCGAGTGCACCCTGTACCCGTTTTTTCTCTTCTCAGTCTTTCTCTCAGTATTCTCGTCTCCCCTACGCCGCCCCACCCATCCAACCTTAATTTCATGCCGAGCCCGGCATGAGTGTGGACAGCCACTCGCCATCTTGCCCCTGGACTTGGCTGGCCCTCTTCCTCTCTAGCGATGTAACGATGCCTCGCTCGGCCCAAGCTTCTGGCCCTTCTCCGGGGATGGAGGGGTTCGCTGCAACCTCCACAGCAGCGCTCCCTCGCCACCCTGTCACTTTGGCAATAAGGCTAGAGAGAGAGGGAGCGGGGAAAGGAGGACAACTCGGAGGGGGAGGCGAAGCAAGAGGAGGGTCCAACTCGGGAATTTACAAGTCGGCAGAAGGGAAAAGGGCGAAGGAGATGATGGGTAGGGAGGGATGGGTCGCATTCGGAAGTTGGATAAGTTGTTTCTTTCGTCCTTTTGCATCTTTTTTCTTGTAAAATATCCTAGATTGGCCGACTTACATGCATGCTCACACACACCTTCGGCCCGTCTAATACGGCGAAAGAAAAATTTCCAACATCATCAATTGATCTTGTATGGACCGCTAATGGTCGTACATGATGATACCTTTTCGTTTTCTTCCCCTTTTGGCTTTTCCCGGAATTATGGAGGAAGTTTCTTCCCCACCATCAAAGGACCATCGCATCACGATAGATTGTAGGGCAATCACGCAGTCTCCCAAAGCCAAAAGAAGGAGAGCCGCCCCAAGAGTTGCAATATTGAAGCGGCGAAAAGCCCCGCCTCATAAACCAAACCCCGAGGTGTCCGGCGAGGCTAGAATGAAGAAGACGCGAGCCATGAGAGACAAAGAATCGATGGGTCGGAGACCTCGTTCCAGGGCGCCTCGTGCTCTTCGACTTTCCAGGTCTTTTTATCCACCGACCTGTCGGAGAACAGAAGCCAATCAAAAAGATTCTCGCGATGTGGCCTTTCTGCTGCACTGTAACATTCCTTTTTTTTATATTAAAAAGAAAAGAAAGAAAGAAAGCGGCTCACTCTGTCTCGTAACTCGCCGTACGATCTATCCTCTCTAAACCGCTCTAAGTAAACTATACCGTCCTTCTTGTCGGCCGTGTTTCCATGTCCCGTCCGCTTCTTTCTTTTCTTCTTCTTTTCATTCTTGGCTCTGCAAGGGGTAAAATTGCATCAATGGTCGCGGGAAATAGTAGAAGAGAGGGAACGGAGGGAGAGAAAACGGGAATCTGGTCTTTGTTTGCATAGTACCCTCCTCTACGACACTCTGCATCAAAAGAACGCCCGCAACCGAGAAGAGGATGCTTATTTTTTTTTTTTTTTCCTAGATTGTGGCGCGTGAGAGCGACGGAAATTCAGTGTTTTCCAGGTAATAATAAAGGTCCCAATCTCGTTTCCAAGGTCCCGGCGGCAGTTATCGTCCTCTCCTCACCTCACAGATTGCCAATTGGCAATACTCTTGATATAATCTTCCTAGATTATCATCCCGAAAGGTAGACCAAACGACAATGGGAAATATTATACCCGTGCTAATTACTTAAACGAGGTGTGTCTCGAAGAGCACCACTGTTCTTATCCATCGCTCGGTGTGTGCTGGATCTCTCCACCCTGACAATAACCTCGATAATAAAATGGCGTCGTTCCGATTCTTTTCATCACCTTTACTCCTACTCCGAAGGGGCCGTTTAATCATGCTAAAATGTCTCGCTCATTTCCATGTCACCACCTTTTTATGAAGCAGCGTCGGCGTGATCGATCCTGTGTTATAACGCCATCCTTCTCGACTACACGATGGATATATCATGCTAATACGAGGAAGAGATGCATAGGCGAAGGGAAAGGACCCATAATAAAGGCATTCGACAACTTGATGGGTGTCCGCCTACATGGGGGAGCAGGCATAATGGACCAGAAAAGGGAGTAAAGACTCGACAAGTTGAGGAGAGGGCAATATTCAACTTCTCATTTCCTAGGAACAGCCGACATCTAATAAACGTCATATTAACTACGGGCGGTCGAGATAGCCAGACCCGGGTCTCGCACCAGCACACGTGCGTCGTTCAATATCTGAAGTACCTACCTCGCCGTGTAATTCCCCTTACGAGCTCTGCCGGTAACTTTACTTGTTGCTGTCTGCCAGGTCACGTCTACTATATTCCGGGTTGGCGCACATCTTGTGCTGCGTATGAAGCGGGAAGCAAGACAGCACAGCCTCAATTTCTTCAATTTCTTCACATGAATAACGTTCAGATCACACCTGCCATGCTAACGCTGAAAGGGTCCTGGTGCCATTTTGCCATGTCGCGGTGAATTTCACAACTTCGCGTTCGCTAGTGCCCCAACTTCAGTCGGCTCGATAGTCTTGCACAGGTGGCGGGAGGATCGGGGGCTCGCCGTGAGATTCGGAAGTCTAGCGCAACGTCTAAGAGCTAGGAACCCAGACGCCAACATTGCCCGCCAACAGCTACCGTCGCAAATCGATAGTACCCCCTCTCGTCGCTCTGTCTTAGGCCGCATCCGTACGTTCTGTCGCAAGTACGAAGTAAGTGCCGAAAGCAATATCGCTAATCCAATTGACCGACCTTCTACTGGCCGAGTGTTATTCCGTCTTTGGGGGTGCCTGTAGCACTATCGGGGTAATGAATAGGCCACCATCCTCGTGAGAGTACTCTTGCTCTCTGTCCCCTTCTCAGATCGTACGTGGAAAGGAGGAGCGGGGTCCGTATATACAGAACAGCTTAGCGAATGCAGGTCCGGAGGACTTTCATCTCCCAGAGGCTGTGGAACCGGGTTCAGAGCCTGGTACAGGCCTTCGGTTATCATGGTGCTTGGACGGGTAAATATCGATAGAGACTTCCTGATTGACTCTCCGCTCGCCACATGCTGAGTAGCTGTCGACACATCGTCAAAGTTCTGCGAGGAAATCCCCGCCCAAGAAGCCGTCAAAGAGAGACTTCATCACTCAACTGGCAATCCCAATCTGTATGTCGAAACAGCCGGGACGGCTATAATGGACCCTGCTTTGTCGACATCGCCGGGACTCGAGGAAAGGAAAGATGGCGAACGCGGCAGGATTTCTGGGAGGCTATCGGGGACAGTCGAGTCTTGTTCCCGCGCGTGTATATAAAGAGCTTCCTGGGACCCATGACACCTGGAAGTCTAATAAAGCGTCACCATACGACTTGTCGCCAGCGGCAGTGTTTCGCCTTCCTTGATTCTGCGCCACCAATATATCTCGTCCATTGTCTCGAATCAAGATGCATTACCTTAGCAAGACCTTCGGCCTTCTTATGGTCATAAACGGCGTCGCGTCCGTCGCTGTTCCCAGACACGTACTAAAACCCTTGTTGATGTTCCCGTCTGCTTCGATAGTATGATGCTGACTCCGCACGTTATAGTCACGCCGCTCTGCTCCTTGCGCGAGGGAAGTCCAAGGGCTGTGCGCCTCCAATAACGCTGCCGCCGGTCAACTCTTGCACTTGGAATGCATTGACAAAGTATGGACATGCGTTCACCGCGCCGTGGAGGCAGAGTCGCAGGGCCTTGTAGTACTGGCAACTAGAGCTGGGTGCTCGGCGAAGAGAGATGTCGGTTGCTTAGTTACCCGACAGGAAGAAGGGGAGCCCCCCGCCGAAGAGGAAGCTCCCGTTGAAGAAGAAGCCCCGGCTGAGGAGGAAGCCCCCGCGGAGGAGGAGGCTCCAGTTGAAGAGGAAGCTCCTGCCGAGGAAGAAGCCCCGGCCGAAGAAGAGGCTCCCGCTGAAGAAGAAGCCCCGGCTGAGGAGGAAGCGCCAGCCGAAGAAGAAGCTCCTGCCGAGGAAGAGGCCCCCGCGGAGGAGGAAGCGCCAGCCGAAGAGGAAGCTCTTGTTGAGGAGCCCCCAGCGGAAGAGGCTCCTGAGGAAGAAGCGCCAGTAGAAGAGGAGGCTCCAGCTGAAGAAGAGGCCCCCGCTGAGGAAGAAGCTCCTGCCGAGGAGACCCCCGAGGAGCCCCCTGCGGAAGAGGCTCCTGAGGAGGAAGCTCCTAAGGAAGAGGAAGCCCCTGTCGAGGAGGCCCCTGAAGAGCCCCCCGCGGAAGAGGCCCCCGTCGAAGAAGCTCCCGTCGAAGAAGAAGCTCCTGTCGAAGAGGCTCCCGAGGAAGAAGCTCCAGTAGAAGAGGAGGCTCCTGTTGAAGAGGAAGCCCCGGCTGAGGAGGAGGCCCCCGAGGAGGAGGCTCCTGCCGAAGAGGAAGCTCCTGCCGAGGAAGCCCCTGAGGAGGAAGCACCCGTCGAGGAGGCGCCTGAGGAGGAGGCTCCCGCTGAAGAAGAAGCCCCTGCAGAGGAAGAAGCTCCTGCTGAAGAAGAGGCACCTGCTGAGGAGGCCCCGGAGGAGCCTCCAGCGGAAGAGGCTCCTGAGGAAGAGGCTCCTGAGGAAGAGGCTCCTGAGGAAGAAGCTCCCGTCGAAGAAGAGGCCCCCGCAGAGGAGGAAGCCCCAGCCGAAGAGGAAGCTCCCGCTGAAGAGGAAGCCCCGGCTGAGGAAGCCCCTGAGGAGGAAGCACCTGTCGAGGAGGCGCCCGAGGAAGAGGCTCCCGTAGAAGAGGAGATTCCCGCCGAGGAAGAGGCACCTGAGGAGGAGGCACCTGAGGAGGAGGCACCTGAGGAGGAGGCACCTGAGGAGGAGGCACCTGAGGAAGAAGGCCCTGAGGAAGAGGAAGCACCAGTCGAAGAAGAGCCCGAAGAGCCTGAGGAGCCTGTCGAGGAGGAGGATTAAGGTCAAGGTTGGCTGGACCCAAAACACTTCACTTTCATATGAACCTCTTGTATTTTTTTTCTCCTATCTTATCTTCTTGGGAGGATATATATAGTCGTGTCATTTAATCCTCTCGTCTTACATATTCTTTACCACGTCACCCTCCAGCTTTGTCGAAGAGACGCCTGTACGCTTCCACCTTCTTTCTGGCAGAAATTGAAGTTCAAGTTTCCCCTCCTTTATAGCTCGTGATTGTGACCGTTTGCGGCGCGAGAAAAACGTGCCCGTGTGGGTGAGTGGGTGAGTCCTGGTGCTTCGGATTTCTACTTCGATGTTCATCGACAGCTCCCTGTTGCGTTAGTCAAACCGAGTGTAATATGTAGCATTGTATGACGGCTTCTCCAGAGGCCATCTGCTCTCTGCAAGTCTCGCATCATCAACGCAAGGCAGGAAACTTCGGGGCCGTCCCGTATCCAATTCCGTAAGGTTTGGTTCGACATCACCGTTAGCTGGCCGGCAGCGCATGGGACGACATGGTATATTTCAGCCAACAACTCAAGAAGCTGGGAAGAGTCTGTCTGTCGCGGAAGTAGATCTCGATCTCGAATTTACGATTCGACTCAGGCGAAGAGGGATGGGATACCGAGGAGAGAAAGTTCGAGGAATCGACATCGACCACGCAACCCGGTTGGTTAGGCCAGTCCTAGAAATCGTAGTTCAACGGGGCTTGAGTCGCGAGATCATCGCTGAACACGCTCGTCGTGATTTGCGGTCCCCTCAATAAAAGACACAGCCATGGATCAGGACGTCCGTGGAGTTAACATCTCCCTCTATCTCGGTCGAACGAGTTTGGAAGAAGAAGGACTTGGGCGACTTCCCCTTTCATGCTAACCTCGACTGTCAAAGCAAAAGGAGAGTGCATTCGTACTACGTCCGTCTGAGGGGTCTCGCCTTCTGGATTCCATCAGCAAGGAACGAGGTAAATTCCTCCGGGCCTTCGCGTTCGTTCTGCCCCCTATACGAAGGACGAAATCGGCAGGTCCTGCCTCATTAGTCTCGCGGACCATTCGCCCTGATCTCGCTTGGTGCTCGAACCAACTTACCTGCTGCCAGCAAAGTAGTTTACGAAGGAGGACCATCGGCCCCACTGCCCCTGCGTTTGCCTCCTTGAGAAAATGGAGTTTAGCAGCCCTGAACTCCGATCCCTCCAGCCTCTACACTAGACCGGGCCCCGTCATCTCAGGTATGGGAAGGTAGTAATCGCGGTAAATTAGACTACGACCATAAATGGCTTCGCGGTGGCAATCGAGAACTGACGAACCACTTTCCCAGCCAAGGATAAAGTCCCTATGCATTCGTGGAGCAATGTCCTTCCTCAGGCCCGCCACTTGGGCCCTCCTAATGGACCAAGCTCGAGGGAGTAATAATAATTGAGCTGTCAAGGCGGAAACAGATTGACGATCATTGGCCAAGCCACGATCAGCATGATGACCAGGGTGGTTCACCAACCAAGTGACAGAGATGAGAGCCAAGCCACCATGCCTTGCAGCGGCCCTTCTCATCTATCCCACAAACCAAAAAGCTTGGAAATGCTCCCGTTCCTGCCAAGGAGTGTACGAAGTACGTACGCTCCAAAGTGACCGAGTCCGTGTGTGATAAGTTAAATTACGCCAAAATGACCAGCGTCTCGCCGGGCCTAGTCACAGTCGAAGAGGGCAGAGACTTGATTTGCGCAAAGACCCCGGCCGAGGAGGACTGTCATTTTTTGGACAAGATTGGCTGTTAAGGGGAAAATTACACCATTGCAACTCTCCTAAAAAGGGCGGCTCCGGGGTGGTCGGTGAGTCGATGCCTCGATAGACTGGGTCTAGTCAAGCACGAAGTTTGCGTACGGGGAACGGGGCAGTAGATGGACTGGATAAGCGGTCTAAGTGAGTGAGTGGTATTAGTGGATGATTACTTCGTAGGCAATTACCTATTGCCCTTGGACCGCCATACCGCCATAGACCGCCAGGCTCAGGCTCTTTGAGCGTAACGCTGCGGTTGTCTTCTCGCCGTTCTGCTGCCATTACGCACCGGGAAGCACAATATCAACCAGTTATTGCTGCTTGACAAACCGGCATTTATTGGGATTCAACATGGACTTAGTGTAGGGTCAGCGCGAAGCGGATCCGCAAAACTTGAAAGCTGGAGCAAAGTGGTTACCCTCTACCAGGGACTCTTAGACTGAAGAGAGGGAGATCACTCCGCTTGTTTCACTTAATATCCTTGCCCTTGCCCCAGTGGTACTGCCCGACGTGAGAGGACTACGAAGTGCTGGGGGAAAAACGGGGGAATGCGGCATCTCATCTCAGACATTTCCTCCAGAGCCTCCGTATTCTATTCATGAAGATGTCTGAGTATCATTAATCCAAGAAAGACGTTCATCACAGTGACACACACACACACGATCAATAATCTGAATGACAACCCGCCCGCCCTTCTCGAAAGAAACGAAGCATTGTAAATCTGGGGAAAGCCGGAGCCGTCTGTGACAATCCAGGACCAAACCATTCGCCAGTCCCGGGTACTTCGCACGCATCAATATACTCATCACACCAATAATGAGTACCCCAAAACTACTCTCATGCCGCCTTCACCGACCCAGATCTCTTGACAGTGTTTCCACGCTTTTAAACAAGTTCCGTTTCTTCTTTTGGCCGATTTCTTCGGCATTAACTGCAGGCGTTCACAGCCTCCTTTCCAGGGATCGATTCTTGATATTGCCGCCTCAAATGGGGACCGGGACCCCCAAGATCGGGAGCAGCTATTTTGCTTGTCAGTGGGGAGAGGGAACCCCTTCCATCAAAGGCGTACGCCACGCTAATAAGCTCTGGGTCCACCGACCGGAATCTGCATGGCGATGGGAAACAAGGTTCAGGTCACTCCTCCAAAAAGCTCAAAAGGGGGACCCGCCAATGAGGCCTTTGCACCCTTGATTTCCAGTTCAAGAGGGCTTGAGGTTAGAGATACTTTGCATACAGTGCGTGCCCAGGGGTATATCCCGAGGTACCTGACAATAGATATACCTCTGGTGGATTGGCCTGGGCCTTTTCGGAGGGTGAACCGCGAGGGAGATGGAAGGAGGGAGAAGACTATTATTGTGGGTAAGTCGATCATGCCTCGTAGCTTAGATCAATCAAGTTCAAAGGCAAGCGTCAATGGAGGTTCCTCATTTCCACACGCGGGTAAGTCCTTCGTATGGAGCGCTGCTATTTCGGTCGCAATACTCTCGAGGATTGGCGTACTGCCCAGTCTCACACCGAGGGCGAATGGACTGCTACTTTGTACACACGTACACTACATTGCGTTCTGTTTTATGATCAGGGTGCCCATTCTTTCCTTTGATTAGAATCATCTGTCATCGGACCAACCAGCACGAACAACTCGGCCGATCGGGATCCAGCAATGACGCCAATGTAAATTGCATCATCGGAATTGAAACTTGCTCTTGTAGCAGGTAAAGGGCAGGAGGGAAGTAGGGCTGTGCTCTGTGCTTTAGTGAAGTGAATACGCCTGAAGATCTCTGATGATCAGTTCCCACATCAGCGAGAGTGAAAGATGCACGAGGGAGATCCAGCAGTTATCCTTGGACGACATTCTGGAACTCATGGAAACCCCACCGCCAGTGCTCACTTCTTTCCAAGGAAAAACCCATGGCGGCTCATCTAGGATTTGACAGACGGTCCAATATCCTAAGTCATCACCGGGAAGAAGCGACATTTGCCTTGCGTAGGGTAAATTTCGATTACCAGGTCAGAGGTCATCTTGCGCATATTAGCAATTTGATTACTCCGTACTCTCGAATCTCACAATGCAGGGACACCTGCCATTCCATCGTTGCATGCCAACGAGCTACGCCAGCGAGTAACACTGGCTGGCCGTAAGACAATACGAGATGGGTAATATAACGTTCGAATTAGAGAGTACTTTTGCTCACCGCACCAACATTCCGACGAAGTAGCAAACTGGAGCATGAAAGGTATCCCCCGAGCGAAATAGTTTGATGGAGAAGATCGTGGACAATTGGACACTGTGCCCTGTGAGTACCTCGATGGAGCACGGTTCGGACGAGCGCTAAGGTACGTGCATAATACCTTCGAAGGTGTGATAACCTGGCGAGATGCCGCTGTCACTGCTGGTAGTTGGTAGGAGCCAGATGTTTCGATCTCATGGACTCATGCTTCGTAGTTTGTACTGTATTCAATGTTCCTGCATTAGCGCCCTTTTTGGCTGTGACCGAGTCGTGTGTGCATAACCTCATGTTACTATAAGATTAGTGTTCAGATCTTGATATTTTCTTATGAAAGGGTGCTGGGCTGTGCAGAATCGGTCGTTTCGACTTTTGTGCAACCCCATCCGCCGATCCACAGTCAGATATCGAGAGCCCACATTTGCCTCATGGCATCATTTCCCACCATTCACGGAGAAAGTACAGAGGGAATGGGAATCGATCTTGAGGAGACGCCTCGGCAGTTTTCATCTGGGTCTCCAGGTTTGCGCACAAGTACGAAGTCAGAGTTATGCAGCAGGCGCAACAAATCGGTGATGGCGTTAATGGGCTCATCCAGACTAACTGCGAGGAGTCTCGTGCTCATGCGCATTCGATCTTGCAAGTCGGCGCTACTCGTAGGTACGTGGCCAGCGATGCGGTCAGAGACGCCAGCGCACGAAGTTGCTGCCCGCTGCTTTAGCTGGACGTGCAGGCGAGGCTTCAGCACCAACAGACCAAGTAAACCCGAGGGAGGCCTACGTACGAGGATACCGCATATGCCCCTTTACCACTGCAAGGTGGAAGACCGGCAACGAGATCTTCTCGTAACTTGGAGCTTTAGAACAAGAAGATGCGCCGGAAGATACTTTACAATTATTGCGGTAGCACGGTTGCTGTCAACATCTTCGGACATTATGCGGTCGGTATTCGAGAATGAATCAATTCGGAGGGACGCTGTCAAAAAAGGAGGTGCTGCACTGGTGACCGACCGATGGAACGTGCCAGTGTCAATCAAGGAAACAAGAGAGGGTACAAAAAAACAGTATGAATAGAAATTAGATGACGGAGTTAATCGAGCACGGATACGTACTTGGTACATCGCGCCTCGAAAGGGGGAGCACGACTAGCCCACCAATGGGACCATCAGGATTGGGGTTCTGGCGCTGGTCAGGGTCATTTCCCTGGATTTAGCGCTGCTTCCTCATCTTTGGACAGCGACCACGCTGGCGACCAGGGGCAACGACTGAACAAGGCAAAGCGGATCGGAGATGCTTCGATGCTCTCCTTGTCAGTCTAAGTAGTGTGTGTACTTCGTACATAGTGTGCATACACTACGGTACCCGAATGGAAATGGCACGTCCCACTTCAACTCCTGCTCATGATCAAGGACCAGCGATGCAGTGTGCACTCCACCCCAAGGTACCTGGTCGTGTACATACAGACCGCCAGCAAATCTCTCCTCCCTTGCCTGCCCTTTTCCATCCCCTGACCAGGGTTCCTTTGCTGATGAAGAGACGAAATATGAACTTTGCCGCCCTTGGGCTAGCGTCCGGGGTGAAGATAGCAGAAAGAGACGTGTATCTTCTGGCGCTTGTACCCTTGCCACGGGGTTGGACTGGAAGGGGGACTTTGGGATGCTAATTTCCCAGCCTTTACGACCTAATCCACGTCCTATGTACACTCCGTAGCGTAGCAACTGCAAGCTCCCAATGAGTGAGTGAGATGGAAAGAGAGGAGAGCGGGAGATGGGAGAGGGAGGTGGCAAAGGATATGCTCCCTTGAGCTGGTTTCCCCGAGTTCGAAATTCTATTAATACGGGTTCGTCCTCCATCCAACTTGCGTCTTTTTTTCTCCTCATTCTCATCACCAGCTCAAACTTTCCAATCAAGCCTCAGCTGACTCTTTGACTTCGGTCGTCCACTCTTTACTTAACTCTCTTAAGCTTACGCTTTATCCATTCGTTAATACCTCTTAATAACCTTTTTCGTTTACGAAAAACTTTCCAACCTCACCGTCAAAATGAAGTTCACTGCCGTTGTCTTCCTTGCCGCTGGCGCCATGGCCGCCATTGCCCCCGAGCCCGTTGAGTCCGTCGTTGAGTCCGGCGTCACCTCCGCCGCTCCCGTCGAGAGCGAGGCCGTCACCAGCGCCAAGAAGTGGACCACCTCCACTGTCTACGCGACCACCGTTCTGACCATCACCGACTGCGAGGACACCGTCACCGACTGCCCCGGAGACGCCACCAAGGTCGTTACTGAGACCGTCGCCGTCTCCACCACCGTCTGCCCCGCTGAGGAGGGTGAGGACGAGCCCACCACTCTCATCCCCGCCCCCACTGGTGGCGTCGAGGAGCCCGAGCCCGAGGAGCCTGAGGAGCCCGAGACCACCGAGGACTCTTCTCCCGAGCAGCCCGAGCCCACTGAGGCTCCTGAGCCCGAGTGCCCCGTCACCAAGGTCAAGACCATCACCACCAGCTACACTACCGTCATCCCCACCGTCATCATCGAGACCGTCGTTGAGGACTGCCCCGCCCCTACCGGCGGTATTGAGCACCCCGTCCCTACTGGCTCCGTTCCCGGAAACGGCACGTAAGTTGAATCCCCCATAGTAACATCTGCGCAAGTACGATCGACACTGACTCAATCTTTCAGCTCCCCCGGTGGTCCTTCTCCCCCCATCACCGCCGGTGCCGCTTCCATGGCCGGCTCCATCTTCTTCGCCGCTGCTGCCGGTATTGCCGCCTACGCTTTCGCGTAAATTTTCTCTTCTGCTTTCACCTTTTGACAAGATGAAACTCGGGAGCTTGAGAGTATAATTTTCTAAGGGAGAAGGGGTTCTAACGTTCAAATTCTTATGACCACTTTTTTCGAACGCAAGCGCGAGCTTTTACGAAGAGCTTGTATGGCATGTAAAAAGTTTCCTAGGGCTTTTCAATACCAGCATTTTTTTGATCTCATGGGACGCAAACAAGATTTTTTGTTTTTGATATCATGGCATTTTTGATGTTTCCTCTACTTTGTAGCTTAATTTTCTAATAACGGTGGTGCTCCGGAGTTGTTTCTGGGTTTGCGCCGAATTTTCCAAAACATCTGCACTGCTCTCGAAAATTACCATGGTGAAATGAACAGTAAACAGAAGAACATCCGGAGCCGCCGAGTTAGTGGGGGATCGACCTTCGGCTTCGGCGGTATTCCAGCGATTACGTCCAGAAGATCACCTCCTGTCGTCCCGGTGACAAACACAACTCGCAAGGACCAGGATCCCACTGGCAAGTAAGATTACAAGTTATCTCGGATCAGGAGCGATCTCTTCAAATCAGGCAAGTCCTAAGCGACTCTTGTCCTTCTTAATCTGCCGGGGGGGGGCCTGTGTGGAGTCCAGGAATGGGGATACCTTCCTCCCTACGAAGGGCGAAGTAACGCACCCGACACAGCGCAAGGAAGAGCCGGACGAAATTTCTCATCTCCCCTTTCATTGAAATATCAGGTGTGTGTGTGGGGACCCCTTCTTTTCCAGGATCGCCGAAATTACAGCGTTGCACCACATACGTCCCCTCTGCCACCCCCTTCCTGGGAAGAAAAATCTTGGTTCGTTCGTTCTTGAAACGACATATCGACCAATAGACTTTGCTGAAATGAAGAGAGGTTTCCTGCAAGGTACCTGGGTCCAGTTCACAAATTGGGCGGGGGTTTTCTCTTTGACTTTTTGGTACCTGACGCTTTTGCTGGGGTTTATCCCCTTTGGGACGTTTATGTGCATGCCCTTGCACCACTTTTTTATCCAAGATTACCTTCGGAAGGTGGTGGCGTCAATCGAGGGTGGTTTGCCAGTGGGCGATTGGGGGAAAGGAGCTCATTTCGTTGATGGGATGCAATGGCCCGGATGCACTCGGTGGCGGATGTGGATGGATTTGGTTAGTAGTCGAGAGGAGATGACAGCAAGATTTGGTGTGAGCTTGTCGACAGATCTGGAATCTGTTCACGTTGGGTTGGACGACTTGGGCCTGTTCTATTGATTTCCAAGCCGTCCTGTTGGCTACAAAGTATATGAGCCTTCCCAAGTCCCCGATTCCCTCAGTCGATGTGTTGGTGGCTGCATCTTCGTCGGGGCCTACGAAAGCAGCTCGCGTGATGGCCCAACCAACTCACGATGCAGAGACTAGCAGGCAATAGTTCCTTATACCTTTGTATATCTCTCATCATCATCATCCGACCCGACAAAATAGAGGCCCCCCAGAACGAGAATAGGCGTTGATCTTGCCATCACCGAACGGTGAGAACGGAGATCACCTATTCCCCCTTTTTCACGTCTTCTCGGTACAAACCGCCGGAGTCGACTTTAATGGACTGCCGTTCCGAGATTCACTCAACCCAATCTCCAATCTCTCCCGCAGTGGCGTGGACCTTCCCGAGACATCTGGTCAAGCTTGCAGTAGCGTCTGGGTCCTGCGCTTTGTCTCACATTGCACAACGCCCGGCGGCGGGGGTGTTAATCACATCGTGGATTGGGTCGAATTGAATCTCGCTGTGATTTTTTTTGTCTTTTTCTTTTTCTTCTTGGTTCTTTTTCTCGTCGTGGCTTGATGTTAGTTGTGGGCATCATCTTCCCGGGCTTTTTATCTCCATGAAACTTCCTAACCGGCCGGGTCAGCTTTCCGAGTGGGTATCGAACGGCAGGGAGGCGAGATCCGCATTCCAGCATTCATCATTGCTTTCCGCCCGCTTGTGGAAAGGCTTGTTTGGTTTGGGGGCATATATCGGGCCCGCGAGGATGAGCCGCCGGTCATCCCGGCCGTCGTGAGCCATTGTCTCACTCGGGAGGCATCCCGATGGAGCGATGAAGAATTGAATCGTCTCGGGATTTGAAGTGACTCAAGTTCTTGAGTCTTTGAGAGGAGAAATCTGCATTAGGTTTCGCCACGAGTCCAAAGGTCTCGAAGACAAGACTTCGTCAACCAGAAGAAGGTGTCAATCTGAGGCGGTTGGCAGATCCACAAACTCAGTTTGCACGTTTGCACGATACTCATAGAATCTTTGAGCAAGCGTTGAATTCCTCGTGAAGACGTGCTTCGTTGTAAAAACTACGAAGGATCAAGATGCCAAGATCTCCCTACACTAGACCAGAGATATATGCACGGGCAGACCATCGGACCCGGGAGCGCGGGTCGCCGATCTTGGGTCCTTCGCCCTGCTTCCCGTTTCCGGGCTTAGTGTAAGTGCTATATAGTAATCTTCGCTCACGATCCTGGGGAAAGAGGCTGATATGCCAAGACGTTGTGGATAAGATCAAATGCCCCTGGTCCAGTCCGCCTTTGCTCACATCGCACCCTGATGGCTGCTGCCTGGGCCATCAACACGAGTGAGAAGCACTTTAAGAATCCCTTTCCCTCGCCCGATTCAAACTTCGGGGATCCGTCTTGAAGAATCGTCGACAAGGGAAGCGCCGAGATCCATGCGACGACGGTGTGACTAGTATTGCTCTTATTACCATGCAATACGTGCTTACCGGTGGTTCTTGCTCAAGAGAAGCTTGAACACTGGGCTGCAATCGATCCACGATGCGTGAAATTTGAAGCCTCGGACGCAATGTTTTCCATCGCACTCGGCCGGCAGAAGAAAGAGGGCAAGTTTCTCGGGATCCGACAACATCGAGACCCCCCCCCCCCCCCCCCCCCCCCCCCCCCCCCCGCGGAAGTTTACGGTGTTTCCAAACCCCGTCCCCGGGTAATGATAAACCGCCCACTCCCACATCTAAATGCAGTTTACGGCCGCGAGAAAGAACCATCGACACCGTCCTCATAAGATTATTGCCTATCCGCCTCCGTCTCCTCCTCGAATCCACTCGATCCCTCTTTCCCAAAATGGTACCTTGCCTCTCGTAACCTCGACACTATATCCGTCGAGTAATCCTCGCACGACCTCCGAGCGGTACCACCGAGACTATTAGTCTCCTTCTCGATTAACTTCCCAAGAGAATGTTGCGGTCCCTACACGGTTCTCGGGCGTTCGGCGTGCGGGCAGAGCAGAGCACGAGCTGCTGAGCTTAACGGGTGAAAAGCAGTCGGCTGTCGTCTTCTTCCCGGCCACGGAAGATGTCTGCGTGATGAGAGGTGTCGCCTAGGAATCAGCGTTTGGCACTGGGTCGACGTGCCGTTTAGTCGACGAGTGATGCATGGACATGAGCTCCTCGATAATAGGCTTCGTCTCCGTCTTACTAACCCGGAAGAGCTTGAACTCCAGGCATACGTGGCAGTATGCCAGGGCGTAACCAGCAATAAACTCAAGCGAGGATTGGTGCCGGGACCGCTAGACGTCAAGGGATATCAGCGGGGAGTCGAAGGATCAGTCTGGGTTTCAAAGCCTGAGGTATGAAGAAGCGGCTCCTTGGCCTGGAGCACGCGCGGTTGATGCGACTTGCAGAGGGATCGGTATCTAGCACGCGTCGCTGGAGTATCATCATGAGTTGCGCACAGCCTGATTCCGTGAGGTAAGAAGGTATTGTATTCGAGGGAGTTGGTCGACGTTAGAGGGCCGCTGTAGTGGCTGTCCTGTGGAGAAGTTCGTTCCTCTTTTCATCCTTATATCCCATTCTTAGCATCATGATGCCCCAGCGACGAGACTCGAGAACCGAGCCCAGTACAGGACGGTGGGAGATTTATCAGAACCCAGCCACGCAAAATTGATGCCATGCGGTTTTACCAGGGCCTCCGAGATACATGGTTGAAATTAAGTCTCGGCGTCTCAGATTTGAGTGCTTGCAGATCACGATGCCGTTAGTCTGTCACATTGCCCTCAAACTTCGATAACTCTCTCCCCCCAACCAAGAAGCACATCGAGCCCAAATTACAGGTCGAGAAACAACATAGCAGGTTCCGTGGGGGGAGGCATCGATGATCAAGGACAGGGCAGCCGAGCTTTGGACTGCGTCATTGCCAGACGCAAGCCGATGTGTGTCCTTTTTTTTGCCCCTGATCTACCTTCGTACCTGAGCTCAAAATAGATGCCGAGAGGAATCTGTATATGTCCCCCCCGCATGTCTGCAGACAACGGTCCTCTCCCTCTCCTCTGCATCAGCCAACGGTATAATCAATCTCAATCAGCAGGAGACGAGAAGAATTCATATTCAGTTCCAGGCAGGAAAGAAAATGCAATAATTAATTCCGTGGTCCCATCCCGTCAATCCTCCGTTCCGCCACGTCCCCCTCTCCCTCCATTCAAGCAATCACGAATCGCGTGGAACGTTGAACCTTTGATACATTAGATGGTAGCGAGAAAGATGGATCAACAACATCCAAACGGATCTCGCTACGACATACAAGGACGGACGAAAAGCCAGAAGTAGCACCCACTGCTCTCCGAAGGCTTGTTTAACAACGCAAAGAAATTAGGGCGCTGTTCCACCCTTCTGGAACAAGGAGGTCTCCAGGCAGTGAAGGTGACGAAGGAGCAGTGATTCAAACGTTTTGAAAACTGATTAGTCGAGATATATCTCAATGCTCATAACATCTCCCGAAACGGCGCAATACCTCCGCTAGGAGTTGGATAATGAGGACGAGAGGCTGGGACAGGAATAAATTGCATCGCGCAGAGAGACTTCTTTTCTTCCATGGCGGACTTCGACTTGGACCTCGGAGGCGATCCCAAAATCTGGCCCAATCGGGAATTCTTGTAATAGGAACGAGCCGCGCGGCCCAGATATTGACACATTTATTTTCCCTTCTATCCTTGTCCTGCTGCCAAACCTCAGGGGGCGATCTAGTTCTTTGAAATATTCCCCTTGCGCGAGGAGAAACAAGACTATGATGGGATTCTGAGTAAGATTAGAGCCGAATCCCAGTTTGACCTGTCCTTCTCCCCCTCTGCCAGGAAGGAACCTAAAGTAGGACACGGGAGGGCGGAAGGATCGTCAGAAATACATCCAAGATGGATGGATCGCCAGAACCGGCTGCAAATCATCGGTTCTCCCATGGTAAAAGCCAATCTCTCGAGAGCTATATACCGTGTTAGGATGCCATGGGAGAATCCTGCTTCGGGACGGCCGCACGCACACTCATTTCCTCCACGTATTCTCCAACGCCAGAGAAGGAGGAGGCACTTTGTACTTCCTTCATATGCCACACACCCACGGCTAAAATGCTGCCCTCCGGATCATAGCCGGAGACGAAGAGGGGGACGCAAAGAGCAGGCGAAGAAGAAAAGTAGACATCTCTATCTCCAGATACGTTCTCTGCATCCCTTGTCACTCACGTCTGTTTCCCGAATAATACAACTAATACATTCGGTGGGCTCATTTATATATACACATGCACATTTAGCGCGATAGTAAGGAGGGGAGAGACAGTTTACCAAGCCTTGGTCACGGCCGTGACAGCCGTCGATCACTTGGTCTACAATACTATAATACTCCGTGTGCTATCGTCGTCCGGCCTTGGCAACATGCCTCCCCGCCTTGGAAATAGAAGCCTGGTTATGTGAAGTTATATGAAGGAACACGCACACACTTTGTATACGTTGCCTCTCGCTTCGTTCCGGTCGATCCATGTCCCGACGCTGTGAACAGGTATTTGTAGAGAGGGTTTCGATACTGCCGGGGGGGAGAAAAAGGGCAACCTCCAGTCGCGATTTCATCTTGGCCTTCCCCCACGCTCTTGTCAGTCGAGTTGGGATGATTTTCCTTTTGCGGTTCTGCTCGGGAAAGCAGAGATCATAAGCTCGCCGAAGAAGGGACACAGCAAATCGCCATAGAGGCTTCCGATCTGTTTCTTTCTTTTTTTTTTTTTCTTACCCTTCTTCTCCTCTTCTAGGCCGCTCATTAACATACCTTCCGTCAGTTTAACAAACAATCCTAACTTCCTACAGAGCTACCGAGATTCGTTGGCATGTGTATCTTAACATCGAGACTGCTGTCTTACACGGGACACTACAACCGAGAACAAGCTAGGGCATCAACGCATCTCGAGTAAGCGTGACAGGCTTGGAAACTCATCAAAAGGCCGGCCTCGAAGAAACTCTTCCTCACCCTCCAAAAATGGTCTCCCTCTCCCTGCCCGCCCTCGCTGGCATCTTCCTCGCTCTCGCCGCTTCCGCTCAAGACCAACCCTCATCCACATCTACCATCGACTCCCTCCTAGAACCAACCCCAACACCAACCCTCACGACAGTCCCCTCAAAAGCGCCCCCTTCCTCCCCAACAACAGCAACCTCCTCCACCACGCGCGTCATCTCCGTCTTCTACCTCGACGTCCGCGGCGACGAAGAACGCGGCCTCCCCTACACCATGTTCCACCGCGACACGGGCTCGATCCTCGCCGCCGACGAATCCGCCACAACCATCGTCATAACCGGCACGCTCACCGATCTCCGGACCCAATCCTACGCGCACACCGTCGTCTCCGAAGACCTCACGAAAGCCATCCCGACGCTTCGCCGGCAGACGCAGACGGGCTCCTGGAACAGGAACCATACGGCGGCGCCGCGAACTATCACGCAGGGGCCCGGCACGTTCGAGTACACGTCCACGAATTACGGCAAGGACAGGACCCTCGTGAATAGGTGCAAGCTCGAGGGCATGGATAGCGCGTCGTGCGATTTGACACACGTTGGCAAGGGCTGGTATACGAAGAAGCAGCCGGATTTTGCGGGGGAGTGGAGTACGTACAATTTTACGTGGACGAGCGGTGGGAGTTATGGGTACGCTCCAGTGACGATTACGGCAGGGCTGGAGAAGCTTCCGGCTGAGACCGCCCCAGCCGGTGGGAAGGGGGCCGATGGGGACAAGGAAGGTGCAGGGGCTGGGTCATTCTCAGGGAAAGCGAGGGGGGCTAGGACTGTTGCTGTCATTGCGGCGATGACGGTGACTGGGATTGTACTGGGTGGATTTGCTCTGATATAATAAACCGAGACTGCATGTGGTTTTTACGAAAAACAATGACATTCTCACATTCGAGAGGCTTGGACAAATAAGCCCGGCCCCGACTCCGGACATTCGGAGGTGACGATTAAAAATTCGGCACCATGCCGGGGAACAGTCTCAGAAGGGGCCGGGGATGGAGTAAAAATGAAAAGGAGGAAGAGAAGATGTCATTCATGATTCTTCGGGGGTGGGATGAACGGAACATGGATCGCGGGCCATCGTGAGTCGTTTTCTTTAGTGCCGTGTCTCTCAAACAGGGCCAGCGGCGTTTCGGGCGGGATGGATATACCAAGCGTGCTGCGGAGACTTGAGCGAAAATCGGCTTCAATACTGTACATAGTGGGAAGTCAGCCCGAGGGAAAATAAAACGGAAGAAGTTTCAGTCAAGGGCCCGTCAGCGTGAGCAGGATGGCAGAGCACATCAAGGCAACCTGCGTAGGTTCCCCAGGGTTGAAATTTCGCACTCATTGATGTTAGCCAAGCCCGTAATCCTGTTGTGACACCCTCTGCGATCATTGGTGGAGAAGATAAAAAGAAGATTTCAAGATTTCTGGGTCTGATGCTGCGAAATCGAAAAAGTAACAAGCTTATTTTGCTGCCTAGCAAGGCAGGATTTTTGCACACGTGGAATGACATGGTCGGATTCGCACATTGTTGCTTCAAGTGGAAACAGACCAGAGACAAGCTTAAAGTGTCGATGGCGGATTGGTGGAAGTTTGGTGAAAGTCTGGATCCAGCCCTACCATCGTGGTGGCTCAGCCAGACTAGCCCACGACGACAAGTCACAGTTCTGGACCGTACCTTGACTTCTTTGGACGTGCGCGAGTGCGAGTGCGAGTGCGGCATCAAACCTTCCTCAGTATCGGCCGTATCGACCACGTCGGACGATCTCGGCTAGATCACTAAACCCAAGCCTTGGCGTAGGCATTACGACGAACTTAAGATTCGAGGATGAATTGGATGTTTTTGTTCCAGTTGGTCCAAGATTAACGGCGGCCGACGTCAAAATGAGGGTTTGCAGACAGCTTTGGGCCTCCCTCTAATCGAACGCTCAAGGGTAGAAAAGATATTGACCTTCGCAAATACAACGCTGGAAGCATTTGATAGCATTAATGCCCAGTACCAGAGACCGCCCTCGAGTATTGATATCCAAGCAAGTCAGTGTCTGTTTAAACTTTTGAAGCATAATTTGTTGGTCTTCATGTTGTGGTCTGTCTGAGCTCCCGCTCGTATGAATACTTTCAGGTTCCTCTTGGATCCTACGCACCAGGTACTTCAAACCCCCACGCAAAGCTATGCCAAAACCATGTACCCGATACCGGCCCATCCCATGCGGACCTGCTTCCGCCCTCCGCCCAACGTCAAGCTTTCTTCCTCTTCCACTTCTTCATACGAATTACGAGCTCGGTTGGGTGGCATTCATCGATAGATGGCTCCGCCACTCTGACCAGCTGTCAGAAATGTATCCGACCATGCAGGCACTACGGCTAAGCCAAGCCTATTAGTCTGCCCATCAAAACCCCTAGGCCGCGTAACCTATACGCCTTTTCCCTAAGCTCGGAATGCGAGTGCGATGGTGGTGTAGGGCTGGCAGGCTGCCCATGGAAAGACGGACGGGCAGGGACAAAGGGTGGGGCCAGAAGGGTAGGATAAAGGCTTTGGGGACTCTTTCTTTCATTCCTTCCCGGAGCCGCACTAGGGAGGGGATCATCAACAGTTTCGGGATGGAGAGTTATTGGAGATGAGCTTTATTTAAGTCTTTGTGTTCCTCGTCCCAAGATTGCATGTCGGAATCCTTTCTCCATTGATCGGTAAAGAAGACATCAAGCATATTCTTTTTTTCCTCTCGTCAGGGTCTATTTATACAAGAGGACGAAAGACATCTAGTCGACTGAAAAATATAGAAAGATAAAGCCGAGAGACATTCCTTTACTCCTCCTCTGTCTCTCACCCAGAACCCTTCGACATTCTATTCACTACGATCCGATCTCCCGTCAGACTCCAACTCACCATCAGCCATGGCCGACTCAAGCCCCCCTCCCGGCCTCCCGCCGTACATCATCGTCTTCGGCCCCTCCGCAAACTGCACCCTCGACCTCTGCCCGCTCGAGTACTCCGTCTACCGCTACCGCCCCAGCCTGCCCGCCAACATCGTCTTCATCGTCCTCTACGCCCTCGCCCTGCTGGTCCATGCCTATCTCGGTTTCCGCTGGAAGCAGATCTGGTTCATGGTCTGTGTCATCCTCGGCTGCCTCGTCGAAATCGTAGGCTACATAGGGCGAATTATCATGCACGGTAACCCCTTCTTATTCGCCGGCTTCATGACTCAAATTGGTAAAGTTCCTCCCCCCCTTCTCCCAAGGAAACGGAAGAAAAAAGAAATGATGAAAAAAGATATGATTTTTTTTTTTTTTTTAAAAAAAAAAAAAAGTAGGCTCAAAGATGTAGAATACTAACTGGAGACGCAACCCCAGTCTTTATCACCTCCGGCCCCATCTTCTACACCGCAGCAATCTACATAACCCTCTCCAAAGCAATCTCTCACTTCTCCCCCTCCCTCTCCCGCTTCCCCCCGCGCCTCTACTACTGGATCTTCATCCCCGCCGACGTTATCTGCCTCGTCCTCCAAGCCGCCGGCGGCGCCCTCTCCACCGTCTCCTCCGGCTCCAACCAAACCGGCATCGACCTCGCCTTTGCCGGCCTCATCCTCCAAGTCATCGTCATCTTCATCTTCTGCTTCCTCTTCGCCGACCACATGATTCGCTTCTTCCGCCAGTCTTCCCCCTCCTCCTCCAAGGGAGGTGCCGGTCACATCGAGGCTTCTGCGAACATCCGTCCCCAGCGTATGAACATCTTCCTCGGAGGCCTGGCCGCCTCCATCCTGCTCATCCTCGCCCGCTGCGTCTTTAGGTGCTACGAGTTGAGGGAAGGGTATAGCGGCGAGACCATGTCCGAGGAGGGTCTCTTCATCGGTCTGGAGGGCGTGCTTATCGTTGTTGCTGTCTTTGCGCTGTGCTTTGGCCATCCTGGCCTTGTCTTCGATAAGAATCAGGGGGCGGTTGTCGAGGGCGTTGTTGAGAGGGAAAAGGCTGACCACTCCTCGAGCTCGATTGCTGGGAACCAGGCGTGATTCCCTTTTCTAAAGGGGAAAAAATAGGGGGTTGTCGAAGGTCCTTTCAGTTTCACTCGAGAGTCGTAGGTCAAACTGTTCTCAAACTTACACTGGGGATGATGGTAACCGGGATTCCCGGCCCCGATTTCTTTTTTTCTTTTATTTTAATACTCTTTTCCAAGTACCTATCGCTCCTTGGTTAAACACAGAAATCTCAGGATGATTATAGATTGCTTGCATTTAAATAGAGATGTCGACAACATCAAGGAACCATCGATCAGGGTGGCAATCGTTCATACAGGCTTGTTGACGCCTGGTTAGGCTGGTGGGGCCTAGTCTACGGAGTCGACCCGGTCTCTCACACGCGCGGATCTTCTGACTTCCTTTGTCTTGTTGCTTTCGGCGTAGCTTGGGGGATCTAGGTTTGGATATGATGTATGGTTTACTTTGGTTGGTTCGGCGCTTGTAATATGAAATTCATACTTTGTTCAAACACGACTGCGATAAGAGGTCATGAATCAATCCATTCTCAGAGAACCATCGAATGAAGCGACTTGCCATTCCAGACAGCCCATTGCCCCCCTTGTCCTTGGGCCAAAGCTCGCCAGAAAAGTAGATGTGTGTAACAAAACCCGCTGTCTCGGCTCTCGTTGACTCCTCGATTGTATTGATACTCTCTGACCGCTATTCCTAAAACGAGCTATCACCCTCTGTTTCTAAGTCTACTACTCGCAAAACCGCCGACGTTAACCCATGATGTCCTCTTTTGGAGTAACCATGCTTGATACTGAATCCAGCGCCTGACGACATGGAGGACGGCCTAAAAGATGCCGACCCGCGTAATGTCCTCTTCCTCCTCCTCCCCAGCACCCTCGTAACCATTGTCGTCTACGGATGGAGACCAGCTAAACGACGTCTCCGTCGACTCGAATGGGCCGAAGCTCTCGTTGCCACCCTGAGCAGACTCCGTCATCCCTTTAATAAAATCATGGACCTCCTCCATGCTACTCACACCCCGGCCCCCATCTAGTCCCTCCCATTTTTGCGCGGCGACGGCCTCCTTTGCCCGTACCCAATCCCTCAACGCATCGAAATACACGTGTGCTACGTCCGCATTCTCAAGCCGGAACGGCATCATCTTGATTTCTTGGCACAGCTCGTCAAAGAGTTTCCCCTTGAACATATACCGGTCCAGCTCTTCTTCCAAGAAACCCAGTTTCCTCTCCGCCTCACTGATCTCGATCTTGTGGGGGTCCAGTTGATCCTTGAATTCCTGAAGAGAGACGAAGCTTTCGCGCAACATGTTACATTCGGATTTTGCTTCCTTGACCAGTCTGCGACTTGTGCCCAGCTCTTTGATAACTGTGTCGTAAAGCACCAGCTTCTCATCGAGTTCCTCACGGAGCATTTCAGCCACAGACTGAGCGCGCTCAGTCGCAGCAATCTGCTCGTCAATCTTGCGATTGCTCGACTTCAAAACATTATTTACCGACTGAGCGACAAGGGAAAGGGGACAGCCATCCTCGTCTTTCGACTCCGTTCCGGAAGGGCTTGGAAAGCCCGCTTCTCCACTCTCCGACAACCGGCGAAGGTGCGTCGCCAAGTGGTCAGTCTCGGAGAACTTCGAGATGGCCTTCTTCATGCCCTTTATCTCCGTTTTGGCGCTGGAGAGATCCGTTCCCATTTGCTTCAGTGCATCACTTACAACTCCGCGAAGAAGTCTAACCTGGACTGCAGGGACCCGAGCGTCAACTTCGGCTGCACTGAGGCGCTTGACAGCCGCGCCGCGGGGCTCGTCAACCGGAGGGACATCGGCATCGCCGTTGCGGTATCTCCGAAAGTATCTCCGAAAGGCGGCACCATTTTGTTGTAAACTCTCGAAGCCGGCTGAATGGCTCAGCGGAAGACCGTCAACCTAATCTGGGCCAACCAGCCACTGAGAGCCGTCATCTATCACCATCCCGGAAGCCTAAGAGGGATTGGCTAATACAAATTGCCGTTAGCGGGACCTCACTCAACACCGCACCGGGGAAGAAAGGGCCCAAAATACTACATAAACTCACCGAGACGAGCCCAAAGTTCCAGCATCTTTAGTCCGTTGAATTTTGCCTGAGAAAGTAACCATATCTTCAATGTGCCACGTGTAGTCGCTGAACCGGTGAACCCGTCATTCTGGTTGTACCCGGTAATAATACCGGCGATTTCTTTGTTCTTCGCCGCGGTCGCGAGAACCTGCATGTCGGCGTGGAGCGAGTGCTACTCCCACTCCTTAATGCTTGACAGCGACAGTCCTTTAACTTTAAAGAAGGCTTCGCGTACTCCGTCCAGCGTTTTGGGGGTCGGTCCGTTGTAGCCAGCCAGGGGAGAGTCTAGATGAGAAGAGCCTGGAGAAGAGTCCGAGGCGCCCTCGGCAAGGAGAAGGTCGTCGGATTTTCGGCTCGCACTTGAGCTCGGGCTGCTAGAGATCCTTTGGAGATCAGGTAGCCTTGTTGTCCCGTTCTGAGGCAAGGATGGGGGTGGGGCAGCTCGGAGAATGCTGGCTATCATGTCTTTTCCCGAAAGATGCGAAGGAAAACTAGTGCGATAGTCTCTGAAGGTACGCGGGCAACTTTTCTCGACCCTCCTATGGCCGCTGAGAGAGGTGGATCTAATAGAGGATCTCCCACTTAGGGCAGTCTCCCCTGGGGCGAGCCCCAAATTTTCAGGGCCATGGCCCGAGGGGTTCGTAGAGGCGCTGGTGGCAGCCATGTTTCAAGTAAATGAACAACAGAGTTTGGAACAAGAAGATCTATTGTTGTCGATGATTAAAGAATGGATGGAATATAACTGAAATGATGATCTGATGGGTAAGTTGTAATACTGGGTTGAATTATGGCGTCCTCGACTAGTGAGCAAGCGAGGGTGTTTTGCGATCGCTATGTGAGGAGGGAAGGGTTTGGGCCACGGGGAGAGAGATTCGACTTCGAGCTCTCCTGCCGCTATGAAAGCGCATCTGTCATCGTTATAGTATGACAGACGAGAGTAGAAGGAGCGCCTGTCTCCCCCGCCAACCCGGTATGCTCGCTCTTCCTCACTTAGGGGGACTGACCTTGTCTCATTGGCTCCTTCCGTTTCTGGAGTCGGGAATAGTTTACTATATACCAAAACCCGTCATGCCTACGACACCGATAAGTATCCTGCGAGATCTGGGAAGTGACCTGTCTCAAGATGCTGGATTGGTCGGAATTCTGTTCAGAAGCAAAAAGGTAGAGGAGCAGAGGTAATAGCCGTGCTTCTGGGGAAGCGTGGACCAGGAAGAATGACAACATTGTTTTTCCTATACGATAGATGATGTCTCTTGTCACTTCCTCGATCCCCATCCCGCCTTCTTGATGCCCGTGCACATCCCAACCTCACGGTACGAGCCTCCCGCACACGCCTCCAAAATTACTAAACCCACGCCACCTGCGTCAGCTCCCTTTTTTTAATGTTACCCACACACCCCTAAAATGTTAACCCCTTCCCGGTCCCCACCCTCCCGCATTTGCCCAAAGAAGAATAAACGCACTGAAGGGAGGAAAAAGGGACGAAAAAGGATCCACAATGCGTGGAGAGATGCGGGTTCGTCCCAAAAAGGAAAGCTCACGACGTCGCGCCTCGGATGAGTTTTTTTCGTTTCGAGTGGGCGGGTGCGCGGGGAGGCGGGGGACAAGGAAAAAAGAAATGTTAAATGTTTTGAGGTATTTTGATATCGCGAGTATGATGCGGGGACTGAAAACCGAAATTTGAGCCTTTTATATTGGGCTGGTTGTTCTCGATGAGGCTTGGGAGAGCTTCCGCACAGTCTTCGAGGAGGCGTCTGAAGAGCTTCAATACATTCTCGGATTATCAGGTACGAGCTGGAAATTGAGACATGTCTCGAGATTGCAAAAGATAGGCAAAAGGAGGAGATAATGGTCCCTGCGTCGAGTTTTATGTACCATTCGGAAAACTATAAACCTTGAGAAATGAATATGCAACACTGATATACACAATCATGAACAAGGAATCATATCCACACCGCCGCAAAGCGACCCCGTGGATGTTAACATAAACACAAATCTAAACCTGGGGAGTTTTTTTTATATATCCCTGACAGAATATAGTCAACACGAGTCATAAAACGCCAAAATAGTACCGAGAATAGACCGCCCTCAAGTAAAGAGAAGAAAAAGAGAAGAACACCCGCAAGCCTCAGTACGGGAACATCGTTCGAGGCTGGTTGGCTGGATCACAAATCGTCAATCGTCACCCTTCGCCAAACGGAGAAGGCTACTGGCTGCACCACCCCTTCGCACACTACTCGGGAGTTTCTCTGCCTCTCCCCCCGCGGTCGGCCTCAATGGCGTTGGCTTTCCAGAGGTGAGTAAAGGGGGTAACGTGGGTTCTTCTCGGCCGGCGTTTCGATATGTTGACGCCCCCCAAAGTTGGGCGTCGTTGCTCTCGTTCCTCCTATCAACAGGAGCTGTTACTGTTTGTGTTTGAGGCTTGCTTGCCAAGAGTGGTTGTTGCCCCGTCGCGTCTTCGGCGCCCTCATTCGTCTCGGTGGTTCGCGTTTGGGAAGCCGATGGCGGAGAGGGTTGCTGAACTTGAAAAGTCGGTAGAGGGGTGCTGTTTCGTCGTCCGGGCAATGATCGTGCCTCGAGTTGTGTAAAGGGAACGTGGGCTTGACCTGTCCTGACCTTGTAGTTTGCCAGTCTGAGCCGCGTCAAGAGATCGCCAGCCATCTATTGAAATAAAGACAAACAAATCGTTAGTATTTACCACTCAATAACAAGCACTCTTGATGCTCTTTCGGTGAACGTCGTGGCTATGAATAACATGGATGTTTATACCTTTCGGGTCTGGGCACGCGACACGGACGCCCTTTGAGGACTCTCGCCAAGTTCAACATCGGTAGCTGTCGAGTTGTGTGTCTCGAGGCCGGAGGTGTCAAATATGGACGACGCGTCGGGAGAAGCTGATTGATCCCTCTCTGTGGACATAGTCTGTGAACATTGTAGCCAAGTTGTGTAAGTAACTTTTCACTAACAAACGCGATGAGGGGCACGCGAAGAACCCCAGCAGAAAGCAAACTCGAAGTGGAAAAAAAAAGAGCACCCCCAAACACTTACGAAATCATCTCCTGTCCTATCGTTCCTTCCGATTTCCACCTCTACACAGGTTTTCTTCGCAATGATGCCGTTCTCATCTCCCTGGAAGACCTCGAGCGGCCTCTTCCTCGCCTCGGTCCCCGAGCTCTTGACGGGGGACCTCGCGAGGGCTAGGCCCCGAACAGAGACCGGACTGACGGGCTTCTTCGTTAAGGTATTACTGCTGTCGAACTTCAAGCGCGGGGGGGCTGGTGATTGCTTGTTCGCGTCTAGCGGGGCGAGGGCGCGTCTTCTCTCGGGTGTTGATGTTGACATTGTGGGTACTGGTAGGAGTAGAGCAGACGAGAGGAGTGATGGTATGAGGGTAAAGAACGCAGAGTGAGGTTGAGAAGTTGAGAAAGGTAAGCTGGCAAGCGGGAGGAAGAGGAAGAGGAAGAGGAAGAGGAAGAGGAAGAAGATGAAGAGTTGGGAAAGGTTTAAAGACGAGTACGTGATGTTGTTGGAAGGAAGCGGAGATATTGAGGTCTTGTCGTGGACGGTTTACAAAGTGAAGGGGACCAGGTACCCGCGCAATAATAATAGGTGGGAGCGGTACCTTGGGCGAGGTACCGCGTTTAAGTGGAGCTCTCTCTAACAGTGCACAAGCACTAAGACAGACAAGCACAAGTACAAGCACAATATGGAATATCAATTCACTGTTCCTGCACAGGCCCTGGAAGAAGGACAACAGCACCAAACTTTCAAGGTACCGAATCGTCTTTGTGTCTCAAGGCAGGCCACGCTTTAAAACACGGAAGCGCGATTATTTCAAGACGAGAATTGGGGGGAAAGAAAAAGAAAGGGGAAAAGAAGAAGAAAAAGAAAAAAAAAAAAAAAAAAAAAAAAAAAAAAAAGAGGATCATAAACCCTTTCGTGATGGCTGTTCTTGAGTCTTGGATAAATAAGACACAATCGATCGTGCTCTGTTGTGTTGAACTCAAAGCTTGAGCTTATCCCTGGTGGGTTTACTGCCAGCTTGAGCGACGTGTTTGGCGGGGCGCACCACATAACACTGGACGAGCCACCAGACGCCAGATCAATGCAATAGCGCTCAAACTTGCTGGCAGTTGTTTGCTGGTCGACCAACAAAACCGCTCTGTGCTGCTAGTGATCGGGAGCACTTGCATTTGATCTGTCCGTGCTGTGCACAGGTAAAGCTGGCCGGCGCGCTGAGTGATGTGCTGACAGCCCGTCCGAGCGCTACACCCTTGTGTCGCGAGCGTTTCGACCTCTAGCGGAGTGATGGCCATCGAGTTGATGGTTGAGACAGCTGTCGAGGCTCAAATGTTCTGTGTTCTTCGTGAATCTCGTAACTAGGAACAACAGGTGCATACTTCGTAGGAATAAGTTTACATCGATTGACCCATCAGGACGGGAGACACGGCTCAAACAGGAACCCTTCTGAGAGAGGGGCATTTGATGACGCGAGACAAAAGGGATCAATTCCCTGGATTGCTCATCAATGTTGCTCTAATCCGAAATTGAAGTTCCCCCTGATACACCTTGATACACAGGTACTGATTGAAGCAGCACGGTTCATCAGTGATGCCGTCTTCAACATCTATCGACGCTCTCTGCCCGACTGACTGTATCGAATGAGCAGCGCGCCCAAGATCAAATCAAAATCAACCAGTGCTCACTCCCACTTCGACTTTGAACCGACAGGGGCGCCTTGCAGGAAAGATCGCACACATGCAGCGCGGAGTTGCATTCTTGCCCCACACCGCGTTTTCCATCGAATTTCCAAATTTGTTCCGTCGTCATCAAGAATCCCTCACTGGCCTCGGGCCCTGAGTACGAAGTGTATTAAGAACAAGGTCAATGTTGATGCACTTCACCGAATGGACGACATCAAATACAATTGACAGCTATTTGTGGCATAAACGCCTGAAGTAATCAATCGAAGACATCCGTTCTGCTCCACGTTTGTCCCTGTCACGAATCTCATCCAAGCCACCTGCACACCAACCCCCCCTTGCCCGATGCGACATCAAAATATCAATCATCTTCATCAGTTGGGATCTGAAATTGCCCATCACACAACATTGCTACCCCGGGCTTCTGCCATCATCGCGTCCCTCGCTGAGTCTCCTCTCCTGGAACGGCAATCCTTGAGCCAATTTGATCAATTGACGCTCTCTCCAACCGGGCGACGCAGTTGACGGTGGAAAAAACGGGATCGCATTACTCCGCAAACTACCTCCCACCCTTCCAATCCATAAACTTCATTCTCTTCCTGGTCTCAATCCCAGCCCCGGGCCCAATCAATTCCTTGCATGCAAAATGACGTGGAATACCAATTGAACCCCGCGTCCCCCAAATCAGAGAGGCCTAAAGAGCTAACCCACCGGCCACCTCGCAATATCTATCTCGTAGGCAACGTGACATTTTCTGCCAGACCTGAGAACGTGAGTTGGACTCACAGAAGAAGAAATAGTCTATTGTGTAGTTTCCAAAGGCGCCGCCAGTCACAGAGCATAAAAAGAGAGAGAAAACGTTCCACTGACATGAGGCGAGTGAAGGCCCATTCTTTGAACTGGGTCCCGTGGTCCCTCTCCCTCTCCGTTCAAGCATCCTGATTGATACCCAAAGATCCCCGAAGTTTGGCGATATCCCGATAGACCCTTCGTACCCTCTACGAGCATGCCTGGAACGCCTTCTTTTTTTTTTTGTTCAGTTTCTCGAACGACTTGACACATTGACATGGTTGAAAAAAGCTCATTATGTATTTCTTTCGTGCGCGAGTACCGCCAGTAATACTACCATGCTAATGAAAACAAATGCGGGTATCATAGGGAGACCACCTCCCTCTCTGCCTTGGCACGGAGGGTGCCGCGAAAACCGAAAGAAGAGAAAGAGAGATGCAGCGTTCCATCATAACAAGGATCCCGCTTCTGGGAACGAGGAAAAGGGAAAGAGAGAACAAAAAAAAGTGAGAAAAAAAAAGAAAGAAATAGTCGAGGGGGAAAGTAGCGTCTGCTCAGCAGCCCGACATCCTCGAGGCCCATGTTGAGATCAAAACATATTGACCACACTTGCCCACTCAGCTGCACCTGGATATCCACTATAGCTTGCCCTGCACTTTATCCTCCAGTGTCCCAAGAGCCGGGGACCAAAGCGCCGCCCGAACTTCGCCAAAATAGCAAGACATGCCACAGTCGTGCTGGCATGCTAAGAACGATAACGAACCAGAAGACTGCCCCAAAAAGAGAGTAAAAAAGAGAAAAAAAGAAAGTGTAACAAGAAAGAGCAAGGGAGATGAAGAAGCAAGCTGGGAAAATAGACAACAATAAATCATAAAGTATACAAGGTAAAAAAAAAAAAAAAAAGCAAAGAAAAGAGAAAAAACTCAAAATCCCAAACTCCAGATTCGCGTGCTTTTCCGTCCGCTCCCGTCCGTGTAACCGTTCCGTAACCTCTCATTATAGCCTCCTCAGAGACGGTGGTTGCCCCGGAGTGAAAAACAAAGAAAGAAAAGAAAAAAAAAGGGAAGAGAAATCCCGCCCGAGTCCCGAGAATATATAGGTAATAACATCATGTCGACGCATCCATGGTGTAAAGTCGATCATCAAAGGTGAAAGGTTTGTCGAAGTCAATGTTCGCGTCTTCCCAGCAGATGTCGGCGCCCGGGACGGAACCTTGTGCATTCAGAAGAAGAGACTTTTCTAGGTCGTCGACCCCACCCGTTCCTAAACTATCCATGTTGATGTTGCCAAGGTCCATCATGAAGCCGTCATCCAGTGGTTGCCAGTGCGTATCCAAGTCGGCGCCAAATTCTGGAAGATCGGTGTTCGGCTCCGATGAGCCGCTATCCTTGCTAGACTCTGGAGTATCATTAGGCGTTAGTGCTCGATAGACACTGGGGTCGGTAAAGGTCCCGCCCGCGACACAATCGAATCCAGGAACGCCTGAAAACAGCGTCTTTGGGTTAATGCAGTTAGCATATGGGTCGGTAGTCATGCCGGACTTGGGTGCGGAGCCGGCCTTGTCAGTAACAGCGTCCTTGCTGTCACCCGCCTTCGCTCTATCATCCTTGGCTTTGCCTCCCGCTTTAGAGCCCAATTGCGCCTTGGGTCCTGTGCCGCTTACGGAACGATTCATCGACGGCCCACGGGACATCGGTGTCGCCGCGAAGCTGGCAGGTGTCTGACCCTGCTTGGACTGGGTGGCGCTCATCACGGCAGCTCCCGGCTGGGGTGTGCCCTGTGAAGCTGCGCTCACATCTCCCAAAACGTTGCCATCCAGATCGAGGCCTAACGTGGAGGCCAAGTTCTCTTGGAAGAACTTCAAAGGATTTTCCCTCGGCTGTATGTGTTCCGCTTGCATGTGGGCGTCCCTGGCCTCTTCCGTGGGGAATACATTATCGCAATCAATTTCCGTGCAAGAGAAGGTGGGCTTCGGAGTCTGTGCCTTGGTCTCTTGCTTCTTGGGTTCTGGGGCAGTCGCCTTCGTCGCGCGTGGTGAAGGCTGCTGTCGTCCGGCGGCGGGGGTTTGCGGCTGGTTCTGCTGGTGGTTGAGTTTGGCTCTCTTCTTAGGCGGGATATGAAGGTTCATGTCCTTGGCCTTGTTCATGTAGTTAGGCTGACCGTGAGGAGAAGTCGCTCCCATCTGGAATTGATGCGTCGCCGCTGCTTGTGCCTGCACAACTGGAGCAGGCGGCTCCTGGGCTTGGGTTGTCTTTGGGCCTGCATTATGCTGCTGCTGTCGTTGTTGCTGTTGGGCCTTATTATTCAACGCAGCATTTTGAGCCTTGAGATTTTCGGCGCTAAGAGGAGCTTGACCTCCTCCAGGCACGGCTGACTGCTGGGCCTGAGGTTGGGCGGCGTTAGTCGCTTGGTGAGACTTGGCGAAGGCCGCCTGGCAGTCCTTTGTGATGCTCCTCATAACGTCTCGGCCTCTTTGGATTTCGAGCGGGGTGATCGTTAGTGCCTCCTTGGGTTGGCTCAGCCTTTCGCCATCGTGAAACTGGCGCACCATTCTGTACCTCTGTTATGGGGTGGTTAAAAAGGTTAGCGCTTCGATTTTATACCACATCTTAGAGGAATAATCCACAAGTGCGACATGACACTTACAGTGCGGAAGAAGAGCCTCGCTCGGTTGTCGTCTCGCGTAATCGAATACCACTTGCTCAGTACCTTGCCCACCCGTCCAAAATCAGAGGCGAGACTTGCAATATTGGCCAAGAGTTCCTGCCGCTGTTGTGGAGATAGAGGCACTTCATTGCCCGGGTCCTGGGCTGCTCGTCGCTGCTCGTCATCCGAAATGGCCCTCAGTCTTGTCGAAAGTTCGTCGTTGTGCGAACGGTTTGCCATACTGGCCATCTGCTGATTTTTAAGTGCCTGCTCATATTTGGCTCGCTGCTCCGGAGTCAAAGTTGCGAGCGAAGGCAGCGATGGCTGGCCGTGACCTTGCTGAGAACCGGACCTCTGTGCCGCACCCGGAGCATTCGGTTGCGTTGGTGTCTCTGGGGCTTCTTCGGGGAAAGGCCGCTTGAGATTCTTTTGAGCAGGAGCCGGCGAGGGTTGGGTACGGCTAAGTTGAGCCGACGCTTTTCTTGCGGCAGCCGCTGACATGGTCGGGGTCGCGTTTGGTTTCTTCTGCGGACCAGAGCCCTTGGTCGCGGGAGCTGCCCCGGGTTGTTGGGTTTGAGTGTGTGCTGGTTGCTGCATCTGTTGCTGTTGCTGTTGTTGAGGCTGCTGCTGCTGGGGCGGTCCCGATACTTGCCGAGCCTGCACTGGGGCGGGCTGGGAACCTGGCTGCTGGTGCAATGGTTGTTGCGGTTGTTGCGGTTGTTGCTGCGGCTGTTGCTGCTGCTGTCTCATGAACTGGAGCTTCCTCAGGTTGATTACGTGCGCCCTGACGTCCTCATCAGACATGGCAGTCGCTTTAGGATCCGAATTTCGAATTTGAAGGATCTCTTGGTCTGTGATAGGAGCCTGGATTAGTCTTTGTAGCTCGGGGCTCATATTTAGAGGCTGGCCCGCCATTGCGCCTCCGGCAATCGGCATGGCGGGGTTCATGCCCGGCGGCAACTTCTGGCCCAACTGCATCGCACGTCCTCTCATTATGTGGTTGTATTGCTGCCGCTGCAAAGCCATAATCTTAGGCAGCTGAGCCTGGGTCCGGGGATCTTGAGCGCACCACTGTTTCACGTCCCGGTAGGTTTTGAGTTCGGGGGGGGCTTTGAGATTCCCGAGTAATGGACGGGGGAACTCCATACTATCCAGCATGGCCTGATTTACGAGCTGTTGCTGGCCAGCACCAACAGGCATGCCGGGATGGGGCGCGCCATTCATTGCGTTGTTCTGAGGCATCATAGTACCTGGTACATTCCCTCCAGACGAGGCTCGGTTCATCTGTTGATCGTCAGGTCGCGGACCGATCTGGCCTAGGTTTTTCGCCATGTTTTGACGCTGCTGCTGCTCAATCTTGGCGATGATCTCAAACTGCTTGCCGGGCGGGAAGCTGAATAGATTGCGCTGTTGGTCTGGGGTTAGGCTATTGATAATAGCGCTGTGAAGGGCTGTTTGGTTCGCATTAGGAGTGCCTGCCCCGGATGCCATCTGTCGCTGATTATTTGCCTGGCTGAATCGGGGATCGAGGCCGGCAGGGAAGGGCCCAGGGCCGGGAATCATGCCTTGCGGTCCTTCCATGGGGTTACCCTCCCCGGCGGATCGATTGGCCGGAACCTGCGCAGGGCTTTGGGACTGGGACATGGGCCCCGTCATGGGACCTGGCTGTCCGGGGCCTATCTGCTTCCCTGGCATTTGTGCGGCTCGGAGTTGTGCTTGGTTCATGGCGGCCTGCTGATCCATATTCATCTGACCTTGGACGGGTAGGCTAGGTTGATTAGGTTTGGGTTGCGTGGTTTGTTGTGGACCGCCCTGGAGCCGAATGCATATTGTTAGCATTTCAAAACTGATACAATCTAATATCGACCAATTACTCACCGGGACAACTACCTGACCAGCCTCTTGCGCCCTAATACCAGCTTTCTGCTGATTCACTAAGTCTCCAACATTCGCAAACTGAGAGAAATTATTGCCAGGCATCTGATGCGGTGCCCCAGGCATGGGGCCACCCTGGCTCATTTGGCGTTGCTGGAGCAAAGCTGCTTGTGCGGCGGGGTTGATCTGGCCAGCGGCATTTCCCATCCTCGCCCTCTGGATCTCCTGGAGTGCCTGATTCTGCAAGAATAGGAGGACGGGGTCCCTACCCTGCGATTGGAGAAGCTGCAGTTGTTGTGGACTGATTCGGCGCGCCATCGACGCCCGTAGATTCGTCTTTTGGGGCTCCCCCATTGTCGCCATGAGCTTCACGGCCTTCTCAAGGGCCCTTTGACGGTCCTGGGCCGTGAAAGCGCCCATATCGTTCGCATTGCCGGGTTGCTGGGGACGAGCAGGTCGGCCACCTGCCATTCCCATCATCTGGGCATTCGGACCCATCGGTTGTCCACCAGGACCCGGCATCCCCATATGCATGCCCATGTTTATTTGGTTCATGTTCATGGACATAGGGCCCTGATGTTGTGGCATCTGTCCCCCCTGCATCGGGTGTTGCACATGTGGGAAGCCCTGTTGAGGGCCAGGGCCTTGGTTAGGTCCGATACCGCGTCCCATCTGCATCATGTTCTGGTTCATGAGAAGTTGTTGTGCCTGAGCTTGGGCAGCGGCCTGTGCTTGGGCGGCAGCGGCAGCCTGCGCATTTAAGGTATTTCGAATATTCGGTTCGTTTTGTTCGCGCTTTCGGAAGAACTCTTGTGTCTTCGCTTGCATCTGCTGCTCGTATAGCTCCTGCATGCCACAATAGGTTAACATCTTCACGCACATTCCTCAGAAGCGTGGGCTGGGGAGAACACAAAGAATGGAGGATTCGGGTGTGTCTGGAATAGATTTAAGGTACCTTGGTGGGAGACCTGAAAAATACTTCGCGTTCGAACGAGATGCCAGAGTCGGTGGCTTTGGTCAAATCCACACTATTCAAAGCCAGGGCGACATTTGTTATTCTAGGCAGGGGTTAGCTTTCAGAGCGGCGAAGGCTTCCTTCCCGATTTGCGCAACAACCCCGCGACGGATGGAGAATACGTACAGATTAGTAGCTCTCGTCACACGGTCTGCAACGGGGTAGCTAGCCTGCCATCCATGAGGTTGAGGCGGATGGTTATTCATGCTAGTATACACGATTTGGCGAAGAGACATGAGGGCCTGTTGTCGAAGCTGTTGCTGCTGCGCCTGCGGCATCATCATGTGCTGCATGTTTGCAGCCATGGCCGCGGTATCCCCGTGGGAGGTCTATTGTAGCTTCCTTTGCAATTCGATAGTTTAATACCAAAAAAGATATCCGCTGATTCCGATCAACTTGTCCGGTTCGGACAAGGTCTCTGGACGACGATAGCACTGAACACGGGGCGCAGTGAGCCAAAGTCGAGTCGTCAAGGTAAATCGCGATGCGCGTAATAATCCGGAAATAGTCAAGTAACTTAGTAGAGAGATATATGGCGAGTCAGGATAGCGTCCGAGTGAGCGCGAGGTGTCGAGAGGGAGCGGAGAGTCGTCATCAACGGTGATTTCGCCGTGGGGGTAAAAAGCCGACCGACGGGCTGGACAAGATGGTCCGACAAGAGAAGGGGAGGATAACTACGGACACAACTTGTGAGTTAGGAATCCCCTCGGAGGAATTGCAACTAAGAGGGCATCGGGTGCGGAAGGGAAGCAGGAGAGAGAAATAGAAAAGAAAAAGGAAAGTGTGTTCTTGACCGACGATCAAAACAATGAGTGAGATCGTGACAGAAGGGAGATGAGGGCAGACAAATCCAAGAGCAATGGTTTTGCAGATATTTTTCTCGCCACTGTTTTTCTTTTTCACGAGGGCGAATGTGAACAATATTAAGTGGAACAACTTACAGTTATGGGTATCTGGAGAATGACAGAAGACTGGATCCCGTTAGATGCTGTCAAGAATCTTCGTTCGCGAAGTGGAAAGAGGTGTCGGTGGACGAACAAGTCGAGGACAGTAGTTGCGGTGGGAGAGTGGGTTTGGCGGGAAGGGGAGTGGGTGGTGTTGTTCTTGGGGAGTTGGCTGGTTCTGGGTCAGGGAAACTGTGCTACTTAGTACTTCGTACTCTCTACTAGAAACTAGAGCCTAAGTAGAGTGACGGGTATCCATGTATCCATGTCCCGGGGGGGGGGGCGTGTGCCTTGGTTTGTGTTGGAGGAAGGAGGGAGGTACGTCACTTTTTGGTGCACCAGAACCTCAGATGGGGTGTGTTGGTGGTATTAGCTGCCGAAAGTCGAGACAAACAGCCGCTTCAAAACAAGACCACAATGGTAATAATGCTTTAGCATCAGGAAAATTCGAGATGCAGGCCTTTGTTCGACAATAGGGGGGAGAATGGCCTACTCCAGAATTAGCCAAGACAAAAGATAAAAGAAAAATTAAAGTTATCGTGGACAACTTCGAAAATAAATCCGAGCAGCTTTCAAAATGGAGGAGGAGAATTGGGCGGGATTATTGGGGGAAGACGAAGAAAAGGCAAGGCATTCGGACATGACACCTGCCTTGGTTTGCCTGCAAGGACGAAGTACTTCGTCTGTACGAAGTAGTGTATAGCATATTATATGGACCAGAACGTAAATGATTATGTACCTTTGTACCCAACCTCATTGGGGGGAACTTAAATCCCAGGGACCTGTTTTCTTCTCCACACACACACCTCCCTTCAGGCCCTACATACACGACATTCGTACATCTTCAAGACCATCGTACTTCGATTTGTACTTTGTTCTCGAACAGACTCAAGATAAAATTGCCGGAGATAATACAACCAATTGTCGAAAATGAATATTTACCAATCTTCTTCTGGAAGGGTGCTGAATCGGACCTTGAGTCTCTCGAGGCGCAGCTCGCCTCACCAGCACCAGAGAGGAAAAAGAGAATGAATCAAATGTACGTACTCCATACACACATTGGATTAAAGTACAAACCTCAACGGGACGGTACGGTATTGCAAGTTGGTACATAGACAAAGTATCGAAGGTGTGCACTAGTGTAATATGCATTTGTATGTTGCCTGTGTACAAGCTGAGAAGACGAAGGTACTAAGGTACATTGAAGGGTCAGGCGCCGGGCCTCAAGTGGATTTTATCCTGTCTTGACCAGGGGTGGATGAAACCAAGGGAAACCCCCATATTCTGGACGCAGACCCCAAAAAGAATGGGAGACAACCCTATTTAATGCAGGAATCGGGGCAGGCAGGTGATGTGACGGCTAGATGATTGAAGTTACCTTTCCTCCGTAAACCGAGCGAAATATTGAGTGAGATATCCAGTGTCATGAGTATGAAGGAGGGAGAGGAAAAAGAGTCTACGAAGTAGCCATTGGAGAGGAGGGTCGGTGTACGTAGTGTACAAGGAGGGTGAGGACTGTGAATCTACTTCGTAGTGGCTAAGAGGTACACTTTCCAGGCGACATGGATCCCCTTCACTTCGGTGCCGGATCGTGGCAGGCTAGGGACTCTCGCTTGAATTCATGCTTTCTCCACGATGATAGCGTTGAAATACGGCGGGGAGCAGCATCTATGTAGATGTGAGGAGGACGCTGAAAGTATATACCTTGTTTCCCTGTGCAGTGAGCGGTACTGAGTTGTGTGTCGTGAGCTCCGGAATGTGGGAATTATTACTTCATACTTCGAACGAGAGGCTCGTACTTCGTACTACCTCTCACCAATATACATACTACTTCGCAGGACAGGGGAGAAAGAAGGGAAAGCCACTTGGAAAGCCTACTTTGCCTGTTATGGAATGGATCCATCGAATTGACGCGGTGGACCACAAGCTGCAGAGAGTTGAGTTCAGCCAATGAAGTTGTCAGTGATTGTGGGAGAGATGGAGTGGCTTGACTCGTCTCTCCTGATGGTCTACCTGCCAGAGGAGTTTCAGAAAAGGATTGATTCGAGGTGTGGTGACTACGCCAGGCAGTGGGAACTCTTGATTCCATCAAAGAGCAATTATAACCATCTTCCCAGCTCTTATCTTGTCGGATCAGCTGGTGTGTGAGCCCGATTGCCTCAAGGCCTTGAGATCTTTTAATCAAGCCCGGAAACTTTGGCCCATTATTATTCCGCCTCAAGGATTTACTGGTTCTGATGTCCGGCGTCGAAACCAGCATGGCTTTGACCAGGACAAGACTCAAGCCATGCGAACGAACGCCTATTCGCTGAGCAATAGCGCAAGAATATCAGATGAGCGCAATGAAGGGGCGGGCGATGGCCAGGTTTGGGCCCCAGGCCTTGCACTGGGTTTCCCATCTTGAGATCCTCGTGTTGTGGGGCGTTTTGCAAGATCAATACCTTTTTCTATCGAGTATGTTCGCAACGGTCATAATTCGTGAACGAGTGATACGCCCGAATTGCGTTTGAGAATGGTGTTTTAGTGTGACCCTCGCCCTGCAACCGAGTCCCTTGGTTTGTCGGTGTTTTGGCAAAGCCTGGGAACTTTATTTAACTAGGCATGGGCAGAACCACGAAAATAAAGCAAGGCCGTTGAACTTTACATCTTCCCCTCCCCCCTCTCATACGTTCTAGAAGAAGCTGGTGAGTGGGGACCCGCTTGAAGCTATCTCCGGATCCATCAATGATGAAATCTTTACGTTGTAACAGCAGCGACGGCTAGCTTTTACCTGCCGCTAGTGCCAATTGAAACATTTCACCATGCAACGCAGGAATCCATGGGTGCCAACGAGAAAAGAGTTCTCCCTCAGCTTCGTGTCATCCCAAGAGACTGCCATTGGAAAAGGCGCGAACGGCCTAGCGGGAGGAGCAAAGGTACGGCAATACGATTGTTTAGCAGTCATTAACAGGACAATGGTACCTGGGAATGGGAAACTGGGGAAGCGGAGATTCCAGGAGGGCGATTTTGGATGGAATTGGGCGGGCCGCACTCTCACATTAAACTACTTTCTTCAATTTCCATCTCCCTCCACCACAAGCCTTCCTAATGAGGGGATACGAATCTGATTTAAACTATATTCATCCGATTGCCAAACCTCACATTCTGCCTACCTTCCCAACCTTAGCTCCTCGTTCGTCAAGGCAGGCAAGAAATTGCAGGCCGACGATGTCGATTCTTTTTTGTAGTTTATAACCCGCATTTTTCTTCCTGTTGTCGTTCCTGCACCTGGTGGCGTTAGTCGAAAGCTGATGGGGTGAGAACCGACCAGACCCTGCTTTGACCATACGACTTGCTTGGAGCCAAACGAACCAGGAAGAGTAAACCCTCAGGTTCAAGTTTGATCTTGGCTCTTGTTACCTCCGCCTTACGAAGTACGAAGTACAGCCTGCCAACTCGGCAGGGTTGATCTGTTAGTCCCTTCCAATCATTTGGGGGTAGGCCTAATCCGCATACATTTGTCTCGTACTGTATGCCACATGAGAGGCAAGTCTTGTCAGATCATCCCTCGGAAGGAGTGGGGTCAAGATCAACTGCGTGCGCTCCTATTCATGGCCGCTTCCGTTGCCACTCAGGGTTCTTTATCATAAACCAGATCTCTTCGACATGGTAAAAGCACATGCGCGCTCAAGATAGATACCCGAGGAGAGATTGCGATTCTGTTTAAAAGGAAAAAAGGAAAAAATAGCGAGATTTCCCAGTCAAAATGCGAAGGGACAAGAACCACCAGGAGTGAGGCGACTCTCTATCAACAAGCCTCGGAGAGGGAATTATCGCGCCAATTGAACCCACTCTATATCGCTCCTACACTTCACGAAAAGACTGATTTATTTCGATGTCTCCGTATTTCATGAGGGACAATTGTGGCTGGGAAACCCAGAGGTATGTTGTGCGAAGTAATTGTTGATAGCGCGAAGGGCTATTCTCGTGGAGATCAACGACGCGCAATCCCTTCAGTTCTCGGTGATGACTGGCTTGACCTTTCCGCAGACCGAAGTTGGTGAGCTGCGTCGGGATCTTGGATCGACAACACGATGAATAAGACGCCAGCATGCCAGAGTCTCACGCTGTCACACGGTATTTCCCTTTCCAGCTAGGGTTCAATATCGGATTCAATACATCATCAAACTTGCGACCAAATTGCCGGTGTACTGGGTACCTTTCTGATGCAGGAGAGGTACCCTGGTCAACGACAAGATCCGTGCAGGCGAAGCAATATCGAGACACCACCACTCCAAAGAAGAGCATGGTCGAAATCGCCAACTTGTGTGGTCTAGAGAATTCATGCTTCGATGGCTCTTCGTCATCGGATCCGCCCGTGT